AATTTGTGAAGAAACAAGCTGGATCCTGCACCTCATTTTATTGATTTATCGCTCTTTACTTTCCGATTTACCGCTCTTTTTACTTTTCACTTTCGTCTGCGACACCTCTCCCTTCTCTGGTAACATGCCAGATCTGTTACCCTGATCAATTGCGGGACCTCGCAACTTACAAATTAAGCACTGTTGTGACCACAAAAGAAAGATTAGGCTTCAAATAATATAATTCATATTGTGGCTAGACGGTGTGCAGCTGCAAGTTAAGAAAAATATTTATTTATTACATTGCCCATTATTTGCATTTTATTAACGTGTACCCCTACCCAAACCCTCACGGTAATTTAAAGCAGTAATTATGTTGATTATTATTTATTTAATTATATATTGGGTTGTATTTTATTAAAGCCCACCCAACCCTCACAATAATGTAAAAACAGTAATTATATAGATTATTATTCATATTATTTATTAAATTACACATTAAACCAAATTCATTGACGCCTACCATCACAGTAATGTAAAAACAGTAATTAACGTTGTGTTGTGAGTGTCACAAAAATGATGCAGCTATATCCCTTCAAGACTTTATCCCCATGACTAGGCCCACCTGGAATCTGCGCTTGCAGAATTCCGCAGATTTTAAGACAATCATTAATTCTGCTTATTTACTTGAGTAAATGTGTGTAAATCTATATTTATTCAGTTTTTTTTTATTAATTTCAGTAATATTATTGACTAATGTGAAAATGTTCATCTGATTTATGTACAATGCAGTGTGTACATTAATATTTTCTGTCTTTTACTAGATATATTATATGACAAACTTGCTTTATTTACCAAATAAAGTGAATCTAATTGGATTTGCATTTTAAACATTAAATAAAAGGTAAAAATATATTATTTTTTAATTTTATGTATTATTAAGGTTTTAGTTATGATACTCCAAAATAATTCTGCAGAAATCCGCAGATTTTTACCAAAATAAAAATCAGAAATAGCAAAAAACGTCCGCAGATTCCGTCTGGCCCTACCCATGACAAAAAGGTAATGAACTGAACACAGTTGATTCCTATCTTTCTCTGAGCCAGCTTAAATGTCTTTCATATGCTTACATAAAAGCAGTTTGAGGTAAAGTTGGTTTTAGATTAACACATTAAGACTTTCTCCTCAATAATACAATTTCAGAAAAGTAATTTTGCTAATTGTAAATGGTGAACTCATATTAGAAGCCAAACGACTTCACGGTCCATGAAATAGTGCCAATCTTGTCATATTTAAGTCATATTTACATGCCATTTCAGACTGAATGTTAAAAGTACAATTTAGGAAGCTTGGCACAAGTTGTCACTGTTAAAAAATGAAAAAATGTGCGAATATAAAACCAACTTTACCTCAAAAAAGACAGTAACGTTACAGTTTTACCTGTCTGTGATAACTTTGCGCCGATTTCAGGAAGCCCACAGTAGACCACATCTCCCAGTGCCTCCTGGAAACAATACAACATAAACACATGACAATACAACCTATAAAGCCATTTCTATAACAATTAAGCATGAATAATTCTCCTAACCTGAGCAAAATTACTGATCCCCACAGTCGCCACACCACCGTCCACGCGAACCCACTCGTGTTTGTCTGTGAACTTCAGTGCTGAAGAATAACATAAAAAAGTCTCAAATTAAAGTTATACTACATAAACATACAGCCATATAAACTCCAGTGTATCTAGCATTTATAGACACTTAATATCACTTGTCAAAATGAACGTGAGCGTAAACTTTGACTCGTGGCGCCTGTAAACATTCACAAGTGTAAATACCTGCGCAGAACGGAGTGTTTGTGCTCAGAGATCTTCTGTAGCATGTCCTGGCCAACAGTCTAGCCGGAGCATGAGCATTTATGTTTGAAAGACGAGGCAGAGAAGAGGTCAAACTAACAGAAACACATCGTAAAACTGTGCACATCGCCATTATTCTTCGTACGCGTATATTATTGGACACCGTCGCGCCTTGATGATGTCATTGTGGGAATGTACTGTTGCGCGCTAAAGCAGTGCTTTGCAGCTAGATTTAGCAACTTTTCATACTACCCTAGCAACTTTTTTTTTAATTTTTTTAAAGCAACTAGCAACCAATTTGTCAATTTTCAAAAAGTGACTCAAAAGAGCAGTAGCTGCAGGCTTCACTCAGCAGAGTAAATCGCTAGCTTAGATTGTTTTTCATAACTGTTAATTTACTGATATTTGTTAACATGTATAATTGTTGGTAATTTAGGTAGCAACAAATTACAATAGTGCTATAAATGTTGTCACTTTCACAAATGTGTTAATTTCACAAGTTAAAAAAGTAAGCACACAAGCTGTGATTGTCAAAAGAATGTAACCGTTCATTATCAGTGTTATACTTAAAAATAAAAATTCTTATTAAAAGTTTGTACTACTTTCACAAATAGTCGACTATATTTTTCATACAAGCCTAAATGGGCATACATCCAATAATTATTTTGCTGAGATGGCCAGTCAATTTGAGAAAACATTATTTTAATGTTGTCACTTGTCACTTTATGTTCTATCTATCTATCTATCTATCTATCTATCTATCTATCTATCTATCTATCTATCTATCTATCTATCTATCTATCTATCTATCTATCTATCTATCTATCTATCTATCTATCTATCTATCTATCTATCTATCTATCCATCCATCCATCCATCCATCCATCCATCCATCCATCCATCCATCCATCCATCCATCCATCCATCCATCCATCCATCCATCCATCCATCCATCCATCCATCCATCCATCCATCCATCCATCCATCCATCCATCCATCCATCCATCCATCCATCCATCCCTCTCTCTCTCTCTCTCTCTATATATATATATATATATATATATATAGGTGTGTGTGTGTGTGTGTGTGTGTGTGTGTGTGTGTGTAGTAGTAGGATGTGCATTGCAAACTTAATTTGAGCAACTTTGTAAAACAAACTTAGATTTTGTTTTAACCCGAATTTCAGATTTTCATATAGCTATTGTCTAACTCTAACAAATTATACATCAATAGAAGCGTATTTAATCACCTGTTAGCCTAGATACTGCATAAATATTAATTTCCAAAAGTCCACACATATGGGCCATGTCCAGGAGGGGAAAGGGTACTGAAAAATCATGCTCAAGTAAAAGTACCATTACTTGCCTAAAAATGTAGAGCAAGTAGAGTAAAAGTGTTGTAAATATTACTCAAAGTATGAGTAAAAGTAGACATTTCAAAAGTACTCAAGAGTAGTGAGTATTACGCTGTTAAAAGCTAATGGGATTACATGTAATTCGTGCATGTGTTTGTAAACGTAACATTCTGTAGTGCATAGTCCCAGCAGGCAAACAACGTCATAAGACATTAATATTAGGCTGGATTTAGGTTGAGATGTCAGGTGACCACAATTCAATGTCTAGCCAGCATCTAAGTACATTATTTTAATGTCCAATAATGACGTTGATGTTAGGTTGCTAGAAAGTGACCAAAATCCTACGTCGAGCCAACATCTTAAACTAACGTCATATTGACGTCAAATACTGACATTTGTCAGCCTGAACTCACGAGGACACGTAAGTATTTTACGTTTTGTCAGTTTAGTGGCTAACTCCTCCGAATTCAGAGTTCTGTCGTACGAAAATATATCGCACTAAATAGTTTGAATTAGATCGTACAAATTCATACGAATTAGCCACTAAATCAAAAAGTTATGAATTGCCGGTAGATTGCGTTGCATTTATTCATCAGGTATGGCAACCAAAATCCAACTTCTGATAGATGTCATTGTAGTACACAAAGTCAAGCTGTAACGTTAGACATTGATATTTGGTTGGTTTTAGGTTGAACGTTGGACATTGATGTTGGTCTGACGTTGAGTTCAGACATCAAATCTATTTTCATTTCCAAACAAAATGCAACGTCTCCATGGCGTTAGAGTACAATGTCAATCTAACGTCCGGTTTCCCCCACAGTCCAAAGATTCAATACAGGTGAATTGGGTTTGCTAAATTGTCCATAGAGTATAAGTGTGAATGAGTGTGTATAAATGTTTCCCAGTGATGGGCTGCAGCTGGAAGGGGATCCGCTGCATAAAAAAATACTGGAAAGGTTGGCGGTTCATTCTGCTGTGGTGACCCCAGATTAATAAAGGGACTAAGCCGAAAAGAACATGAATGAATGAATTATTCTACTTTGTCTGTATAGTCATGAACGTTTGACCGTTTCATTAATTATTAATTTTTGCCATAACTGAATTGGGACGTAAAGTCTAGAAGATCCAGCTGCAGATACGAAGATTAATATAGTATCATTTTGTGTCACTTTATAACAATAATTAATCATTTTACAGTATTGTGGCGGTTGGGTTTAGGGTTAGATGTAAATAAAATACAATTTATTAGGTTTTAATAAATAACCCTAGGTTACTACTGTTTTACGTAACTATGACTGTTGGGTTTGGGGTTGGGCTATGGGCCCTGCTAAAAAATCCAGCTTAAACCAGCCAAGGATGGTTGCTGGTCGACCAGCCTGGTTTTAGTAGGGTTTTGGCCACTTCCAGGCTGGTTTCCAGTCATTTCTAGCCTGGTTTTTAGCTGGACAGGCTGGGAGATGACCAGCTAAAATTAGCTTGACCAGCCTAGCTGGGAGCCCAGCCAAAACCAGCTATGTCCAGCTTAAACCAGGATGATCAAGCTGGTTTTAAATGGTTTTAGCTGGCCACTTTCCAGCCTGACCAGCTAAGACCAGGCTGGAAATGGCCGTAAACCAGCCTGGAAGTTGTCAAAACCCCTCTAAAACCAGGCTGGTCCACCAGCTAAAACCAGCCAACCATTTTTCAGCAGGGGGTAGACGTTAATAAAATAGAGTTAATGGGAAATCTAATAAATAATATAAATAATTCTCGTTGACAGCACCTGCCGCAACCGTATCTATCAACAATCCTAAAAAACAATCGCAAAAACAAGCGCACTTCCGTATTCCAACACAATACCACGGTTGGTTTTTCAAACATGTGACGGTTTAGTTTCGGAAGAGATACAAGAAAAAACGACCAACATATCAATAGGCTCTTATTTAATTTACTGGACTGTGAAATATCTACAATGGTCCAGTTTTTGTTAATGTGCTTCACTTACTCTGTAGACTAGAGTGTGTCATTTCATTCATCAGGTCGTGTTTGCGCGCTTTTGCCTGCGCGCAGGTGCGCTCCGTCCTCATGATGCCGCAGGTGCGCGCAGGTGCATCATCATCCTCCTCTGACTGAACAGAAGATGGACGTTTATCCTTCACCTCTCTGGGAAAACGCACATTAGTTCGTTATACGTACCTCATACATTACATCCTTGATTAATCCTGTAAAACTTCCTCTGACAGAGAATTTCCATCGATACAATGAAACTCGTCATTTGATAGTGAAGGACGCCGCTCTGAGATGAACGAACAGCGGGACATTAAACTGTTTTCAGTCTGTGGACTCTTCCTTTTCAGGCTATTTGTGCTCCAAGGTAAGTGTCACTTTAATATATGCTTCAGATTTTCTTAAATGTATATTTGATCTCTTAAAGGTAAAGGTTAAAGGTTAAAAACTCTTTTATTAAATTATAACATTACTTTTAAACTAAAACGTTTTCTAAAATGACATTTTTGTATTCCTGCTTTTATAAAAAATATCAGTTATATTGTTTTAGCCACAAGACATTCAACAAAAATTGGTATAAACACTCAATACTTTTCAAAATAAATTAAAGTTTTTAGCTTAAGATTTATTGCTGTTTTGATGGGAAAGTTGCTTCAATTTATATGTAAATAATGTGAATTATGTGTAAATATACAGTTCTCAGCATAATTGAGTACACCGTATTTTGAAAATGAATATTTTTATTAATTTTGCTGTGAATAAAGGCAATGTATTTTGGTGCATTGAAACAAAACAGATTAATTAAACAGATTTATTTATTAAAATAATGTTTCAGGCACAGAACAGATTTAGAAATTGAAACATAATACAATTAAATTCAAGCAAAATATTGCAAAATAAATTACAACCTACAAAATTTCAACTGCATTTTTTTTTGCTTCTCTTTATTTTTCCTTTTTGTTAAATTTGTATTTAATATTTTTCTGTAGCATAAATTTGGGTGTACTAGTTTTTGGACGGTTATCGTAAGTTATTTCGTTAGATGAGCTTCAGATTTGGCTCCAGTACTGACTAATGTAATGTATATGCACAAATATAATATTATATAGCTTCCTATTAAAAAATAATTTAAAAGAGAGGTTTGTAAGGGCTGTACTTATGCTGAGCACTGTATATCAAGCCTTGTAAAACTTATAATAATATATAATAAAAATATCAATAATAATAATAATATAAATCTATAATAGTAAACAAATCAAATAAAATGCATAGGAAGGGTATTAATTCAATGAATCAGTCTGTTTTAATGTTTACAATTGATTTTTATGAAAATATAACTTAATAATATGGGTGAAGTAATGTTTCACCCTCATTCAGACAGAGTGACATATATTTATGTAAATATTAAAGACCGTTTATTCTCATCTGTACTTATAATATAAAACTAAAGCGATCAAATTGAATTTTATGTAATATAAATAATAATAAAACAACATCTTGATGACAAATAAGTTAGACTCTTTCATAATCATGCATGCATTTTGCTGATGCAGTTTTGCTTTTGACAGGATTTATTTGCCAGGGGTCAAACTCAGAAAATAAATTCCCCAGGTATGTGTTTTCCAATATTTTTCGCTCACTATGATGGCTTGCTAGGTGTTTGTTTAGAATGGTATTAGGTTTTTAACCCTTTAACTGTCTGCTCTACTAAATGGTGGACCATAATTTGGTCATTTTAAGTAATGACTGTTAAATAATAATGGTTAAAGTTAAGGGTTAACACACACATCATTGTTGGCTTGCAAAATAATCAAACAAACAATCCTGTTGCACTACTACACTTGATTTGGGTCTTTTTTTTATTGTAAAACAAAACATGTTCAATGAGCATCTGAAACATTTTATCCTTCAAAAAATAAAGACGATTTAGCACTCAAACGTTTGATTTTCATTATCATTTCATTACAAATAAATTGGTCTTACACTTCATATTTTCAGATTTTTATATGTGTATACGTATTAATTCAGGTACTTTTACCATAAACTGACATATCAACCATTTGGTAGAGGCTGATATTTTAGAAATGATGGGATGTGTTAAAAAATGCATTGAGTGTGTTAACTAGCAACAAGAAATGCAATCCAACATTTTATTTCTTGGTGGGGCAGTTAAAGTGTTAAAAGTGTTAAAATGAGATGGTGCTCTGGTGATGCGTTTAAAAACTGCCGGACCCTATAAAACATCCGCTATTACTAGGGTATTTTGAGTCGAGAGGCAGTGTCAAGTTATATATTCAGCCGCTGATAAGATGTTAAGTGTTTGGTCTAATGTTTTGCTGTGTAACCATTAAACCAGTTCCGTGAGAATCATGCTGTCCATCAGCACGACTGTGTCTGCGTGGCATCTTAAGTGTTTCTGAACCTTTAGTCTCACAGTCACCGCACTTTTAATACTGCTCTCTTTGTGCCACTTTTAAAAGGAGGGTTAATGCACTGCGGCAGAAACGGGATCTCTTCCGTGAAGAGGTGAGTATACCTAAGAGAAAGCGACAAGGGACAGACTGGAGTAACCACACACACACACACACACACACACACATATGCACTCACAAATACTGAGATACACACTCAGGGCTGACAAAGCTGCCTTTGTGGCGTTTACACAAATGCTAAAGCCACTGAAAGCTCCTGTCCCAAATGTGTACAGTGGCCAAACCATGTGAGGCAACGCCAAGTCAAGTTCACCAACATGGCTTAGTGGCTAGACATGGTATTGTTGTCTCTATACTATACATATACTAATATTCATTCATTCAATTATTCATTTTCCTTCAGCTTAGTCCCTTTAGTTAAAAGGGGTCCACATCACAGCAGAATGAACCGCCAACTTATCCAACATATGTTTTACATAGCGGATGCCCTTCCAGGTGCAATCCAGTACTGGGAAACACCCATACACACACATACACTACAGCCAATTTAGCTTATAGCGCATGTGTTTGGACTGTGGGGGGAACCAACTCCACAAAGAATTAAGAAAATTTAAATACATATTATTTTATATATATATATATATATATATATATATATATATATATATATATATATATATATATATATATATATATATATAATATAAAAATATTATATAAAAATAAATATTATATAAATATATATATATATAAAATAGATTTTTTTAGCATATAAACATGCACAATGTTTTATTTACAATATAAGGGAATAATAGAAAGCTAAATAAATATTTTGCTCATAAATAAAGTTTTAAAATAAGCATTTTCTAGACAATCAGTTCTTCAAAGAATTTTCGGTGAAAAAGGTGGGCTTCGAATTGAAAAAGGTTGGGAACCCCTGCTCTACAAGACATAGAAAATATCACTTTGCAAATTATACAGTACACAAATTATCTAAACATTTGCATAATTTTGAACACATACGTTTTATATATTCATATACATGTTATATATAAAAAAATTAAATAATAAACTTATGTAACCTCTTAAATAGAGACTAAACTGAAGGAAAATTAATAAATTTATATAATTCAGATCACGGGCTAAGCAATGTAGAGTTTGGTTTGGTGGAGATTATACGTCATTAAAAACCCAAATACTTTATATTATTATACTAATACTGCATTTCTTTTTTTCTCTGCAGACCCTTAGTGCAGTGCTCTCTGATTCAGCTCTGCCGCGAAGAGTTCTTCATAATTATACAGCAAGAGATGCATCAACAGGTATTGTAAACACACACAGATTAACTGTTTACTATTGTATGTAGAGTTATTCACACACATGAACTTACTATATAAAAATCATGTTACAGTCAGCCTCATTGTACAAACAGAATTCATGGTTACACTTTCTTTTTATGGTCCGTTTGTTGAATTTAAGTTACATTGCAACTGATTCTCATTAGATTATAAGTAGACTGTTAGGTTGGGGTTAGGGTTAGTGTAAGTTGACATGTACTTGCAAAGTTTCTTATAGTCAGTTAAATGTCTGTTGAAGGAGCAGAATCAAGAGATATTAAGCAGACAGTCTACCAATACTCAAATGGACTATCAAAATAAAGTGTTATCATATTCATACATTAAGGTTTGTGCACTTTAATGTGAAGATATTAATGTGGCTATTTTGATAAAAGCAAATCTACTCTGTGGGGTTCCTCAGGGGTCCATTCTTGGACCACTACTATTTCTTATTTATACAAATGATTTATCAAATGTTTCGAATACACTTCTCAAGTAATGTTTGCCCATGATATAACCTTAGTTCTTTCTCATCCAAATTTTAATTGGTTATTAATAACACAAATTATAGTATAATTGCTTATGCAAACTGGTTTAACATAAATAAATTATCTTTAAATACTAAAAAATCAAGTTTCGTTATTTGTAGTGGGTGACACGGTGGCTCAGTGGTTAGCTCTGTCACCTCACAGCAAGAAGGTCGCTGCTTCGAGCCCTAGCTGGGTCAGTTGGCATTTCTGTGTAGAGTTTGCATGTTCTCCCCGTGTTGTCGTGGGGTTCCTTTAGGTGCTCCGGTTTTCCCCACTGTCCAAACACATGCGCTATAGGTGAATTGAATATACTAAATTGGCCTTAGTGTATGATTGTGAATGAGAGTGTCTGGATGTTTCCCAGTACTGGGTTTCAGGAAGGGCATCCGCTGTGTAAAACATATGCTGAATAACTTGGCAGTTCATTCTGCTGTGTTGACCACTGATAAATAAAGAGCCTAAGGAAAATGAATGAATGAATGAATGATTATTTGTAGTGGTAAAAGTCGTAACCTACAGATTGAGCTAAAATTGAGTCTATTGCAGTAACTCAAGTGGCAACTACAAAATTTTAGGAAGTTTTTATTGATGAGAATTTTAGTTAGAGGGAACATACAGATTTTGTTGGCAGAAAATTTATAAAAATCAACAGGTATATTAAGGATGGTTAGGCTTCTTTTTACTACAAAATGTTTTCTTACACTGTATTACAGTGCGTCCGGAAAATATCCATACTGCTTTCACATTTTTTTTATGCTACAGCCTTATTTTAAAATGGATTAAATTAATTTATTTCTTTAAAATTCTACACATAATACCCCATTATGACAATGTGAAAAAAGATACTTTGAAATTGTTGCAAATTTATTAAAGATCAAAAACCTGAAAAATCACATGTACATCAGTATTCACAGCCTTTGTCGTGAAGCTCTAAATTAAGCTTAAGTACATTCTGTTTCCACTGATCATTTTTGAGATGTTTCAGCAGCTTAACTGGAGTTCAGCTGTGGTCAATTCAGTTGATTGAACATGATTTGAGAAGGCATACACTTGTGTATATAAATCTCCAGGGCTGACAGTGAATGTCAAAGCACAAACCAAGCATGAAGACAAAGGAACTGTCTGTAGACCTCCGAGACAGGATTGTCTCGAGGCACAAGTCTGGGGAAGGTTACAGAAAAAGTTCTGCTGCTCTGAAAGTTACAATGAGCACAGTGGCCTCCATCTTCCATAAGTGGAAGATATTTGGAACCACCGGGACTCTTCCTAAGGCTGACCGGCAATCTAAGCTGAGTGATTAGGGGAGAAGGGCCTTAGTCTGGGAGGTCATCAATAACCCAGTGGTCACTCTGTCTGAGCTCCAGTGTTCTTCTGTGGGGAGAGGAGAACCTTACAAAAGCAAAACCATCTGTACAGAAATCCACCAATCAGGTGGTAGAGTGTATGGTAGAGTGGCCAGATGGAAGCCACTACTTGGTAAAGGGCACATCGCAGTCCTCCTGGAATTTCCCAAAAGGCATCTGAAACAAAATTCTCTGGTCAGATGAGACTAAAATTGAACTCTTTGGAGTGAATGTCAGGCATTACGTTTTTAGAAAACCAGGCACCGCTTATCAGCAGGCTAATACCATTTCCTACAGTGAAGCATGGTGGTGGCAGCATCATGCTGTGGGGATGTTTTTACAGGAAGAGTATTTCACGATAGAGGGAAAGATGAATGCAGCAATGTACAGAGACATCCTGAATGAAAACCTGCTTCAGAGTGCTCTTGACCTCAGACTGGGGCAACGGTTCATCTTCCAGCAGGACAATGACCCATAGCACACCGCTAAAATATCAATGTAGTGGCTTCACAACAACTCGGTGAATGTCCTTGAGTGGCCCAGCCAGAGCCCAGACGTAAATTCTATTGAACATTTCTGGAGAGATCAGAAAACGGCTGTACACCGTCGCGTCCCATCCAACCTGATAGAGCTTGAGAGGTACTGCAAAGAGGAATGGGCTAAATTCCCAAAGACAGGTTCGCCAAGCTTGTGGCATTAGATTTAAAAAGACTTGAGGCTGTAATTGCTGCCGAAGGTAAAAAGTGAAGCACTATTTTGAAGATTGATTAATTAAAGCATAAGTAGATAACTGACCAATCAGTAGGCTATGAATGAATATTCAGCTTTTGCAACTAGTTAAAATGTCGAATCATACATATTTTAAGTAAATAAATCAGCTTTAAAATTGTGGTTTGAATCATCTTTGAATCATCTGAACAGGTCAATCTCTTTAAGTTTTTTTATCACACAAACAGGCTGCTCTCTAACCAACTTAATTTACCTTAAATTACTCAGAAAAATAATAGACATATTAAACTGTTAAATAGTTTTTCCCTACAAATTAAATGACAAGCAGAGAGACATTCTCATAAGTAACTCGCATGACATCATTATGAGAAACACAGATTTGTTCGTCTTCAACCAATTTTATGATTTTAGGCTGAAAATCCTCTCTGGCCAGAGCACTTCAACAACATGTCCACCGATGTTTAAGAAGTAGGTCAGTAGATGGAGAGTACTGTAGATGCTCTTTGTGTTGCTGTTCAGAAGCATTCGACCACATCCGTGTCTACATTACAAAAGCAATCCAGTCAAGTGTGTTTTCAACTAGTTCCTGAAGCGGACAATAGCTGGAAACGTTTCTGTCCCCGTTTACACCTGTGTCTAGTTTTCTCTACTTGTGATCACATCAACAAAAACACACCTTTGTACAGTTCAGTACTATTCCAAAGCAAAAGAAAATCTGTACAAAAACACTGGGGCTCTACATCTTCTGTGCATGGCCTGCAGTTTCAGTAGTATTACTAATGCTTTTAAAATGTGTCTTTTGTGTTTGTTGTAGAATATTGTGGGTGTCTTAATGGTGGCTGGTGCCAGGACGAAGGACGCTGTGATTGTGCTCAATTCCAGGGTCTCGGTGATCGCTGTCAAATCAGTAAGAAATGCACACAATCTTGTACAGCTACCTTTATGAGGACTTTCTATAGATGTAATTATTTTTATGTTGTATAATATACCCCCCTACCCCAGTGGTTCATAAATATTTTTTGGTCATGCTCCCCTTTTAACCCATAAAAAATTCTGGCATCCAATATCTCCTGGCTGTCCTATCACTTACTAAGAAATAATTCTACTAAAGTATCAACCCAGGCTCATTCTGAAAATGTAGTCCCGTGGATGTTTCTGGAGACAGCGAAATACGTCCCAGGAGGTACGTATTTTTGCAGTTTTTGTTTTCGCGAATCCACAAGAGGCTGCTGTGTGCGCTTTTTCGTATCTCAAATGTCTCTTGTGGGTGTCGTTTGCACCTGCGCTGTTCTCGTGTAAACCTACCAGAGGCCGCTGTCTGACTGAATAATTCACTTGTGCGACTGGCCAATCGGCTGACCCACCCTCCTCCTTCCCTAAACCCAACCAATTTTACCGATTGACCTGCCCACCCGCTTACTTCCCTAAACCCAACCAACAATTTACAAAAGCCATCTAGAAAAATAAAAGCCCTCGTGGGATTTTTTTTTTACCAAATTTTTAAATTTCACCACGTTCTCACCCTGTTATGAACTCTTTCACTTTACTTTTTGGATTCTGTTTTTGTCTTACCTGATTTCTATAACCGCTCTTCCCTTGACTCAAACCTGGTCGTCGTGGTCAAGTCCTCTCTGCGTCTTAAGTTTGGCGACGTACACGATGAGCTGACTGGACAAACTGGTTGCAGCGGAAAAACCCTTCACACAGAGGAAAGCAGTCAGCTGGTAAGCGCAAAAGGAAACAGCGTCATACCGCCCCATAGCGTTCGCTTCAAAAAATGAAATGCAGCCATACGTACCACCTGGGACATATTTCGCAGTCTCCAGAAACGTCCACGGGAATACGTTTTCAGAATGAGCCTGGGTTGCAACCTATATGACAACTATATGATGTCACTTGAAAAATAAAAAAGAAAGAGTAACATAAAATTAACAATAAAAGGGAAAAAATAATCTTCATTAGCAAATATTTGCCTTGTTCACATTTAATGTTAAGATGCGTTTTTGTCATTCCAGTCACAATTTTTGAGCTTGTCTGCTTTCAACCGTATTTAAAGGCGGTTAGAAATGCATTTGACCAGATTGCTTTAACCCCAACTCAACCCCTAAAACCAATCCTCACAGCAAGCAATCTGCATCTATATATTCAAAATGTGATTTTTCTGAGTGATTTATAAGCCATTTTTCTCATCAGGACCAAAACAATTTCCCCACAAGATCAAAATTTAGTTTATGATGGGGTAATTAGCTGCCAGCAATGTTAGGAATTCAAAGCACACACACTTGTATACATGGTTTATAGGAACACGCCATAGTCATAATTTATTTATTTATTTATTTATTTATTTATTTATATAGTAATTACTTATTATATGAACCTACCCCTCTCCTACTTCTAAACTCAACCTTTAAAGGAAACAATCAGCATCTTTACATTTTCTAAATACTCCATTCTGTGTGATTTATTAGCCATTTTCCTCATCAGGACCTAAATAATGTCCCCACAAGGTCAGAATTTACTTGTTCTTGTGGGATAATTAGGTGCCAACAACGTAAGGAATACAAGGCACACAAACACCCCCACACACACACTTGTATATATGGTTTACAGGGACACTCCATAGCCGTATGTTATTTTATATGATGAAATAACTACCTATTATATGGACCTATCCCACCCCTACTACTAAACTCAACCCTCAAAGGATATAAAGTAATAACTAAGTTATAAGACATTATACAACTTTGCATAACTGTAAACCACATAAACCTGTATACACACACACACACACACACACACACACACACACACACACACACACACACACACACACACACACACACACACACACACACACACACACTTGTATACATGGTTTACAGGGACACTCCATATGCGTATATTATTTTATATTGTTAAAACCACTTATTATATGAACCTACCCCACTCCTACTACTAAACTCAACCGTTAAAGGAAACAATTAGCATTTTTACATTTTCTAAATATTCAATTCTGTGTGATTTATGAGCCATTTTCCCTCATCAGGACCAAAATAAAGTCCCCACAAGGTCAAAAATTACTTGTTCTTGTGGGGTAATTAGGTGCCAACAACGTAAGGAATACAAGGCACACAAACACCCACACACATACTTGTAGATATGGTTTACAGGGACACTCTAAAGCCGTAATTTATTTCATACGGTTAAAAAATGACTTATTATATGGACCTACCCCGTCCCTACTACTAAACTCAAGCCTCAAACGAAACCTGTGGAAACATTTTAATTTCAAAAGACCTTATAAAGTATGATTTTAAGCGTTTTGAATTAAAGGGACATGAGGTTAATAAAGTAAAACTAGGTTATACCTATGTCATTATACAACTTTGCGTTCCTGTAAACCACATAAACATGTAAACACACACTTGTATGCATGATTTACAGGCACACTCCATAGCCATAATTTATTATATTTTGTAAAACCCCTTATTATATGAACCTACCCCACACCTACTACTAAGCTCAACCCTCAAAGGAAACAATCTGCATCTTTACATTTTCAAAATACTCCATTATGTGTGATTTATGAGCCATGTTCCTCATCAGGACCAAAACAATGTCCCCACAAGGTCAGAACTTACCTGTTGTGGAGCAATTAGGTTCCAACAATGTAAGGAATACAAGGCACACACACACACACACACACTAGTATACATGGTTTACAGGGACATTCCATAGGCGTAATTTATTTTATATTGTTAAAACCACTTATTATATGGCCCTACCCCACCTACTAAACTCAACTCTCCTTATAAACCTCATAAACCTGTATACACACACACACACACGCACACAGGTTATATTGAATTCAAAATGAAGCCTGCCTCCATGTAATTATAGTGCGGCTCGGTCTGATATTATCATCTGCCACCCAGTGCTGACCATTAAATGTGGATGAAGGAAGCCTGAATTTAATTACTAGAATTCTAACTGCATTGCTCACTGGTTCCAGTTAATCTTTGACTATTTCATATACTGCATTTGGTAGCATTGGATTACAGACGTGCTGGGAGCAGATTGCTTGTCACAAAGAGCTCCAGTATGGGTGTTTAATTAACCAAGAGCTATAAAGTCAGGCAGCCGGTGTGACCAACAGAATAACAGGCTGCTACAGTACATATGCAGTATCGATTATATAAGCGACACTGATTACGTGCTCAATGCGTTAGTGATGAAAGGGGACACAAATATTGGATTAACTGAAAAAGACAACCAGAAAGAAATATGATGGAGGGAAAAATGGTTTATGCTTTTTTTTTGTACAAGTTCCCAACCATGGTCAGGACAGGGATGGCATTTGCCGTTCATGGGGTCAGCATCATTTTGAGACTTTTGATGGAATGTATTACTACTACCCTGGAAGCTGTTCGTATATCCTGGCCAAAGACTGCCATTCCTCAGAGCCACAGTATACGGTTTGGGTGAGTTAAAGCTGCACCAGAACACACACAAACACACATCTCTGCTAGTCATACATGTTCTTTTATGTTATCTAAAGTTATTTGTTTTATTTGTGTTTGGTAGGTTCATAACAGTCGTTCGTGTAGAGGTTCAGTATATTCATGTCCACGTAGCCTAAGTCTGTTCTTCCCAAATGAAGAGGAAATCTATATTAGTGGCTATCAGGTGCTCAAGGGTGGACACAGGTGAGTTTGGACAAACTGTTCTTCTTTTTTTGTTTGTTTTTGACTTCAGTTTAGATTAAAATGATGAAAAATCAACTTAGAAAATATGTTTAATGCAGAGGAAGTGTGTTTGTGCAACGCATAATGGCAAATAATCAAGTGGAAAAAAGTGGAAGTGGAAATCTAATAGATGTCTATAGTCAATGTTTAGATGTCTATTAGACATCTTCTAGGGATTCTCAACCGGTGGGCTGCGGCCCACTAGTGGGCCTCAGTGATCCTGCAGGTGGGCTGCGAGATGGCTTAAAATTAACTTAAATATTATAATATAATTATTTGATTTCATTTTTAAATATGTCATATTAAAATGGTCCGAGTAATGGTATTTCCCGCTTTCTGTGATTGAATAAGCTAATTGAGACTCTGTGTAAAAACAGCCTCACTGTTAAATGCAGACAGGCTTAAATTTCCAACCGCTGCACTTCAGTTATATAAATCAGACCTTCACGCAAATGTAAAGATAACAATTATTAGAGTTATAATAACCAGCTCACGTGTGCCTCGATCACATTCGCAACTCGTACTGTATCGGAGTCGCACAAGTCCATTGATTCACAAACTATGCGTGCTCTCTTTGTGTGAACACTTTAAAATATCTGCTGAGTTGTCCAAATTAACGTCCTGTGAGTGTTTTATAACTGACACACGCCCATACAGAGGAATCCAGTGAGACTCGGTGGTGTTTCAGTGAACAGCTGTTCACTGTTCCTGTCTGCGAACTCCAATAATGTCCAGCTACAAACCAAACCGCCTTCAGATTTTCAGAACAGGCTTTGTTTCGAAAAAAATGTAGGTTGTTTTTATGGTTTTTATATTTATTTGTAATGGATGTGAATAGCAGATTAATAGATGAATAGTAGTCAGTCTAATTCAAAGCAACTGCAGTTTTTTTTTGCTGTCTCCTGTTGTCCTGTCAGGTTCATTTACTAAAGAAAAGGCCCAAATACTCTGCAATTATAAAATAATAACTAAAATAAAGAATTCAGGAGCTTTGAACATGTCTGTGCGCTTTTTTAAATATTAAAATATATATTGTTATATTTTACATTATATATATTGTTCGTTTTTTTATTATTATTAAAATGATGTAGAAAAATAAAAGAATAATAGAAGGCAAAAGAAATGTTTTCCTGATTAATAAAGCCTTAAAATAAGCATTTTCTCTAGATAATCAGTTTGGACCTTCAAAAAATGTTCAGAGCGTATTGTTTGCTGAATATAAAATATATAGTAATAAATAGTGTTTTAAAAGAAATTTAAATATGAAATAAACACATTATTTTGTATATTATTTTACTGTAATTTACATTTACTCATATAGCAGATACTTTTATCCAAAGTTACAAAAAAAATTACCAAATTAAAAATAAAAAAACAGCAGCCTCCAACTTGTTGTTAATGCTGGAATAATTAATGACTAATGATTAATATATTCATTTAGCAGATGGTTTTATTAGCACAAATGAGGATAATAGAAGCCCTTTATTAGCCCTACCTGGAAATTACAAAAATGCTTTTCTAATGTTAAAGTGCTGTTTAACAGAGCAAAAAATTATTCCTGTGTTTCCTACTACATTTTTCTTATGGAGAAAGTCTTGTTTTTTTATATTGAGTGAAATAAAACTAATAAAGGTTTGACTACACATAAGGGTGAGTGAATGGCGAGTAAACATTTTATAGATAATTTAGGTACAATATCCCTTTAAGATTTTTTTTTTCTGTAATAGACAACTGTTGTCTAATTACATACCTAATTAACCTTGGTAAACCTTTAAATTGGCTATTAAGCTTAATACTAGTTTCTTGCAAATAACTTGCAGCAGGAAAAATAAGTATTGAACACGTCGTGTTTTTTCCTTGGAATAAAATTTGTAAAGGAGCTGTTGACATGGAATTGAACCAGATTTTGGTAAAAATCCAAACAACACAAACATAACAATAAAACAAAACAAAAAATCTGATAATAAGTTATGTGTAATGATGGAATGACAAGGGGAAAGTGCTGAACTACTGAAATGTATTTAGTACTTATTATACTGTAAAAGGCTTTTTTAATGATGTCAGCTTAAAGACGCCTCTCATATGGAGAATGAAGGCACATGCATTATTCAGGTGTGAATTTTCCTCTGACTTCAACAGAGTGTCAAATTCTTGATGGTTCTGTGGGTCTCGTCTATCAACTCTGATCTTTATTTTGTATTTTCTATTGAATTAAAGTTAGGTGACTGGCTGGGCCGTTCTACAGCTTGATTTTCTTTCTCTGAAAGTATTTGAGAGCTTCCTTGGCTGTGTTTTGGATCATTGTCCTGCTGAAATGTGCACTCAGGTTTTATCTTCATCCTCCTGCTAATGCAGATGTTGGACAGAAGCAGCTAATGTTAATTAATACTGATGAAGATCAGAGGGTTGCTGAAGAACTACTGAGAGATTTCAGCTGCTGTCTGGGCTTTCACTGCCTTTCTTCACCTCCCTTTCTTCATGTGTTCAATACTTTTTCCCTGTGTCATTTCCTTTTTATTACACATATCTTCGTTTGTAAACTAATAAGTTTTGTTTTCTTTGCATATATGGATTTATTTGCTTGTTACCAACATTCGGGGAAAATCACAAGTCAACAAAGCCTTTAGAAATATATTTTCTGAGAAAAATGGTGAAGTGTACAATATGTATTTTTCCTGCTCTATATTGTGAAAAATATTTACAGTGCTGAAAATTTTATTGACTGTCATAATGGCAAAAACAAACAAAAAAATCATTTGAAATTAGTTATTAAAATTATTATGTTTCAATGTGTGTTGAAAAAGTCTTTCTATGTTCAAAAGCAAATAATAATAAAATAATAAAAGAAAAAAAGAAAATTAAAAGGGCTCATAATTTTGTCTTAAACAATAGATGCTGTGACAAACAGGATGAGTGGATACATTTTTCTAGAGAACATTTTACCATTTTGGTCATTGTCATTTTAGGTCACGATGATAATCAAATATGAAATAATTCCCTCGCCAAGGCATTTTAATATAAAATATAATCATACTTGTCTTGTATGTGTGTTTTCTGTGCATGCACACAGGCTGAGTCTTCCCCAGACGGTGCGTAATGTTTTCATCGAGCGCTTGGCTGACTATATCCTGGTGAAGAGCACATTTGGCTTCTCTCTAGCATGGGACGGGGGCTCTGGAGTCTACCTCAAAATGACCGAAGCGCACAAAGGAAGGCCTTGTGGTCTGTGTGGAAACTATAATGATGACGGATCAGATGATCTCAGCAGCAGCCGCGGTGAGACAAACAGGCCCGCACACACAATTATCATCTCAGTCAACTCACTCAGGACAATTACATCAAAACTGAGCAGAGCTGCATGCCGAGTCTGAACATACTGTTGTGTAGTTAGAGATGGATTGTAACATTTTAGGAACATGTTAAAGAGTTAATTCACCCCAAAAATGACTATTATGTTGTTAATTACACAGCCGCATGTCGTTCTATAACCCTGCAGGTAATTTAATGTGTATTTATATAGCGCATTTATTGTGTGTGGCCATACACCCAAAGTGCTTCACAATCATGAGGGGGTCTCTCCACACCACCACCAGTGTGCAGAGCAATGGGGACAGGAGAACAAAGTCATGGAATCAGGCTGCCAAAAGAATGCTCCATATTCACAGCTGAAGCCCGCGCACTACTTTTATCATTGGAGTTTATAGAAAATATTATACAAAACATTTACTCATATAGCAGATACTTTTATCCAAAGTTACAAAAAAAATTACCAAATTAAAAAAACAAAAAAAAAACAGCAGCCTCCAACTTATTGTTAATGCTGGAATAATTAATGACTAATGATTAATATATTCATTTAGAAGATGGTTTTATTAGCACAAATGAGGATAATAGAAGCCCTTTATTAGCCCTACCTGGAAATTACAAAAATGCTTTTCTAATGTTAAAGTGCTGTTTAACAGAGCAAGAATTTTTTTTAGTGTTTCCTACTACATTTTTCTTATGGAGAAAGTCTTGTTTTTTTATATTGAGTGTAATAAAACTAATAAAGGTTTGACTACACATGAGGGTGAGTAAATGGCGAGTAAATATTTTCCAGATAATTTAGGTACAATATCCCTTTAAGATTTTTTTTTTCTGTAATAGACAACTGTTGTCTAATTACATACCTAATTAACCTAGGTAAACCTTTAAATTTGCCATTAAGCTTAATACTAGTTTCTTGCAAATAACTTGCAGCAGGGAAAATAAGTATTGAACACGTCGTGTTTTTTCCTGGTAATAAAATTTCTAAAGGAGCTGTTGACATGGAATTGAACCAGATTTTGGTAAAAATCCAAACAACACAAACATAACAATAAAATAAAACAAAAAATCTGTTAATAAGTTATGTGTAATAATGGAATGACAAGGGGAAAGTGCTCCATATTCACAGCTGAAGCCCACGCACTACTTTTATCATTGGAGTTTATAGAAAATATTATACAAAACAAAAGAAAACCATTATTTTTACAGACTCTAAATCATGCCTTCAACAGATGGAATCTTCAAAGAGAGATCATCCTTTGATTGAAAATATTTTAACTCAAGTTCACCACCTACAAAACAAATTTTACCATATCATTTTTTTGCTGGATACCAGGACATGTTGGTCTTTCAGGGAATGAACGAGCGGATGCAGCTGCTAAAGCTGCTCTAAAACAAGCTGTAAACAACTGTCAAACTTCTCCATCTGAGATGAGACCTTTTATTAATAATTACATTTTAAATTAAAGCTGCAAGCAGCGATGATAGGGACCTCGCACCCGGGCTCACCGCCGCCCTGTGGCCTCAGGATGACAGAGAACAGCAAACAATAATATTTTAAGCCGATATATATAAAGAAGGCGAGAAAATCATAGATTTATGCCAAACTTCCTCCTGTCAGCATGTGGCGCTATGACTGTGACTCAAGATTGGCATGTAGATGCCTTCAGTAGAGGAATCTTATCAAACATGTGAAGTTTCAGGCAGGTCAGACGTTGTTTGGCTGAGTTATAAGCCAAACTTCCTGTTGCCAGCAGGTGGAGCTTTCACTGTCTTAATGTTGGTATGTTGATGTCTTCAGAAGAGGAATTTAATCAACCATGTAAAGTTTCAGGCAGATTAGACATTGTGGGGCTGAGTTATAAGCAAAACTACCTTCTGCCAGCAGATGGCGCTATGACAGCCTCAATATTGTTATGTAGATGTGTTCAGAAGAGGACTTTTATCCACCATGTTAGGTTTCACGTTGATCGGACATTGTGTGGTTGAGTTACAAGCCAAAATTCCTTCCGTCACTAGGTGGCGCTAAGACTGAATCAATATTGTTATGGGGATGTGTTCAGGAGTGGACTTTTATCAACCATGTGAAGTTTCAGGCTGATCGGACATTGTGTGGTTGAGTTATAAGGACTTCATGTTCCATGGCGAAGCGTTGAGGTTTGTCATGCCACCACAGACACGCCCCTCTGCAAAAACTCTAGATCTTCACAATATATTATCGCTAGAGCTTTCAGATAACACCACCCAAATTTGGTGCTGATACGATAAAATTTGTGGGAGGAGTTTGTTACACTGTAAAACATGTCATTTCCTGTGGCCAGCAGGTGGCGCTATATCTGTATCTGCATATCGGCATGTAAACATGTTTAGGTCAGGACTCTTATCAAACGTGTGAATTTTAAGGCAGATCGGATAATGCATGTCTGAGTTATAACGACTTCCTGTTTTGTGGCGAGTCATCAAAGTTTGCGAGGCCGCCACGGACACGCCCATCGACAAAAAACTCTAGAGCTTCGCAATTTCACATTGACAAGGCCTTTAGATGACAAAACCTCATTTTGGTGTTGATCGGATAAAATCCCTAGGAGGAGTTCGTTAAAATGCAATGCCTAAAAATAGCAAAAACGCCACTCTTTTGCAGCAGGAAATTAAAAATATCCGACTTCCTGTTGGGTTTGAGATATGGCTTCAAGAGACTTTTTCGTATGTTTTGACGTGTTTGAGGTGTGTGCCAATTTCCGTGCATGTGCGTCATTCGTGGATCGGGGGCTCGTCCGTTTAATTTTTCTAGGTGGCGCTATCGAGTCGGTTTGCCACGCCCACTTCAATATTGTTATTGGGATATGTTCAGGAGAGGAATTTGATTAACCATGTGAAGTTTCAGGCAGATCGGACATTGTGTGGTTGAGTTATAAGGACTTTCTGTTCCATGGCGAAGCGTTGAGGTTTGTCATGCCGCCACGGACACACCCCTCTGTGAAAACTCTAGATCTTCACAATATATCATCGCTAGAGCTTTCTGATAACGCCACCCAATTTTGGTGTTGATACGAAAAAATTTGTGGGAGGAGTTTGTTACTCGGTAAATCATGTAATTTCCTGTGGCCAGCAGGTGGCGCTATAACTGTGTCTGGATATTGGCATGTAAACGTGTTCAGGTCAGGACTCTTATCAAGCGTGTGAATTTTGAGGCAGATCTGATAATGCATGCTCGAGTTATAACGACTTCCTGTTTTGTGGCGAATCGTCAAAGTTTGCGAGGCCGCCAGGGACACGCCCATCGACGAAAACTCTAAAGCTTCGCAATTTAACATCGCCAAGGCCTTTAGAAGACAAAACCCAATTTTGGTGTCGATCGGATAAAATCCCTAGGAGGAGTTCGTTAAAATACAACGCCTGGAAATGGCAAAAACGCCACTTTTTCGCCGCAGGAAGTTAAAAATATCCGACTTCCTGTTGGGTTTGCGATATGGCTCCAAGAGACTTTTTCGTATGTTTTGGCATGTTTGAGGTGTGTGCCGATTTTCGTGCATGTGCGTGATTCATATATCGGGGGCTCATCCGTTTAATTTTTCTAGGTGGCGCTGTCGAGTCATTTTGCCACGCCCACTTCCGTGACCCATGATAAACGTAAATTTTCGCCACTTCTGAGGCGTGTGCAAAGTTGCGTGAGTTTTCGGGCATGTTTAGCCCCTCAAAACCGCGATTCATTCCGCGGAAGAAGAAGAAGAATAATAATAAACGGAGCAATTCCAATAGGGCCTTGCACCGTTTGGTGCTCGGTCCCTAATAAGTGGCAAGAGGAGTGGGATACTCTGGAAAACAATAAATTACAAGAAATCCAGCCTGAAATTACACACAGAGGTATAAGACATTTTAAGAAACGAGCTGATCGAGTAATTCTTACCAGATGTCGTATTGGACATACAAGATTAACACATAACTTTTTACTTAAAGATGAAGACCCTACCCAATGTTTACACTGTAAAACCCCATGGACTGTAAAACACATTTTACTGGACTGCCCTGCTTTTAATGACTCCAGAAAGACTTTTTATGATGAGAACTCTCTTAAGGACTCCAGAAAAAGTATTAGAACTTTTAACATGTATTAAGCAGAAAAATCTTATTTAAATTGTATATTCAATTATTTATATTTTACTGTTGATGTTTGTTAATTACTGAAATGCTCTTGCCATGAAAATAGCCTTAGTAGCTGACATGGCAATAAATAAATAAATAATGAATGAATGAATGACCAGTGTGCAGCATCCACTTGGATGATGCGACAGCTGCCACTGGACAACAACGGCGCCAGTGCGCTCACCACACACCAGTTATTGGTGGAGTGGAGAGACAATGATAGAGCCAATTTAGTGGATGGGGATGATTGGGAGGCCATGATCGTAAGGGCTGATAGAAGGACTTTGGCCAGGACACTGGGGTTACACCGCTGCTCTTTCACGAGAAGTGCCATGGGATTTTTAATGACCCCAGAAAGTCAGGACCTCAGTTTAACGTCTTATCTGCAAGACGGCGCATACTGACAGTGTATTGTCCCCTTCACTTTTACTGAGGCATAAGGACTCACGCAGGTTGAGCACCCCCTCCTGGCCTCACTAACACCACTTCCAATAGGAACCTAGTTTTTCCCCATGTGGTCTCCCATCCAGGTACTGACCAGGCTCAGCCCAGCGTAGCTTCAGTGAGTAACAGGTCTTGGGCTGCAGGGTGATGTGGCTGTGGCTAACAGAGGTAACACTTTACAAGAGCAGTACATGAATTATGACATACTAATATGTAAATTAAACGCCACTTAACCAATAATGAGTTAAGGCATGAGCTAATCAAGAGCTAATTTTAACTACAACATGAATAATGGCTAAATTAATTAGTTTTTAGTTCAAGTTTGTTAATTTTAATGTATTAAATAACACTTTAGCTTTAGATAAATGTAACTAACTCAAACTCACAACCTGTAAATGTGTAATCCTTATGGCATGACCTTACTTGGAGGGTAACTTTAGCTTTTACTCATTCTTAACAACTCATGAACTCCTCTGTTTAAACGTGACAGTTATGCACGTCCATCTAGTGCGTGTTTACATTAAAAAACAATAGAAAAGTGAACAGTTTAAATGAGCAATGAGTTAATAATAATGTTCAAAAATGAACTAAAAACTAACTAAGGTAGCCATTATTAGTAGTAATTAACATATTAGTAGTTACGGTCAGTACATCATTATTTCGTAATAAAGTAATGTTTAGTTTACATATTAGTATATCATGCTGGCAGCTAGCTCTCTGCAACTCTCACTAATCGCCCACTGAAGCTAGGCAGGCCTGCGCCTGGTCAGTACCTGGATGGGAGACCACATGGGAAAGCTAGGTGGGGGAAACCAGAGACCAGCAAGGGGGCGCCCAACCTGCGGTCTGTGTGTGTCCTAATGCCCCAGTATAGTGACGGGGACTCTATGCTGCTCAGTGAGTGCCATCTTTCAGATGAGACCTTAAACTGAGGTCCTGACTCTCTGTGGTCGGTAAAAATACCAGGATATCCTTCGATAAAGAGTAAGGGTTAAAATTTGCCCACTAGCCTCTGTCCATCATGGCCTCCTAACCCTCTCCATATCATAATTGGCTTCATCACTCTGTCTCCTCTCCACCTATCAGCTAGTGTGGTGTGCAGTCTCGCGCAAAATGGCTGCCGTTGCGTCATTCTGGTGGATGCTGCACGCTTGTGGTGGATGAGGAGATTCCCCCCTGTGCACTTTGAGTGCCCAGAAAAGTGTTATATAAATGTAAGGAATTATTATTATTATTATTATTTATTATTATTATTTATTATTGTTGTTGTTCTTGTTCTCTTATTGTAAAGTGTTACTCCTTAGGAAAAGACATTTTTAAATAAAATCAGAGTGCTCCCTCATCCTCCATGTACTGCAATGGTTGCAAGTCCAGAAAACTATCAAAACACTTCCTCAAAACAAACCATATGCTTTGTGGCATATACCAGTGGCTCAATAGTAATATAATTTAACAAAAAAAAGAGCTTTTGTCTTGTGTCTAGACCAAATATTAACAAAATTCTTAAATCAAGCAGCATTTTAAAGACAAATAAACATTTTTGTCTTGTTTTCAGAAATAAACAAGTCGTTTTTTAAGCACGTTTTCCCCTTAAAACAAACTAAATAATCTGCCGCTTGAGTAAACAAAATAAACTTTGTAGATTATTTTACTTACCCCACTGGCAGATTATTTAGCTTGTTTTAAGGAGAAACTCACATTATTTTGGCATGTTTTTTTTTTCCTGAAAACATTTGCGATAAAAATGACTAATTTTGTGGTGGTAATTCCCAGAAATTTGCAGACAATTTAGCGATTAATATATTAAAAGAAAGCTTCTTTATTTTAATCTCTTGTCAAGACAATATCTAAAACAGAAGGGATTAAGCCAAAGGAAGGATGTATAACTCTTATTTTTATCCACGATCTTACTTTCTCTCAGATTTCACTCCTCGGAGCATCTGACATGTACCTCACTCAGGACATGCATTAGGGCTTCCTCTAATTTAATACACCGAAACACGAATTACAGTAAAACTCGTCAATGGCAGGGAAGCGTTGTCTCTTGTTAACTGCTGGAAAAGAGTTAAACTAAAACATTTATTGATTTTACACATGCCATAATAACAGACATAGATGTAAAGCACAAATAATGTCCTTCAATTCAGCAACGTCCAGCGGCTGTCATTCTTGAACCAATCTCCATCATTGTAAGCTGCTTGCTGTTCTGTCTGTTTCATTGCTCCGATTTGTTTGCTCAAACCTTTTTTTGCAGTCTAAAGTGCGTGAAATGCACACAACGCCCAATTCGTGCCAAAGGATGTCTAGTCCAACCTTTGCATGCATTGACTTCACATGTAATTCACTTACTGCACAGGCTGCAAAACAATTCAGCCCCCCCTTCCATGTAATGTTAGGATTGTTAGGGAGCAATTGAGACGTCGTTTTTCGAGAGACACTCAAATACATCATGTGCGCTGCGTATACATCCTCTGTAAGTCATGTAAAACAATTAAATGTAAGCTGAAATAAATATAATTTTATTATATGGTTTGAAATTGAATGATTTATGAGATTATTTACATTTTTGCAATATTTTTGCGTTTAATTAATAATTTTGCACGTGAACACATGCGATATTCTGATATTGAGGATAAAAAAAATGTTGAATAAAGTCATTATTTTTTGTATTTATGTGTGCACATGGTTTTCCGTAGCTTGATAACATTTCAATTCAACCACTGAAGGCATATAGTCTGTTTGAGGATGTTTTTTGGTATTTTTCTGAGCGACCATTGCTGTCTGTGTAGGACAAGGGAGCTCTTGGATTTCTTCTAAAATATCTTCATTTGTGATTTAAAGATAAACGAAAATCTCAGGGGATTGGAACAACATGAGAGCGAGTAATAAAAAACATTGTTTTCATTCAAATTTGAGCATTCAAAATTTTGTCACATGGTCCTGCAAAAGGGATAAATAAACATTGATAAAGCTAGCTATTCCTCCATATTTAAATTTTCTGTATTGAGAAGTCACTTTTCGATCCTTTTTTGGTCTCACACATTCACATGATGCTATTTCCCATGCTCAAGCTTTGGAACGCAGCGACATGCGAAACTTGTTGCACAAGCTTACGTTTGCAGTCTGCCGCATTCACATGCATATGAATGAAAATCTCTGGGGTGAATTGTCCAGTCTGACTGCAACTTAACAGTGATCAAATCTGAGTTCCTTATGGTATCTTTATTGCTGTGGAATTTTTGTTGTTGTCAGGGATCGTCTCTGATGACATTGCTGAATTTGGGAACAGCTGGGCAGTAGATTTGCCCCAGGAGAGACCCTGTCCTGAGGTTGATGAGGATTTCCCTGGACCGTGCTCATCAGAGTCTGATATGGACGTAAGTTTCTATGCACGTGATAGGCTTTAATGGTGATAAATGTGTTAGTTTAAAGAAGACGTATTATGAGAATCTGACTTATTCTGTATTTAAGTGCTATAACTGAGTCTGTGGTGGATCTACAACCTCAAAACAGAAAAATTTGGGGCAGTATGTGGAGCTCAAATAGAAAAAAGAAAGTAGTGATTTCTATATTTACTTTGACTTGTATTTCAGACAATACAACAAACATAATTGAATGTTTTCCTCATGATTTGTATTGTTTTTTAGTTTAATATTTTTTTTCTAAATAAATATTTACTCCAATTTTGGTTCTTGCAACACATCAAAAAAAGTTGGAACAGGAGCAGTTTAGGGCTAGTGTTCGGGTAAATTGGTTAGATAATGATGTGATTTGAAACAGGTGATGTCAACAGGTGATTGTAATTATTATTTGGTACAAAAGCAGCATCCAAGAACTGTCCAGCCCTTTAGTTCATACAACCCAGCAACTTTTTGTGATTAGGAAGGAGGATCTTACTATAGATTACGGTCTCTTATAACAACGGTTTGATTGAGCTGCTGCCTTAAAGCTACAGTTCACCCTAAAAAGGAATTTTTTTTTGCCATCGTTTACCTATACTTGCTCCAAACCTGTATGAGTTTTTTTTCTGACACAAACGAAAATATACTGAAGTATGTTGGGGAAATTGGCATCCATAAGGTGTGTCCCAAATTGCATACTTATGCACTATTCTATGCTATTTTATTGTAAAAATAGTCATATCCACACTGAAAAATAATAAGTGCACTTTAATTATCTGGATGATGCACTCAATCAAATGGTAAAGAAGTGTCTAATGATTTACACTTTTATTATTATTATTATTATTATTATTATTATTATTTGCAAAAAAACTATTGACAAGTTTTTAGCAATATTTGGTTACAATACAGAATATGAATTGCATTGTCAATGAAAAAATAAATCAATAAAATAAAAGATAAATGAATAAAAAACATGGTTTAAACTTGAAGTTAAGACATTTAAGAATCAATTGCAGTATATAAACTGAAGTCATTACAAAAATGAAATGGTTCTGTTTGCTTATTTTTAGAAAATAAATATAAATATATTTATAAATATATAAGATTTGTGTATTCTTGTTGAACATTCTAAAAAAAAAAAAAAAAGCTTCGATCACATAGCGGAAGGGGCAGAGATATCCGGTTTACATGTTGGATAACTTTATTTTGGACTGTGAAAGCAAAATTTTCCTATGAGAGTGATTATAGCGCCTCCCGATGGTGAATGCGGTTATACTCGTGCAGGTATTATTTGGCACTTTGGTCATTTATTTCACCAATTTGTCAAACGTCATCAGGGAATCGGTTTGAATTTCCGCTTAGTAAATATAACATTAGTGTTCCATTTGGGACAATACTATATACATATACTATGCTGTTGAGCGTGTAAGTGCATAAGTGTATATTGTGCCATTTGGGACGCAGCTATAGGATTTGTTCCTATGGAAGTCAGTGGCTGTGTTTTTTTTTCCAACAATCTTAAATGTATCTTCCTTTGTGTTCAACAGAAGGAGTTCATGAAAGTTTAGAAACACTTGTGTAAATTAAAATCTGCACATTTATTTTTTGTAAACTGCCATGGTATACTAGTTGCTAACGTTCAAGCAGGACATGCTAACTGTTCTGTCGCGTGCAGGGTGCATAGGTGAGCACAGTCATTTCTGTTTACTTCCTGTAGCAGCTGGAGATTTACTATGATGAATGTACCGACAAAACCCTGAAGTTTTAGGTTGAAACAATATTGCAGTGGGATTTTAGGAAATGAAGGAAATGTGCTGAAGAATTTTACAGTATATGTGGCTCAGTGTTTAGCACTGTCGCCTCATAGCAAGAAGATGACTGGTTCGCGTCCTGGCTGGGACAGTTGGCATTTCTGTGTGGAGTTTGCATGTTCTCCCCATTGGCGTAGGTTTCCTCCGAGTGCTGTTGTTTCCCCCACTGTACAACGGCATGCGCTATAGGTGAATTGGATGTCCTAAATTGGCCACAGTGTATGAGTGTGTGAATATGTGAGTGTGTATAGGTTTTTACCAGTACTGGGTTGCAGCTAGAAGTGCATCTGCTGTGTAAAACAAATGCTGGAATAGTTGGTGGTTCATTCCACTGTGAGACCCCTAATAAATAGGGGACTAAGCCGAAGGAGAATGAATGAATGAAGGAATGCGTGAATGAATATTTTACAGTGTAATTCTTCACCAATGAGGGTCAGAATAGCTGTAGACTCCACCCTCTTGAGGAAAGCAGCAGTACATTTGCAATAGGGACACAATTTGACAAGCTATATTAAATGATTTGTGGGTCATTTCACAGACATATTCTGGGGACATCAGAGATTTATTTTTTCTCTTATGAAAGCGGTGATATGTCTTCTTTAAAACAGAAGTTTTATAAATGTGTCAGGCCTGTTTTTCTGCGACTCTTCAATCTGTAAAATGTGAAAATGGCGTCAGATTTAGCAACTTTGCTTGTTTGTGTGTTCTCCGAACAGGACGCCATTGAGAAGTGCAGTGCATTGCTTTTCTTCCCTTTCATCTCCTGCCATGAGAACATTGACCCAAATCCATTTGTTGTCAGCTGTGTTTCGGACATGTGTGTGTAAGTCAAGTGTGGTGCTTTTGTCTAAATGCTAACCAAAGTTAAACCCTTCTGAAAAAAACAAAACAAAAGCTAATCTTGGATTAAGCTTTTGTAGCTGGCTGGTCTCTAAACCACACTAAAACGTACTGACCAAAACATTTGACAAAAAGGTTTCATTAGTTAATGTATTGACTGACCTGAACTAACAATGAACAATACTTGTGGAGCATTTATTAATCATAGTTCAACATTTACTAATGCTTTGTAAACATCCAAATTCATGCTTGTTAGCATCAGTTAATGCACCGTGAGTTAACAACTGTATTTTCATTAACTAATGTTGACTAACATGAACACATACTGTAATAAAGGGTGTTTGTTCATTTTAATGAGTGCTTATACAAGCTTATTGTAAAGTGTTGCCCTTTTTCACATTTGGACTTGATTTTTAAAATACATTTACTTTTCATTTTAATTAGTTTCATTTTAGTGATTTTTATAACTGTAGTCATATTTTCTTTTGAATTTTACTACTTTTTTGTATATACAGCTTTGAAAAAAAAAATGCAAGTATTTGCTTAAATCATCAGAATCAACACTCTCCGGCCACTTTATTAGGTACACCTATCCAACTGCTCGTTGACAAATTTCTAATCAGCCAATCACATGACAGCAACTCCGCGCATGTAGACATGGTCAAGACGATCTGCTGCAGTTCAAACCGAGCATCAGAATGGAAAGAAAGGTGATTTTAGAGACTTTTAATGTGGCATGCTTCTTGGTGCCAGACTGCTGGTCTGAGTATTTCAGAACCTGCTGATATACTGGGATTTTCACACACAACCATCTCTAGGGTTTACAGAGAATGGTCCGAAAAAAAAAATATCGAGTAAGTGGCAGTTCTCTGGGCACAAACGCCTTGTTGAGGTCAGAGGAGAATGGCCAGACTGGTTCCAGCTGATAGAAAGGCGACAGTAACTCAAATAAGCACTCGTTACAACCGAGGTCTGCAGAAGAGCATCTCTGAATGCACAACACGTCCAACCTTGAGGCAGATGGGCTACAGCAGCAGAAGACCACACCGGGTACCACTCTTGTCAGTTAAGAACAGGAAACTGAGGCTATAATTCACACAGGCTCACCAAAATTGGTTAATAGAAGATTGTAAAAACGTTGCCTGGTCTGATGAGTCTCATTCAGACAGTAGGATCAGAATTTAGTGTCAACAACATGAAAGCATGGATCCATCCTGCCTTGTATCAAGGGTTCAGGCTGGTGGTGGTGGTGTAATGGTGTGAGGGATATTTTCTTGGCACACTTTGGGCCCATAATACCAATTGAGCATCGTGTCAACACCACAGCCTACCCGAATATTGTTGCTGACCATGTCCATCCCTTTATGACCACAGTGTACCCATCTTCTGATGACTAATTCCAGCAGGATAACACGACTTGTCATAAAGCATGAATCATCTCAAATTGGTTTATTGAACATGACAATGAGTTCATTGTACTCAAATGGCCTCCACAGTCACCATATCAAAATCCAATAGAGCACCTTTGGGATGTGGTGGAACGGGAGATTCTCATCATGGATGTGCAGCCGACAAATCTGCAGTAACTGCGTGATGCTATCATGTCAATATGGACCAAAATCTCTGAGGAATATTTCCAGTACCTTGATCTATGCCACAAAGGATTAAGGCTCTTCTGAGGGCAAAAGGGGGTCCAATCCGATACTAGTAAGGTGTACCTAATAAAGTGGCTGGTAAGTGTAGTTGATTGCACAAAATGAACAGTGAAAATGTAGACTAATTTTAGACTAATTTTATAGAATAAAAGTAGTACTGTCTGCCAAAATTGAACGTTTCTGTTTTGCACATTTATGATTTTAAGTAGATTTTAACAAGAAATGTCATTTTCTCTCCTTCTCCCTTGAGGTTTTCTCCCTTGCCTATTTCCAGCATTCCACACCTCCCAATTCCAACAGGATTACGTTAATTATAGTAATGAAAATACCTTGCATATGGCACAAGCTCCAGAAGGAGTGTTTGTGAATACATGGGGTCTATATGCATGCGTGTTTGTGTGTGTGTGTGTGTGTGTGTATGTGCGCGTGCGTGCGTGCGCATGCATGTGTGCTTGTCTTGTAATCATAATAGAGAGAGAGAGAGAGAGTGTGTGTGTGTGTGCACGTGTTGTCTGTATTGATTACAGTGATGAAATATCTGCTGGAGTTTATGAACAGATTCTGACTCTACTGCTGATTGAAGAGGTAGTGAGCGGATCAGATTGCAAGAGCAAAGTTGAGCTCGCAGCTGTTCTTACTGGACTATATCACCATGCAAAAAAAAAAAACCCAAAACTAATTATAATAGTAATGTAGTTGCTGCATTGACTTTTCTGGTATGTTCTTTTCTACGTTTTGTGTGCATTAATTTTATTTAGTTTTATTTCCAGATCAGATGACGAGGAAACATTTTGTCGGACTCTGGTTGAGTACACCAGGGCTTGTTCTCATGTGGGATATCCTGTCAGAGAATGGAGGGACAGTTTTCCTACATGCGGTCAGTCAGATTTCATGTCATCAATAGGTTGGCCAGACATCCCATTTAAAAAATAAATAAATAAAAACTTTGTCTTGTAATTTATTCATTCATTTATTTTCCCTCGGATTAGTCCATTATTTATCAGGGGCTGCCACAGCGGAATGAAACGCCAACTATTCTGGCATATGCTTTACGCAGCGGATGCCCTTTCAGCTGCAACCCAGTACTGGGTAACACCCATACACTCTTGCATTCACACTAATACACTACGGCCGATGTTGTTTACCCAATTCTCCTATACTACATGTGCTTGGACTGTAAGGGAAACTGGAGCACCTAGAGGAAACCCACGCCAACACGAGGAGAACATGCAAACTCCACACAGAAATTGCAACTGTCCCAGCTGGAACTCGAGCCAGCAACCTTCTTGCCATGAGGCGACAGTGCTAACCACTGAGCCATCGTGCCACCCTTTTTGTAATGTACTTTTCCCAAAATCCTTCATTGCTAAGCATTAGTATTCGATTTTAGTCTTTTGTTATTTAAAAATAGCCTAAATTTTGATAGTCAATCATGTCACATTACTGTATATGTAGAAGATCAAAATTTTAATATTTATTTTTTTCAAATTGCCTACAAAACCACCTCATATGATTGACACGTCTGGTCTTGCATTAGCAATCTTACGCCCATCCAATCAGTAAAAGAATCCTTGTATAAAGCCAAATCACAACACCTCAGCCATTCTTCGATTTCTCAGCGTCCCTCCACCACCACGACTCCACTACCTCTTCCACCTTCAGTTGAAGAGAATGGTGAAGTTTTTGCAGGACCAGACCTGAGCTCGGACCCCTCCCTCCCGATTATGGGTAGAGCCCCGGGCTCGAGAATCTTTCCAAGCTCAGAGCTCTTTCTCGGGACAGCACATCAAATACGCTTCGTTCAGTAAAGTATCTGCAAAGTGCAAACTATTGAAGTAATGTACAGTGCAGAGGAGATGAAGTATAGTAAGATGAAAAATGAATGGCCAGAATGGTGGTGCAGTGGGTAGCACAATCACCTCACAGCAAGACAGTTGCTGATTCGAGGCTCAGCTGGGTCAGTTGGCATTTCTGTGTGGAGTTTGCATGTTCTCCCCGCGTTTGCGTGGGTTTCCTCCAGGTGCTCCGGTTTCCCCCACAGTCCAAAGACATGCGCTATTGGGTAGATTGTTGTAGTATGTGTGTGTGAACGAGTGTGTGTGAGTGTTTCCCAGTGATGGGTTGCAGCTGGAAGGTCATCCACTGCGTAAAACATGTGCTGGATAATTAATAAATTCATGAAGGGACTAAGCCAAAAAGAAAATGAATGAATGAAAATAAGATGAGAACTGAATGATCATTAGAAGGCAAATTGAAAGAAACTGTAAAACTGCATCCACTGGATTAAAATAATCACTAAATCAGAGATTTAACTGGTGAATAACATCAAAAAACAACTGTACATCATGTAAAACATTACCATTTTCCCCATAAAAGCCATTCAGCATCTAAAGTATGTTAGTTATAAGGAGAATTTTTACAATAAGAGGAGTGTTTTGCCGAGTATATACACTATAATACAAATAATACATGTGTGCATATTTATAATCAACATTTCAAGTGGATCCAAAAACATTTTCATAATTGTCCTAAGACCAGAATGTGTGTTGTTCAATAGTTTTTGTATATTTTTCCCTAATTTCTGTTGAATGAAGAGAAAGTGTGTTCAACACATTTCTAAAAATAATAGTTTTAATAACTCATTTCTAATAACTGATTTATTTCATCTTTGCTGTGATGACAGTAAATAATATTTGACTAGATGTCTGTAGGGCAAAGCAGTGGCGCAGTAGGTAGTGCTGTCGCCTCACAGCAAGAAGGTCGCTGGTTTGAGCCTCGGCTCAGTTGGCGTTTCTGTGTGGAATTTGCATGTTCTCCCTGTCCCTTTTCTGTAAGTTTCCCCTACAGTCCAAAGACATGCAGTCTAAATTGTCTGTAGTGTGTGTGTGTGAATGTGTGGATGTTTCCCAGAGATAAATTGCGGCTGGAAGTGCATCCGCTGCGTAAAAACGTGCTGGAAAAGTTGGCGGTTCATTCCGCTGTGGCGACCCCGAATTAATAAAGGGACTAAGCCGACAAGAAAATGAATGAGAAATAGATTTCTGTAGACAATGGAAAAACAATATTGCTTAAGGCGGCTAAAGATATTGACCTAAAAATGGGTTTTTAAATATTGTAAACTGCTTTTATTCTAGCTGAAATAACAGAAATAAGACTTTTTTATCCAGAAGAAAAAATATTACAGGAAATACTGTGAAAAATTCCATGCTCTGTTTAACATCATTTGGGAAATATTTAAAATAAAAAAACACAGAAGGGCTAATCATTTTGACTTCGACTGTATGTCCGTCCCAACTGTCTGTGATTTCCCAAATCTGCTCACTCTAGTCATAAAAGCATCACATGGCCTGAGTTCTTCAGCTTGCGATATGATTTGCTTGTGAATTGTGTTTTTAGCGGACAGATGTGAGGATAGTTTTGTCCATAGAGACTGCATCAGCTGCTGCCCACCGACATGCACGTTTGACAAAGAGTGTTTGGGCACCAATCTACACTGTCTGGATGGATGCTACTGCCCAGATGGTCAGAGCAATAATCAAATGCATAACCTTCATAAATGTTTGCTCGTATAATAGTAAAATAGACGTCATTTCTTTTATACTTGTCTTTCTCTTTGGCCTTTGTCAGGTCTGATCTTGCAGAATGGCACCTGTATAGCTGTGTCTCAGTGCCCCTGTGTGTACCACGGTACAGCATATCCTCTGGGTCACGTATTGGAGCAGGGCTGCACTGTCTGGTGAGGAACATTTTATATTAACACTCTTGCACTTCTAATATATATTTGTTTATTATTTAGCTCCTTAGCTGATAATAGAAAACTCTGCTGTGTGTACAACATCCATCTAATATGTATTACATTTCAGTGTCTGTATGGGAGGACTGTGGAATTGCACTGAAAACAACTGCACTGGTAAGTAAACTCCCTTGTTTACACTAGTTTTAAAGAACAACATAGCAAAAATATATATTTTTAAAAGTTGATCACATTTTGTGCTTTTTTTTGCATAAATGTATTATATAGCTGTCTACTGAGACTGAGCAATACTTTTGGATTCTGACTGAGCAATACTTTTGGATTCTTGCCAGATTGCAGAGACAATTTCAAGCCTTTTTCCCGCTATGGAGTAGGTGGGATTAAGCTTACCAAATCCCACCTAGTTCATAGGAAAAAATCTGCAAGCAAAATATTCACTGCCAAAAGAATGTGCCAGAATTGTCAGCTCAGTTTAATAAGGACCTTAAAAATAAATAGTGATAAGATTGTTATTCTTTTTTAAATAATCAATTTCCAAACAGAAAAACAACAAAACAAAAGCACAGCAAATACAGTAAAAGGAAACTAGTATTTCCAAGCATTTTCAATTCAACTGCAAAAACAGACCAACTGAATGAAATGATCAATGTGATTAGTGCTGCAGGCTAATTTGTTTTCATCCACACTCATACACGCACACTAGCATCCAGAATGTGTTGATTTATACTACTACTAATAATAATAATGATGCCAATAATACAAATGTATTTGCCTTTAAGTTGTGCCTCAAGTTAAAAATTGCTCAAATCAAATCAAGTTAACAATAATGAATTAAACAAAGATTTTTTTGGTCAAAAGGTTTTGTGTGCAAGTACAAAGGCTGTTCTGAGAATGCAAAGTTTACAACCTTAGATAAATAATCTGGCATAAATGCAATCTTTTGCCAGCAAATACAAAATGTTTTTGGCGATGCAAAAATTATGTTATTGAATGTAAAGTTTATTGGGCAAATCAAACATTTTGCTAGTTAACTTTAAAGTTGCACTATGTTTTTTTGATAAAACTTAATCTTACAATAATGTCCCTAAAAGCATATCAGCGATATAATAACGTTTAACACTATAAACAATCTACTGTAAAATTTACAGTAACTTACTGGTAATTTTGGTTTTTGTTAAAACTGTAAATATACAACCACACTGTGAATTATTAATTACAATTGTAATGTAAAAATACAGCACAATTGTATTTATTAATTTAGAGTGTGCTTGTAAATTTACAGTACATTTTTTAAGTGTGGATTCTGCAGCCACAGTGCTTGTTGTAACCAAAAATCAAACTGAGCAACCCGCTACACACAGCCCCACTCATACCCAGAACCATGGACATATGTCCACCTAGGGCTTAGTGTTTAGCTCATTTTAGCTCTTAAGTGGCTATTTAAAATACTTTGAATGTTTTATATTTTGTTACAGACAAACAGTGTAATCCTGCAACTGTTTTGCAGTATATGAAATGTCCCAAAACCTATTTTTAACAGTCCAAAATGGGAAAAAAAAATAATAGTTTTTACTCTCTGATAGCCAAAGCAAGTACAAAAAAAATATTTCTATGTTGTATATGCATTAAAACATTCAGGAAAAAATGTTTTATGTAAATTCGGACCACGAGTCCACATATATAGACATCATTTTTCTTTAAAAGTACATCATATCAAAAGATGATAATTAGGTTTTGATCTAATGAGGTTCCAATAAGCCCAAATAGCAAAGAGAAAATAAATGCATTTTTAAAAACACCTTGGGCCTTAAGAGGATATGGAAATGCCAATCCGCTCTTACAAGGAGACATAACAGTATTAAGTATTATCAGAAAAGGGGCTTATTCGTACAAATTCATACAATTTATATGAAACATGTTCGGGGTTGAGTACAAGGTACGAATGAGATTGTACAAATGAATATGAATAAGCCACTAATTGAAAAAGTTACAAATTGTGGTGGGATTGCATTGGAGATGCAAATAAGCGGAACAGTGACATCTAAGTAACAAGCTTAACAACACAGTGGAGAGCCATGAGAGAAAGTTGCATAGTGTTGCTTTAAAGTTCTGGACTCAATCCAAGTTTTGTGAGTGAATGCTGAATGTTAAAGTGGACCAATTATGTTAAATATTTTTTTTTGAGGGGTATAAACAGTTGTTTTTTAGTCTGATATAGAAATGAATATAGCCATGCTTCTAATGGAAATCACATTTCATAAAAACAGTCGGCACAAACACTTTGATTGACATTCTCCCTTTGTTCATGTCAGCAGAGGGGGAAGCCCCGCCCACTAGTGACCATCTCTCCCTCATAAGCCTTGCACGTTAGTCTTGTTTTTGAATCTGCCACTATACTGACACATAGGCATTTGGAGCTCTGCCTTTTTTTGAAAACAGCCCAATCTCAGTTAAATTTAAAGTGACCAAAATGGCACAATTAGGATCAAAGCCTCCTAGTTATAAAACATTATTTGTGTGTGAAGTTTCAGCTCAAAATAAAACACTTTGTAGGGACATTAGAGATTTATTTTACATCTTAAATAAAAGGGGCATAATGGGTCTCCTTTAATATCTGATTTTTCCATTCCATCTCATGCGAAAGCTATTCTTTAATAACTTCTAACTGTACTTATTTTACAGTTTCTGTTTGTTTAACCCTGCAGCGGAATGCACAGTGGTGGGTGACACACATGTGACCACTTTTGATGGGCGAATCTACATGCACTTGGGCTCTTGTCAATATGTGCTGGTGAAAAGCCGGGGCAACACCAAGTTTACTGTGACACTACAGTATACCGCCTGTGGAGAGGTAAGAGGAGTGTGTCTGAGAATGTGTATGATCAGAGGTGTTTGTTGTGTGTTCAACCTGTCTCTCAGTCTCAGGAACACTCCTGCATCCACTCGGTGGCTCTGGTGGTAGATGAAGATGTCAGCAGGCAGGTCACCCTCACCAGAGATGGAGAAGTTGTGATTGGAGCCAGTATGGCTGTTAATTTACCCTACTCAGATGGTAAGGAGAGATATTCAGGTTTATGTTGGAATTTGGTCACATTATAGGGTGTATACAGCAGGGAAAAATAAATATTCAACACATCACCATCTTTCTCAGAAAACATATTTCTAAAGGTGCTGTTGACTTGAATTTTTTCCCTGCATGTTGGTAACAACCAAAGAAATCCATATATGCAAAGAACAAAACTAATTAGTTTACAAGTCAAGTTATGTGTAATAAAAGGAAGTGAAAAATAATGAACACAAGAAGAAAGGGAGATGTAGAAAGACAGTCCCAGTCCCAAAGCCCAGACAGCAGCTAAAATCTCTCAGTAATTCTTCAGCAATCCTCTGCCCTTCCTCAGTGTAAATGAATATTAGCTGCTTCAGTCCAACATCTACATAAGCAGGATGATGGATGAAACCAGAGTGGTCATTTCAGCAAGGCAATGATCCAAAACACAGCCAAGGAAACTCTCAAATGCTTTCAGAGAAACAAAATCAAGCTGTAGAATGGCCCAGCCAATCACCTGACTTTAAATCCAGTTGAAAATACAAAATAAAGATCAGATTTGATAGACGAGACCCACAGAATCATGAAGATTTGTACACTCTGTTGAAGTCTGTGGAAAAACTCACACCTGAGCAGCGCATATGTCTCCATATTACACGTAAATCATTTTCAGATTTGTTTTGTTTTATTTTTATGTTTGTATTGTTATTTCAAAAATATTATTCCCAGGAAAAAACATGATGCGTTTAATACTTATTTTCCCCACTTAATATGTAGAATTTAGGAACCTTTGTTAATAGTATTGTAGGGCTTGTGACTTAAAAAAACAAAAGTTATAGTTACTAGTTACTTCTCACAAATAGAGTAGTAACTTCATTACATCATTAAAAGTAACTAATTACTAGGGAAAGCAACTATTATGTTACTTTTAAAAAGAAAAATGTAAAAAAAAACATACGTTATTAGATCATGGGCACCTTTATACATTATTTGCGTTATTTTCTATTAATTTCTAATAAATTGATTTAACTATAACACTTAATTGCTCCATATGACAAAAAATAAATAAATAAATATATATATATATATATATATATATATATATATATATATATATATATATATATATATATATATATATATATTTAACATAATAGTAACACTTTCCCACATAAATATAATAACTGCACTTATATCTGCTGTTCGTATAGGATTGCAAAAGATAGTTTGACTAGAATTTTTACACCATCACTCTGATTTCGGCAAGCTACAGTTTGAACTGCTGTAGTTAAATCGCCATCTTACGAAAGTTTGTTTGCCCTTTTGGTTGGGTTGGTTTGGTGAGGTATGAAATCAGCACTTGTACTCGGCTGTGCACTAAAAGCAAACCAAACAAGCATACCGAGAGCTGCAGGAAGCCTTAAAAATATCCTTGACTCCTAGCTTCTTAAAACATCATCTGGGAAGTATTTGAAAAAGTTACTAGTTATTTCTCACATATAAAAACTAAGTTATTAACTGAGTTATGTCTTAAAAGGAACCAATTACTAGGGAAAGTAATTATTGTGTTACTTGGAAAAAAAAGTAAAAAAAAAAAAAAACATACAAATTGTTTGTTAATAGAAAGTTATCCACACTCAAAAATGCACACTTCGCTTTGCATCATGGGCACCTTAATACTTTATTTGCATTATTTTCTAATAAGACGGTCATCAATTATTCCTAACCAAAATTTTATTCCTTGTTTGTTTGTTAGAGACAGTGAATGTTCGTCGACTGACCTCTCTGTTTGTGGGTCTGCGGTCGGTCTTTGGCCTGAGGTTTCAGTACGACTGGCAGGGTGGACGGATCTACCTTCAGTTGGACAGCACCTGGATGGGCTCCACACTCGGCCTCTGTGGGACCCTCAATGGAAACCTGCGGGATGATTTCCTGTGAGAAATGCATGTTTTGCAAGATTCTTTTCTCTGTTAAAGATATTTTATTGGAGTGTCCTGCTTTTAATGTTTGTAGGATGCTTTTTTTATAAAGTGAACTCACTTAATACATTATTCTAATATATATATATATATATATATATATATATATATATATATATATATATTATCATATAATGTAAAATGTAAAAGATCTGATGTAATATTAGTTTGTTTGAATATTTTTTAATTGTATATATTATATTTGTATTATTCTAAATCCTTTTTTCCGTGAATATGACGCTGACATGACATTAAATAATAGATAAGATACGAAGCGATGTGTGTGAGAAACTTCTGAAAACATCTAAATGAATTTCTGAAATCTCTCTGAATATCACTATGCTGTTTCTTATATTACAACGAGTGTGTGTTTGTACGTGTGTTTTTCCTCCAGTTCTCCTGCTGGAATGATTGAAGGAACTCCACAGCTACACGTCAACGCCTGGAAAGTGTCTTCAGCATGTATAAGTCCTGTCAACATACCTATCATTGACCCCTGTGAAATGAACCAACAAAATGGTAAACGCTATCACTTTGCTTATTAGTTAAAGCAGGGCGCATGTATTAGTATGCTGTTTTGAATGTTGTGTGTACTGTAGCTTTTTGTAAAAGCTCTGTAAGTTTTAAACAACAAAGTGCACATAAACAAAATTGTTGTAAGTAACTGATTCTAAACTGGTGAAACTTTCATCAAGATTTCCATTTTAATTAATTAATTCATTTTCTTTTCAACTTAGTACGTTTATTAAAATTAGGTCACCACAGCAGAATGAACCACCAACTTATGCTTTATGCAGTGGGTGCCCTTCCAGCTGCAACCCATCACTGGGAAACACCCATACACTCTCAATCACACACATAAACTACGGACAATTTAGCTTACCCAATTCACCTTTACTAAATGTCTTTGGAATGTGGCATAAACCGGAGAACACAGGGAGAACATGCAAACTCCACACAGAAATGCCAACTGACCCGGCCAAGGCTCAAACCAGCAACCTTCTTGCTATGAGGCGACATCGTTACCTACTGCGCCACTGTGCCACCCAGTTTAATTTTTGTAATGCTTTTACATCGGTCTGTTACACATTTTCATGATGCCAGTCTTTTGTCTGCATTGGCAGCCTGTGAAAAACAGCTAGAGTACTTTGACCCTCAGTCTGAGAGGGAGCTGATTTGTGTCTTCAACAAGATGCCCAGAAGAAGCAATTATTGTTGAGACACAAAGCAAAAACCTTTATCTAAAAACCCCTGTTATGATCTAATCTCCAAAGTTGCTGAATTGTTTTTGTTTAAGCTTTATTTTGAGTGACATTAAGTGATTGTTAGCCCTCCTGAATTATTAGCCCCTCTGTATATTTTCCCCCTAATTTCTGTTTAACGGAAAGATTTTTTTCAACACGTTTCTAAACATAATAGTTTTAATAACTCATTTCTAATAACTGATTTATTTTATCTTTGCCTTGATTACAGTACATAATATTTTTACAAATATTTTACAAGATATGAGTTTTCAGCTTAAAGTGACATTTAAAGCCTTAACTAGGTTAATTAGGCAAGTTATGGTAATAAGGCAAGTCATTGTATAACAGTGGTTTGTTCTGTACACAATCGTTAAGGGGCTCATGCTATTGACCCTAAAATGATTTTAAAAAGCTGTAATAAAACAAATCAAAGTTTCTACAGAAGAAAAAATATTAATGGAAATACTGTGTAAAATTCTTTGCTCTGTTAAACATCATTTGTGAAATATTTGATAAAGAAAAAAAAAATTCACAGGAGTGCTAATCATTTTGACTCCAACTATTATATATATTCGTTTACCAGTTAAAACTTTTACCTGTTTGGGATTTCTTAAAGGGACAGTTCACTACATTATACACAGTAGGGATGTCGAGATACTATTAATTCATGTTACGATACTATACCAGCTGAAGAATCGTTATACCAAGTGGTATTGCGATACTGCAATGCACAACTCAAATCTATAAAATAAAAACAATTGTCAGAAATACTTTTATGTTGTAATACGTCTACTTGAATTTAATTAATAATTCCCTTATTACTGAAAAAGTATTTCCACGTCACTTCACCTAAAATGCATTAGTTCTTTTTGTTTATTTTGTAGATAACTGACCAACAAAAAACACATTGAAATAAAGATGCAAATTATAATGAATAAAATTTGTTACAAAAAAAAAAAAAAAATTCCAACAAAATTTGGCTATATAAAGGGGTCAAAAATTGTTTAAATGTTTCCTGTTGCTCTTTTTTCATCTATTGTTTTTTTTTCCCTCAATCTTCTCAGGTAAAAATCCAAAGTAATTCAAAATTTCACTTTGTGTGTCGTTCTTTTGAAGAGATAGTTGCTATTAAATTATATCAACATAAACAGAAATTAACTGATTCAGATGTGTGTTTGAACTGAAGCTTCAGAAAAGGTGCAATAGGTTACCATAAAAGGGGTGAATTCTACACAGTTTTACAACCTTAAAGGACTTCACAGACTATTCAAATAAAATGGCCTACTGTTGCACAAACGTTTGAGCATTTTAGTGACTTTTCCACTTACAACATTGTGTATCGTAGATCGACGGTTAATAACAGTGGCACCGGCAGTATTTTGATGCCATAGTATCGTGATACTAACGTAGTACCGGTAAACCTAGCAATCCTGAGACACAGTAAATTGTTCTTATATTTCATAATTATTTGCATGTAATTACATCTGTAATTGCATTCATAATTACTCATCCCTGAACCCACAATTAAACCCTTCAAAAGCAAACCAAACAAGCTCAAACGAGCTGCTGAAAAACGTCCTTGGCTCCTTGCTCTTTTAAAGTTACCTAATGATTTAGTCTTCAACTGTAAATATAGAGCGATGAATTTTTCACAGTATTTGCGATGATATTTTTTTCTTCTGGAAAAAGTCTTATTTGTTTTATTTTGACTAGAATAAAAGCTGTTTTGAATAAAAAAAAAACATTGAAAGTCAATATTATTAGCCTCCATAAGCGTTATTTTTTCGATTGTCTACAGAACAAATCGTCTTTGTACAACAACTTGCCTAATTAATCTAGTCAAGCCTGTAAATGTCACATTTTAGCTGAAAAGCATCTTGAAAAATATCTGGTAAAATATTTATCATGGCAAAGATAAAAGAAATCAGTTATTAGAAATGAGTTATTAAAACTTATGTTTAGAAATGTGTTTAAAAATAATAATAATAATAATAATAACTTTATTTGTATAGCACTTTTCCAACATACATGCAACTCAAAGTGCCTCACAAACAACAACAAAAGCATTAAAATAGACCACAAAAACTTATCACATATACTGAAATAAAAACATTCATGTACACAAAATGTAAGTATATATTCACATGATCACACACACAATAGTCCTTACATATGCAGGCACACACCATACATTACATACATAAACCTACAACAAAATAGATAAAATGCGTACACCTAACAAACTTGTTTAATCATACGCAATTTTAAAAAGATGTGTCTTAACACGCTTTTTAAAAACATGAATACTTGGTGATTCTTTCACTTCAAGGGGGAGACAGTTCCAAATTTTTGGAGCATAATGGCTAAAAGAAGTGCCGCCAGATCGCATCAGATTTACAGGATAAAATTCTAAAAGTCCAGCACTAGAAGAGCGTAGTAAACGGTTTGGATTATATTTTGTTAAACAGTCGGAAATGTAGGAAGGTGTCATATTGTGTAGTGCTTTAAAAACTAATAAAAGAATCTTAAAATCTATCCTTTGGTGCACAGGCAACCAGTGTAATTCTATTAATACTGGTGTGATGTGCTCTCGTTTCTTCAATTTCATTAAAACTCTGGCTGCTGCATTTTGTATCAATTGCAACTTCATTGTAGAACCCTTAGGTAGACCAGTATAGATAGCATTGCAATAATCAAGCCGAGAGAAAATAAAAGCATGAATTAATTTCTTGGCATCATCAAAAGATAGGAAAGAACGAATTTTGGCAACATTTCGTAAATGATAAAAACATGTTTTTGTAACTTGATTAATATGAGATTTAAAATTAAGATCACAATCGAAAATAACACCCAGGTTCTTTAATTCTTTTTTTGATTGTAAACCTAAAGAACACAGTTCTGCTTCAATCCTCTCTCGCTCAGGTTTTTTGCCCACAATTAGAATTTCTGTTTTATCTTTATTCAACTTTAAAAAATTTGCAGTCATCCATTGCACAATATTGGACATGCAGTTGGACAAATTTTCCAATGCAGTTGTGTCTCTTGGCTCAACAGAAATATATAATTGTATGTCATCAGCATAAAGGTGATAATTCATGCCATATTTCTGAATTATACTACCTAAAGGAAGTATATATAATAAAAATAGACTTGGGCCTAGGATAGATCCCTGAGGAACACCATATAATATATTGTGTTCTTGCGATGTATATTCATCTATATTTACTAAAAATGTCCTTTCTGTGACATATGTATTGAACCAATTTAAAACTATCCCAGAGAGACCTACAAGTTTTTCCAGTCTGTTAATCAAAATGCAATGATCAACCGTGTCGAATGCTGCACTTAAATCTAGAAGAATTAAAACTGATGCATTACCTTTATCTATGTTTAAGCGCATATCATTAACTACTTTCAATAATGCTGTTTCTGTACTATGACCTTTTCTAAAACCTGACTGATATTTTTCCCAAATTTTATGCTCATCTAAAAATTGATTGAGCTGTAGCAATACAACTTTTTCTAAAATCTTACTAAAAAATGTGACATTAGAAATTGGTCTGTAATTATTTAAAACTGTGGAGTCCAAATTTGGTTTTTTTAAAAGTGGCTTTACCACAGCTTTTTTAAAAGCATTAGGAAAAATTCCTGTCATTAATGAATCATTTACTATGTCAAGGACATAGTCAATCAAGCAATTTGAAACCTTTTTAAAAAATTCAGTTGGAATAGGGTCAAGACAGCTAGAAGAGGACTTTAATTGAGATATAATTTGGATAATATTTTCTTTACTAATATTTCTAAACCTTTCCATTTTATTTTGTGGATAACTTCCCAATTCATCTACAAAATTTTGGTCAATCTGTATAATATCGGTTCTAATCTGCGTTATTTTGCTATTAAAAAATATAGCAAAATCCTCACACATAATAACAGAAGGCTGATCAAAATAATTAGCTGTTTTTTTGTTTAAAAGACAATCTATAGTAGAAAAGAGTTTTCTAGGATTACTGCTGTTTTCATTAATGATTTTAGAATAAAAAGACTGTCTTTCTAAACGAATAGTTTTATTATATTCGTGTATATTAGACCGCAAAATTTCATGATGTATGGTTAATTTAGTTTTCCTCCAGAGACGTTCTGATTTTCTACATTTCCTCTTCAACTGACAAATATGATCATTCTTCCATGGCATTTTCTTTAACCCTAACCTCCTTTTCTTTATTTTTTCCGGAGCCACAGTATCAAGAGTTGATTTTAATAACGCGTTTAAGATATCAACTTTATCATGCACATTCATCTCAGGCCGAAAATATATAGGCGCTTGTTGAATCTCATTAATAAAGGTTTCCGACGTTAAGGCATTAATAAACCGCTTTCTAACTATTTTTTCTTTAGGCTGAAGTATAGTATTAATTTGACAGTTAAAAAATAAGCAGAAATGATCTGAGATTGCTAGATCAATCATTTCATTTATGTTAACATCAATACCAAGTGAAATTATAAGATCAAGCGTATGCTTTTTATTGTGTGTAGGACCATTTACGTGTTGCGTGAGACTAAAAGAATATAAAATATCTAAAAACTCTGCTGCTTTGCGATCAAGTTTGTTATCAACATGAAAGTTAAAATCCCCCACTATTAATATTTTATCATATCTAGTAACACACAAAGTTAAAAATTCGGAGAACTCGGAAATGAAACCCTGATTGTGTTTAGGAGGTCGATATATTATAACAACAAGACACTTACTTTCTATTATTTCTATTGCCAGACATTCGAAAGAAAGAAATTCATCAAGAACAACCTCTTTACATGACAGTGACTGCATAAATATAGCGGCTATCCCGCCACCCTTCTTTCCACAGCGAACCTTTTGCAAGAACGTATAATGAGGTGGGCAAGCTTCTATAAGAGATATAGAGCCATTCTGATCAAGCCATGTCTCCGTAAGGAACATAAAGTTTAACTTTTTCTCTGATAGAATATCATGTATCAAAAATGTTTTGCTCGCAATTGATCTTACATTAAAAAGTGCCATTTTTAATTGTCCTTCATTTTGCAAAAACGGTATATTATCATTTAAATAGTTTCTTGCTATCGGTACCAAGTATGATTTTCTCCGATTAATATTTCGTGTGGGCCTATTGCTATTGTCTCTATAAGTGACAACAACCTTAATATCATTAACCTGGTTGCATCCCTGTTTCAACCCCAAAGAATTAGTATTGCAATATATTACAGGGATGGTATAAATTTGTCACAAGTTATGCAATGCATTTTCAACGTGTCTGGACAAAAAGTGTGCTCCAGTCCTACTGGGATGTATTCCATCAGCACAGTAAAATCTCGCTCTTTCCCAGAAAAGGTCCCAGTTATTAATAAAACTCAAATGTTCATTTTTACAATACGTTTCTAACCAGTTGTTAAATGCAAAAAGTCTGCTGTAAGATTCATTGCCTCTTCTATACGTTGGCAGTGGTCCAGAGATTAGAATCCTTATTGCAGGAGATGTATTTCGTACAGTTTCCACCAGTTCATTAAAGTCTTTTTTTAAGATTTCTGATTGTCTAAGTCGAATGTTGTTTGCACCAACATGAAGTATAACTGTGTCATTTTCTTTTGCGTGATTTAAGATCGTTGGGATTTGGACAGCAATATCAAGGACCCGAGCTCCCGGAAAACATTTATTTTGAACTTCAGTAGAATTAGATTTGATATTCAAATGTCTGATAATGGAATCGCCAATAATAATTGTCTTACCAGATGAAGCAGGTGGCAATAGCATATCAGTTTGCGAGGTAAGCGGTTCAAAGCGATTGCTGGTTGGAAAATCTAGCTTCTGTGTCAGTGCGGCCGAAAGATGAAACTTCTGTGTCAGCGGACTCAGCGCGGCCGATGTTCTGGCTTTAGAGCGTGATTTTCTCCGTTGGTAAAGCCAGGGTCCATTATAAGTTGGAGCAGGTGTAAAACAAGCCTCGACTGTCTTCGGCCGAGGTACGTTCCTCTCTTGGGTAGGAATACCCGGTGTAGATGTAAACGGTGTCCATTGTTGTTGTGTCGGCCTAATGTCCGCGGCCCGAGATGTTTCTAGCAACGTTTTCCGTTCACACAACTCCGTATGTTTCTCAAGCAATCCCTTTATTTGAATCTCTAAAACTGAAAGTTCCTCCTCGATTGAGCGTACCTCGAAATCTTTCTGATCGATTGAGGAAAAGTCTGCCCTGTCATTCCTCCAGGCAGCTGCTGCCGCCATTGTATCCCCAGTTTTGCACTGTTTTTGTAGAATCACCACAAAAAAGGTGAGAGAGAGCCCTGAGCTCACAAGATCCTCGAGCCTGGGGCTTCCTCCTGTTTGCAAGACGAGAGGGGACCTAAGGTAAATCTCGAGAACTCCCTTGCTGTAGTAGCTAATGAACAGATAGTGATTGCTCTTAAGAGATAACTACTTGCTAGGTGCTTGTTTATTTGGATTAGTCAATAAACTTAAGTTGCATGTTTTTGGACTGTGGGAGGAAACTGGTGAACCCGGGGGAAACCCGTTTGAGCACAGGAAGAACTAGTAAACTCCCCACAGAAACGTCGGTTGGCTTGGTAAGGACTAAAACCAGTGAAGTTCTTGCTATGAGGCAACAGTGCTAACCACTGGGCCACCGTGCCAACCATCTAGGAAAGGAGGAGGAGTAGGGGTGGAAGAGGGGATTCTTCAAAACGAAGATGGCTGTCATATGGAACTGAGGGTATTTATAATGGCTTAGGAATCGTCTGATTGGGGAATCATGAATTGGATAATGTGGGACCAGTCACAAGCAATCATAAGCACATGATGATCCTCTTGAAGTGAAGTTTATTTATAAACAAATTTCGAGAGGATCACGTGCTTTTGATTGTTCACAGCTGTTCCAACTTTAGCTAATGACTGATTATCCTATCAGACGATCCTTAACTCACTATAAATAACCAGACTTTTCTCATCTCAACATCTTCGTCTTGAAGAACCCCCCCCCGACCCAACCCTACTTTCCCTCCTTTCAAACGGGCGTCACGGTGGCCAGCGATTATGGCTGTTGTCTCACAGCAAGAATGCCCCTGGTTTAATTCATTTCCAAACCAGACGGCATTTCTGTGCGGAGTTTGCTCGTTCTCCCTGTGGTCGCGTGGGTTTTCCCCAGGTCCTCCGGTTTCCACCCACAGTTCAAAAACAAGCACCCTAAACAATTAATCCAAATACTTTAGCTAAACTCTGAGTACACCTTTCAGCATCCATATCTGACACTTAGCTACAACAAGCAAGAGGGGGAGTCATCGAGATCTACCTGAGCTCAAACTCCCATCTCGCCTTGCAACGGGAAGGAGCCCAGGGCTCGAGGATCTTATAAACTCAGGGCTCTCTCCTGGGACAGCACGCCAAACTAGCTTTATTATCAATCATCAGCTAAGTGTGAACTCTTGAAATTTGTTTATGAATAAACTTCACCTGGGGGAAAATATACAGGGGGGGTAATAATTTAGGAAGACTAATAAGTCTGACTTAAACTGTACAAATATTCCTGATAAATGAAAAATGTTGTCACCTTAATGTTTTTCTTCCAGTGTTTTATGCTGCCCAGTGTGATGTGCTGTTGGAGGAAGTGTTTAGACCGTGTCATGCGTATGTTAGCCCCAGCATGTACCACCAGCAGTGCCGCTACCAGGCCTGTCGATGCGGCAGCAGCTGCCTCTGCACTGCTCTGTCCCACTACGCCTACATCTGCAGCAAACACCACGTCACCATCAACTTCAGAGCACACGTCTCTGAGTGCGGTTCGTTGGTCATCCATACATCTGTCTGTGTGTCTTTGGCATTAGTGTGTTTATGAAGTGATCTTTAAGAAATCACGACTCTCAAAATATTAATATATTATTCATAAACAAATTATTTCATTATTAATTTTATTTTATTTTAATTTTTTGTGTATATTATTAATAATACCTATAATAATTATTATAAAGGACTATTTCTTTTTTAAATTTTAAAGTATATATTCAGAAATGTACTTTCTTATGATAACGTTTAGGCAAATATTTGATTAAAAAAATGTAAGAATACAAAAGAAATATTAACCCCTGTGTGCTCTTGGGGATATTTTCATTCGCTGAGGTGATTTTGAGTCTTAATTTGGGTACAGATTCCTCTGTGTTTCAGCTAGCGGACACATATTTTGACACATATTTTGGGAAAATGCTTTTCAAGTTTTCAAAAACTCAACAATAGACTCTGGGCCAGTTTACTACCCTTTTATTATGTTCAGGGCTGTTTTTGCCCAATTGACTTCCATTATAATGACATTTTTGGATTGCAAAGCCATGACACCATGTAATCATACATTCTTGATTGTTGCTGGTTTTTCTTGTTGGGAAGAGGTCATATTAGCAAGTTTTACTGTTTATCAACAGTTGCAGTGCAAAAAAAAGCATAGTTTCTGGCTTTTATATATAATATAGTGCATGTCAGAGTGAGAGAGAGAGACCTTTGTACACTTACCTTAATATGTCTGAGACTGCTGCGGCCAGGATTCTGAGCAGAAGCAGGACATCAGAGCACATCACACCTGTCCTCAGGTCTCTACACTGGCTCCCAGTTACATTCAGAATAGATTTTTAAGTAATATTACTTGTCTATAAATCACTAAATGGCCAAGGACCTCAATACACTACAAATATGCTCACTGAATACAAACCCAACAGATCACTCGGATCTTTAGGATCATATAAACTAGATATTCCAAGAGTTCAGTCAAAGCAGGGTGAATCAGCCTTCAGCCACTATGCCCCTCGCTGTTGGAATCAGCTTCCAGAAATGATCAGATGTGCTCCAACATTAGGCACATTCAAATCAAGACTGAAAACACATCTGTTTAGCTGTGCCTTTACTGTATGAGCACTGTGCTGCGTCCAACAGATTGCACTATCATGTTTTTTGTTTTCTTTTTTTTATTCTTTTATAACCTATTTTAACTCATTTTAATTTGTTTTTATCTGTTTTTAATAATTTTTATTGTCTGCATTTTATGTTCCTAAACTTGTCTTTTTATTCCCGTTTATGTAAAGCATTTGAATTGCCACTGTGTATGAAATGTGCTATATAAATAAACTTGCCTTGCCTTGCCTTGAGACAATCAAAATAAGCCCCACAGCTCTCAGAACATAGTAAATGTATTTATGCACACACTCTATAATGTGCTGTTTTACTCCATAGAACTCCATATAAAAAACAAACTTTTTTCACAGGTCTATCTAAAGGGTTAATGGTGGCAACTGATGATTGACAGTAAAAATGAGAAATTTTACCTCATTCCATCAGGGATTATATGGGGTCATGGCTTTGCAATCAAAAAATGTCATTATTATGGAAGTCCATGGGGCAAAAACAGCCCCGAACATAACAAAAAGGTAGTAACAATACAGATAAAATACAAAATACTTTTTAAAAACTAATGATTACTGGTCCAACATACAAAGAAAAAAATATAGTTAAAAAATATATATAGTTATTTATATATATATATATATATATATATATATATATATATAAGTAAACGTGCTTTCAACGTTGCTTTCCCCCCAACCTCATGACGCTCTACTAAACACAGTTTGGAGTATCATTTGAAACTACAGACTATTTAAGTTGTCCACATAATACACATTGTCATACTGCATTGTCATATTGTTTATGTGTGCAGGTATGGTGTGTTTAGGAGGGATGATGTATCACCCGTGTACATCAGCCTGCGGGCGGACGTGTCAGTCCGTCAGTAGTGCTGAAGTGTGTGATGGAGACTGTGCTGAAGGATGCAGCTGCACCGAAGGAACTTTTTATGATCACACTCGCCAGCGATGTGTGCTGCTGTACGTCTAAATACACCGAACAACCGTACATTTCTGATCTCTAGCATATATAGTGACATTTAAAAGTTCTTTTAACTTTTTATAACAAAAAACAATGGTAACACTATATAATAACTACACACTGAAACATTTTTAAGCATTAGCAAATAGCTAATTCATTATGTGCTAAGCATTAACTCTACATTGATAAATATTAGTAAACTGTTTATAAATACAGCTACAAATGCTGTAATCTTGACTTATAAGCGCATGCAAAATGTTGTGATTGTGTTTTCATTACTAAATTAAGTTTTACATTACACTACCTGACAAAGGCTTGTCGCCTACCCAAGTTTTAGGAACAGCAAATAATAACTTGACTTCTAGTTGATCATTTGATTTCAGAAGTGGCTTATATAAAAGACAAAGTCCTCTAGATTACGCTTATTTTAGCAAACGGAAATATGATCATGCCTTGATTGTTAATTATTTAATTAGGACAGTAAGGTCTGACTTTGCTTAGACTAAAGTCTTTTCACTCAACAGAAATAATGTGGAGTATAGAATATAAAGTCATGCTGCAGTGAAAATGGAATGAATATTGTGCATGACTCCCATGAGCTTGGAGGACTGCATCCATACATAACTGCACGGACTCGAATAACTTATCATTAAAGTCATCTGGAATGGCAAAGAAAGCGTTCCTGCAGAACTCCCAGAGTTCATTAAGATTCTTTGGGTTCATCTTCAATGCCTCCTCCTCCATCTTACTCCAAACATTCTCAATAATGTTCAGGTCTGGTAACTGGGCTGGCCAATCTTGGAGCACCTTGACCTTCTTTGCTTTCAGGAACTTTGATGTGGAGGCTGAAGTATGGGAAGGAGCGCTATCCTGCTGAAGAGTTTGCCCTCTCCGGTGGTTTGTAATGTAATGGGCAGCACAAATGACTTGAAACCGCAGATCTCTCACAGGCCCCCATACTCAATGTAACCCTAAACCATGATTTTTCCTTCACCAAACTTGACTGATTTCTCAGAATCTTGGGTCAATGCGAGTTCCAATAGGTCTTCTGCAGTAATTGTGATGATTGGGATGCAGCTCAACAGATGATTCATCAGAAAAATCAACCTACTGCCACTTTTCCAAACGATCAACTAGAAGTCAAGTTATTATTTGTTGCTCTTACAACTAGGATCGATGACAAGATTTTTGTCAGGTAGTGTATTTACAAACAAGTTATTTAAGAGTAGTTGGTCACACTATATTTTGATGGTCCGTTTGTGGAATTTAAGTTAATTGCATCTACATGCCAACTAATTCTCATTAGATTTTAAGTAGACTTAGGTTAAGGTTAGTGTGAGTTGACATGTACTTGCAAAGTTTCTTATAGTTAGTTAAATATCTGTTGAAGGAGCAGCATCAACAGATATTAAGCAGACAGTCTACTAATACTCAAATGGACCATCAAAATAAAGTGTTACCGAATAGTTGATGGTTTTAAGATCATTCAGAATGCGTAAGCAAATGATTACTAAACTATTCAAATTAACATTTATATATCTTATTATTTAGGCATATAGTAATCTTTACTTTGTATGTAATAAATGCTTTATTAACTCAACTTCATTCAGTTTTGTGACCTAATTTAAAGCCCGCACTATGCGTGTTAAATCATAAATGAATCATTAATAAAGTATGAAAATGCTATCAGTAAGCACATTTTATATGGAAAGTCAGGAATGCAGCATTCTTAGCTGTATTTATAAACTGTCGGACTGACGCTTCCTTACTTTATTAATACCAAAGGAAAATATGCCAAACACAAAGACTATACAATAAATACAAAATAAAATAAAATAGAATAAAACAATGAGAAAATCAAAGATTGAGGGCTTCCTTTTTCAAAACATGTCCACCATCTTTCACCTACATATCTTCTATTATATCACCAAGTGTATCCCCATCATTTTATTTTTCTGGAAAAAAAAACATAAAAGTGTTCCAAGCGTCTTCAAAAACAACCGCATACATCTGTTAATAATAAAGGTTATTTTCTCTAGTCACATTTAATGCCATTTCCTTAAAGCAGGCAAGTCTAAACTCGGTCCTGGAGGGCCGGTGTCCTGCAAAGTTTAGTTCCAACCCTAATCAGACACACCTGGGCTAGCTAATCGACCTCTTACAAGGCTTTCTAGAAACATCCTTGCAGGTGTGTTGAGGCAAGTTGGAGCTAAAATCTGCAGGACATCGGGCCTCCTTTGGACACCCCTGCCTTAAAGGGACAGTTCACCCAAAAGTGAAAGTCTGTCATTTACTTACTTTGTGCTTGTTTAAAACCTTCATGAGTGTTTTCCTTCTGCTAAACAAAAAAGAAGATATTTTGAAGAATGTTGGAAATCTGTAACCATTGACTTCCATGGTATTTGTTTTCTTTTCCTTAAAATATCTAATAAATATGTGTTCAACACAAAAACAACTCAGAATGGCTAGAAATTAATTTAAGTTGAGTAAATAGATAGTACATTTTCGTTTTGGGCACACTATTTCTTTAAGCCACCTCTTTACACTTAGTGCCTTCCAGTGAAGTGCAATGAAGTGTTGTAAATCATTTAGCAGTAAAAAGTGTTACAAAGCATCATCTAGTGTCTTTTTTTTTTGGATTTCTAACTGGGTGCATCTCCTTTCAGCTCCCAGTGTCACTGTTACTTCATGGGCTCAGTTTTTCACCCTGGTGAAGTGTCCTTCAGCTCTTCTGGACCATGGTGAGTTAGTACACATTAAGGATTTTCTTGTTCTAAAAAATGTACAAAAAGTAAGTGCATCAGTGGGTCTTTTACATATCGCGTGTTAGGGCTCCTTCCCATCGAACAGTTTGGAAAAGTTTGAAAAAAGTGCGACATAAATCAAGAGCGTATCTGGACACAGCCACTGAGAACCATTAAACAAAAAACTTCCAATGCCCCGTCTCCAAGCTCTTTTGATTTGTCCACGGCGCGCAGTTTTTAGACTTGTAAAGTGCTTGAACTTTCACACCGCGTCTAAAAAGTGTGCACTGCTTCAAAACATGCCAGATGTGAGTATAATGGTCACACACATTCATCCAGTGTGTGTTTATGTAACCTTGTCGGTCCCACGACACCCAACCACCTCCGAGCCGGTATCAAACCGTTGACCCTCCGTATGGAAGTCGGTTGCTCTACCAAGGAAGCTAAAGACTATGGTGTCTAGCTTCTGTCACTAGAGCACCTTTAGAGGTCAGAGGAGTGAGGTTTACTTGCACAGCACTTACTAGCTGGCCTAAATGTAGTTATTTGCCTTAATAGACAATAATGTAATTAAGATGTTTACGTGAAGTGCTTTCATGTAAGAGTTTCCAGTAATTTTGGGTGACTTTAACTGCAGTTCGGCAGTTTCATGAACATTTCATTCATGCCCCAGTGACAAACCGGGCTATTAGATGCAAATAAGGAGTAAAGACTGGTGGAGGAGTGTTATGGAATTTAATAACGCACAGCGAATGGAAAGAAAAAAACGTCTGCATTTCTCAAAGACTTACTTTTTAGTCATTATGTGGGTAGCACACATATTCTGAATGCCTTCAGCAGAATTCAAATGAGCCATTTTAATCTGGATTAATCTAGATTTATTCCAAGATTACAGTGAGGTTAATCTAGATTAAAAAAATATATATTTATTTATGGCCACCTATAATATATACATAACATTTTAAAACATTGAAATAGAAAACAAGGGTTTTAAATTGCAATGACTTTTCGAAAACCTTATTGCTTTTACAGTGTTTTTTTTAATCAAATAAATACAACATCTTTCAAAAACAAATAAAATCTAGCAGCCTCTTTAAATGACCTTAAAACCTAAATGTACATGTTTTTTTTTTTTTTGAATATTGCTTATAATATTTTTTCTATTTCATTTGTTTGTAGTCTCTGCAGAAATGGGCGTATGGAGTGTGTGCCAGAGGAGAGAGGTATCCTCATTATTATTATTATTTTATTTTATTTTTTAAAATTTTTCTTTGCTCCATTTACGCGGTCTCTTACACTTCTCTTCCTGAAAAAGTGTTTTCATCTTTGGGGTCAGCAGTACATTCCTCAGAGGTAACGCATTGAGCGGACTGAATGCTGGACAGATCAGAACTTCAGATACACATGCAAAAAGAAAGAGAGACCCGGGGGTGGAGATGGCAAATTCCACTTTTTCTTTTTTTTCATTTCTGGACTATTTGACTTTTTAAAACTTTTTCCAAATGACAAAAGACATTACTCAGCTGCCAGACGTGACTGTGAATTAAAATCTTAATTTGTATTTAGGTGACTATATTATTAGTATTTGTGAATTAATTTTTTTTTTTAAATAAAAAAGATTTTTAACAATTTAAACTCAACTTGTTGAATTGTTAACCCTAATTGTAATTGATCATTATTACTGGGTAGTTAAGGATAATTCACTAATATTACTTGTTTAAACTCACTGAGCATTTTGCACACATCAACATCTAAATTGTTAATCATAGACGAGGGCTGTCAATTGAATGCACTGTAAAAAAAAATCCATAATTTTAAGGTTTATTTTCGGCAGCTGGGGTGCAGAAAAAAAGGAAAATAACAGCCGTTAAATTACAGAAACTCACCGTAAAACAAAGGATATTAAATTACAGAAATTTCCTTAAATTTAAATTTCTGCAAAATTTGTAAAAATTAGTATGGTGTATGTGTGTGTGAGTGCGTTTGGGTAATTCCCAGTACTGGGTTGCGGCTGGAAGGGCTTTTGATGCGTAAAACACACGCTGGAATAGTTGGCGGTTCAATCCGCTGTGGCGACCTCTGAAATAGAGACTAAGCTGAAGGAAAATGAATGAATGGTGGCTATTTTTTTTTTCTTTCTTTAGCAATTTGTTCATGCTTGATTAGGTTCACATTGTGTAATTAATCAGTCCAATACATCTTGAGATCTATAGAAGACTTTTTACAAGACTTTTGCAAATGTTTTTTTTTTTTTTTGTGTGTGTGTGTGTTTTAGCAATCACGTTTTTGTGTATTTACACAGCTAAACACTACAATTTTAGGCAAATCATGCCATAAGTTTGGAGAAAATCCGTCACAATCATTTTAGACCACAGCTATTTAAAAAAAAATGTCTCTGCTAAATCCTGAATAATTACACTGTAAAAAAAAAAAAAAGCAGTTATTTTACGGCTTATTTCCGGCAGCTGGTGTGCTGAAAATTTTTTTTACGGTAAATTTCTGTAATTTAACGCCCGTTATTTTACGGGGGGGTTTTCAGCACCCCAGCTGCCAGAAATAAACCGTAAGATTACAGATTTTTTTTACAGTGTGGATGAAATGATTTGAATAATTAGATTAAATCTTTTCATTGATTGATACCTTTTTAAAAACAATTTGACACATTTTATTTAATTTTATAATCTTGTGATCTTATAATCTTCACCTGATGGATGATAAAGTTTAAAAAATAAAATCTCAAAGAGTAATATCTTGTGTCCAAAATATTACAAATAGGGGTTGACATTTTTGACACAGATCAATTAGCAGGGTCGTAAACCCATTATTACATTATTATATTTAATAAAATGTGTTGTCATAATGTATTAAAATATACTTTTCTTAAAATCTATTATTAATCAGTATTACCTTGGGTGATTTAGGAAAATAGTTTTAGGACGATTAAATGAATAGTAACAAGTTAAAATATGGATGAAATATGTCAAACATACATACAGCTGTATATTTACAACTTATTTTTTTATTTGTTGTAAGACAAAATACATTTTCCAAGTGATGTTTAATGAAGGGACACTTTTTTTCTTACACATTTTTAAACATGGTATTTCTAAAAACTAAATTCGGTAATATCTTACTGATTATTTTGAAATATCACCTTAAAGTGCAATTTCAAGGCTTAACTTGATTATTTAGGTTCACTAGACAAGATTAGTCATTGGACAAGAGTGATTTGTTCTGTAGACAATTGAAAAAAGGATCTTATAGGGCAGTGCTTCTCAACCACGTTCCTGGAGGACCACCAGCACTACACATTTTCCCGGTCTCCTTAAACCAAACACTCCCGATTCAGATCATCAGCTCATTAGCAGAGACTGAAAGACCTGTGATGGGCGAGACATCCAAAACATGCAGTGTTGGTGGTCCTCCAGGAACGTGGTTGAGAAACATTGTTATAGGGGACTAAAAATTATCAACTTCGATATAAATGGCCCTGGGAGTAAGTAATTAAGGGGACTAATAATATTGACCCTAAAAATGATTTAAAATCTGCTTTCATTCACCCATTCGTTTTTTCGTCGCAGAGCCCGAGCGAGGAGACTGTCCCAATGGCAAAGTGTACTACAGCTGTCGGGGTCAGAGCGGCCGCGGACCCTCAGGTGTCGGTTTGGCCTGTGAACTGACCTGTCGAAACCTGATGCTGAACCTGACCTGCCCTCCCATGACCCCGTGTGTACCAGGATGTGGATGTCCAGCCGGGTAATCGTGTTCATCTTTGCTTGAGGAACAAATGTTTTGGGAAGTATGCTTGTCTGTTGACACCAGAGCCTGTAACGTTACACCGTTTCTTCTTTAATTGGTGCAGGCTAGTGGTTCATAATGGAGAGTGTTATTACCCAGAGAACTGCCCCTGTGCGTGGCTCGGTCTAGAGTATCTCCCTGGGGAGACAGTGGACACGCCGTGCTACCGATGGTCAGTGCGCTTTGGTGCTTTTATAATTCTGTTTCCTGTTAATGCTTGATCCTTCAATTTGTGGACGTTTGATTTAAGAAATTAGAGGTTTTCAAAAAGAGTTTTAGGAGGATTAAATGAATATTAACAAGTTAAAATGTGGGTGAAATCTGTCAAACATACATTAAAAAATTAATAAATAGTAAATATACAGTTGTTAAGCAAAACATATTTAGGTGATTTAAGAAAATGGAGGTTTTAAAAGAAGTTCTAGGACGATTAAATGAATATTAACGCGCATATGTACACACACACACACACACACACACACACACTCATGTACATAGAGAGGAAAGAGTATGTTCCTACAGATGGTTTGTCAAGCCCACTCACCTTTCTAAACATAATAGTTTTAATAACTCATTTCTAATAACTGATGTATTTTATCTTTGCCATGATGACAGTACAGAAATTTCTTTTTTTTTTCAGTTTTTATAGATTTTTCCATATTTATACAATCACCTCTATTCATCATTATATTCCTTTATTGTTATATATTTTTACGACTTTTTAAATTAATTAATATCCTGATATTGTTTGAGAATCTGTGCCAGACTGTTTTATAATTTGACACCACATACAGACACATTACAGAAGACTCAGCCATGAGAGTCTCAAAGTGAACCGTGTATATATATGTATATATATATATATATATATATATATATATATATATATATATATATATATATATATATATATATACGTAGTGTAATCAGTCCATGAGTCTTGGAGTCCTGTGTAAGTCTTGGAGCAGGTGTGTGTGTTGCATGACAGGACTTTTAGTTCATATTAAGACAGGATTGTAGTCTGTGTAAATGTGTGTTTTCTCCAGCAATCTATGAAGGTTAAATCACTGGAGATCGTGACAGTTATGCATTATAATTAAATTCATATCGATCACATGGTCACCTCAACTTGATCATGTGATCAATATTTGAAACAGAATGCTACTTATTTCAAAAGTGCAATCACCTGCGTAATGTGCGTATGCATGTACGTTTGATTTAGTCTCTCTGCCTCTCCAGTGTTTGTCATCGTGGATTCTTCAACTGCACATACTCCCCATGTCCAGCAGTGTGTACCGTATACAGTGACCGTCATTACCACACATTTGATGGCCTGGAGTATGATTATGTGAGCGACTGCCAGGTCAACCTGGTCAAGGTACATGCTGTGTGTGTGCGCGTGTGCGTGTGCGTGTGTGTGTGTGTGTGTGTGTGTGTGTGTGTGTGTGTGTGTGTGTGTGCGTGTGTGTGTGTGTGCGTGTGTGTGTGCGTGCGTGTGTGTGTGCGTGTGTGTGTGCGTGTGTGTGTGCGTGTGTGTGTGCGTGTGTGTGTGTGTGTGTGTGTGTCTCCCGTTCCACACATCCCAAAAGTGCTCAATTGGATTGACATCTGGTGACTGTGGAGGGCATTTGAGTACAGTAAAGACATCAGTCCGAGATGATTCGCGCTTTATGACATGGGGCATTATCCTGCTGGAAGTAGCTATAAGTAGCAGATGGGTACACTGTGGTCATAAATTTGGATGGACATGGTCAGCAACAATACTCGGGTAGGCTGTGGCATTGACACGATGCTCAATTGAGACTAATGGGCCCAATTTTGGTAAGCCTGTGTGAATTGCAGCCTCAGTTTCCTGTTATTAGCTAACAGGAGTGGCACCCGGTGTGGTCTTCTGCTGCTGTAGCCCATCTGCCTCAAGGTTGGACGTGTTGTGCATTCAGAGATGCTCCTCTGTATACCTCAGTTGTAACGAGTGCTTATTTGAGTTACTGTTGCCTTTCTATCAGCTGGAACCAGTCTGGCCATTCTTCTCTGAACTCTGGCATCAACAAGGCATTTACGCCCACAGAACTTCCACTCACTGGATATTTTCTCTATTTCGGACCATTCAATGTAAAATCTAGAGATGGTTGTGTTTGAAAATCCCTGTAGATCAGCAGTTTCTGAAATACTCAAACCAGCCCATCTGGCACCAAGAACCATGCCACATTCAAAGTCACTTAAATCACCCTTCTTCCCCATTCTGATACTCATTTTCAACCTGCAGCAGATCGTCTTGATTATGTTTACATGCCGAAATGCATTGAGTTTCTGCCATGTGAATTAGAAATTTGTGTTAACGAGCAGTTGGACAGGTGTACCTAATAAAGTGGCCGCTGAGTGTATCTAAATGTGGAAAAAATGCGTGTAAATTGGGAAGAATTGTTGGCTTACATATGAGTCAACCAGGCAGCTAATGCTAACTCCAATTGAAGGAATTCATTTCAACCACTGTTTGCTCGGATGTCTCCAAGCTACGAGCTGAATTTTGATCAGAAAACATTTTCTGTAGCATTAATGTTGACCATGCTCTACTGTAGATATAAGCATTAAATCAATTGTTATATGCTATCCACACTTGGACCATAATAGTTTTTTTGTGAGACTAAGCTTAACAATAAGAGTAAGCCTATCTCTGTGTAAAACAGTGGCGTTCGTGTGCTTTGTGTGTCAGTCTTAAGACCAAGTAGAAGCGTTCACCAGCATGCCTTTAACAATGAATGTTTCTCCAATAGAAATCGCTGCACCTTTAAACCCAAGAATTTGTCTAACGAAGGGCCAAAGAGTGTGTTTGCGTGTGCGCTCTCCCACTTTGCAGACTTCAGTAAGGACGGATAAAGTAGCAAGGAAAAGAGATCTGCTCCTACCGCCTGTAATCTTGGGAAAATCAGAGGGGATTTTTAATTAGAACAGGACTGCGGTAATGGAGCCAGAGTTAATGTCAGTCCCAGCACAGAAACTCAGCAAAGAGCCGCACTTAACAAAGAGCAATCTGTTCCCTATCAGCCTACGCAATGCTACCCGCTACTGCCCTTAATGACTGAGAAAGTGTGTATGCAAGTTTGTGTGTGTGGTTTGTGTGCCTGTGTGTGTGTGTGTATGCTTAAGGTGCAGGTGAATAGACTTTGGTGTCTCCTAAAGGCCAGTGATTCTCTGAGGAGTCTACTGATCTACTCCAGGGACAGACTTTTCCATCACGACTAAAAGAAAATGGCTTTAGTCTCACACACACACACACACACACGTATATACACGAACACACACACTCACAACAACACACTAGGTTTCGATAGGAATAATTTGATACTGGCATGGCGTAGATGCATCAGAAATGCATTAATTAAATAAATGCGTTTCTTATTTAGAGTTTTTGTCTTGTTTCCATTGCAAATATCTACAAATTCTTAAATCAAGAAGCATTTTCTAGACAAGCAAAACGTGTTGTTTTGTTTCTCAGAAGTAATTTAGAGGTTTTTTTTAGATTATTTAGCTTGTTTTAAGTCTGGTGGGGTGGACGAAGCGGTGAGGGAGCAGCTAAGGTGCTTGAGGTTGAATGTTGCTTAGTTTACCAATTCTGGTGTGAAATTTTAAGAATAATGGAGGAATGGCTAGGCTGTGAGTCTGAATTGGAGCACATAGTGTAATATATTGATTGTACACTGTTAATCTTGTGTCCACATGTAGAGTGTTGGTGATACAGAGGTTTCCATCATGGCTCAAAATAAAGATTGCTATGAAAGTGGGATCGTTTGCATGAAGTACCTGCTCATCTACGTTGGCCTCACCAAAATCTACTTCAGTGATAACTCTGGTAAACCTGTGAGTATCCAACTGTAAATCTTCAGTAACACTTTATAATAACTACACACTATAAATCATTTATTAAGCATTAGCATCTAGTGATATCATCATCTGTTAAGCATTAACTCTACATTAATAAGCGTTAGTAAGCAGTTTATAACTGCAGCTACAAATGCTCTATTCTTGACTTACAAACATATTTAAAATGTGTTTAATAATCGTATTTTCATACTTTGTTAATGATTTATTATTCATTACTAAATGAAGTATTGCATTATTTACAAACCATTTGTATTTAAGAGTATTTGAGGTTTTTAGGATCATTCAGACTGAGTTAGTAAATGATTAATAAACTATTGAAATCAACATTTATATATCTTATTATTCAGGCATATATTAATGGTTACTAAATATGGTAATAAATGCTTTATTAACTCAACTTCATCTAGTTTTGTGACCTAATCTAAAGTGAAGACTATTTATGCTTTATAAATCCCTTATAAATGACAACTAAAGGCTCAGTTAAATGATAAACAAAAAATTTCTATTCATTTATTCGTCCTTTATAATGTCCAATTCATTCATTTCAAATAAAAAATAAATCTTTGCAACCTAATCTAAAATAAAATCACTGTAGAGTTTAAACATTGCATCTTATTATAATGTTAAATTACTATGTTGTTGTTTTATCCAGTTGGATGTTGTATTTTGACACTACCGTTATTCAGCAATGTTTAAACTTTATCAAAATTGTACTTTTTAGAAAAAATTGCAAAGATGTTTTGTTCATTTGATTCTGAGCCTGTAATAGTCATTTATAAGGGATTTATAAAGCATGAATAGTCCTCACTTTTGATTAATATATGTTATTACTATTAATATATGCATGATTAATAAGATATATAAATGTTGATTTCAATAGTTTATTAATCATTTACTAACTCATTCTGAATGATCTTAAAACCCTCAACTACAAATGGTTTGTAAATAATTTGATATTTAATTTAGTAATGAAAAATAAATCATTAACTAAGTATGAAAATACAATTATTTAACATTATATAGGTGCTTAGAAGTCAAGAATAAGGCATTTGTAGCTGCAGTTATAAACAGCTTACTAACGCTTATTAATGTAGAGTTAATGCTTAACAGATAATGAATTCACTATTTGCTAATGCTTAATAAATGATTTATAGTGTGTAGTTATTATAAAGTGTTACCAAATCTTCTTATATCTGACCCTGGACCACAAATTCAGTATTGAGTTGCATGGGTATATTTTCGGAAATAGCCAAAAAGATTTATCTTTTTTTATGGCAAAAACCATTGTAATATTAAGTAAAGATGATGTCCCATGAAGATATTTAGTAAATTTTAAACTGTAAATATATCAAAACTTCAGATTTCAACTAAACTTTTAAGGCAATTTTTATTATTTATTCATTATTATTTTTTATTATTATTCATTCATTCATTTATTCATTTTCATTTTGGCTTAGTCCATTTATTAATCTGGGGTCGCTACAGCGGAATGAACGGCCAACTTATACAGCATATGTTTTACGCAGCGGATGCCCTTCCAGCTGCAACCCATCACTGGGAAGCATCCATACACTCTCATTCACACACATACACTACGGACAGTTTAGCCTACCCAGTTCACCTATTGTGCATGTCTTTGGACTTGTGGGGGAAACTGGAACATGCAAACGCCACACAGAAATGCCAACTGAACCAGCCGGGGCTCGAATCAGCGGCCTTCTTGCTGTAAGGCAAACGTGCTATCCACTGCAACACCATGCTGCCCAATTTATTTATTTATTTATTTATTATGTTTTTTTCAATATGTTGAGTTCTTTTTTACCCCCAGATTCTACATTTTCAAATAGTTGTAACTCTGCCACATATTGTGTATGGACAAATTGTTTATTCAACTTTCAGATGATTGGATCAATGACTTATGACTGGATTTGTGGTGCAGGGTCACATACAGTTGAAGTCACAATTATTAGCCCCCCTCAAATATATAATTTTGTTTTTTGATTAATGGAAAGACTTTTTTTTCCAGCACATTTCTAAACTTAATAGTTTTAATAACTCATTTCTAATAACTGATTTCTTTTCTCTTTGCCATGATGACAGTAAATAATGTTTTACTAGATATTTTTCAAGATACTAGCATTCAGCTGAAATTGACATTTTAAAGGCTTAACTAGATTAAATAGGCAAGTTAGGGTACAGTAACTAGGCAAGTGATTGTATAAAAGTGATCTGTTCTGTAAACCAGGAGTTCCCAAACTTTTTAGCTCATGACCCCCAAAATAACAATGCCAGTGACTCGCGACCCCCAATATTCTTTGAGGTGGTTATAGATATATAATCCTTGCACACAACGATGCACACATAGGCCCAAGTCTAATTATTGTTTACGTTTGGAGAACACCACTCAGAGTCTATCCTCCATGTTCAGTTTTTATTTTTTAATGTACATGAGTGCAGTAAATGTGTCAGAAAGTTTAACCTGGTGCCATTTATTCAATGTGCTGCATCTGGCACTATTGCTGTGCCTTTAAGATAACGTAATCACAAGAGGGCGAATAATTTTGTCTTCAACTGTATATGCATGACAGAAATTGTGCTAAAATTCTTGAGATCTGTGTTTCCTGTAATGATTGTTTGATTTGAATAATTTTTTCTGGGTTTCTCCTCCAGAGCTCCTCCACTGTTGTGGGCAGAGGTTTTGAGTTTCAGCTGTGGGGTGCGGGATATTACACTGTGGTCCACTTTCCTGCTCAAGATCTGACCGTTTTGTGGGACCGTAAGACAACTGTCCATATTCGTGCTGGACCCCAGTGGAAGGTCAGAGGTTGCTCTTTGTGAATCAGCTGTATTAAACTCTCCTGTTGTCCTAGAATTCTGTATACAACCCTCATCTTCAAGTCAAAAAATAGCTGCCTTTACTAAACCTGTAAAATAAAGCATCTAAATTTAATATCAATCCTCAAATCTATTTTGAGGGGGCACGGTGATTCAGTGGTTAGCACTGTTGCCTCACAGCAAGGTCGCTGTTTCGAGTCCCGAGTTGCCATTTCTGTGTGAAGTTTGCATGTTCTTTTTGTGTTGGCATGGGTTTTCTCCAGGTTTTTTGGTTTCTGCCACAATCCAAAGACACGCGGTGTAGGTGAATTGAATAAATTAAATTTGGCCATAGTGTATGACTGTGTGTATGAATGCACTAGTACATGGGTGTTATCCAGAACTGGGTTGCAGCTGGAAGGGTATCCGCTGCGTAAAACATAAGCCGGAGTAGTTGACGATTCATTCGGCTGTGGTCACCACTGTTAAATAAGGGACTAATCCGAAGGAAGATGAATGAATGAAATCAACTTTGCATGAACAAACATACTCATCTTTATGACAAACTCTGCATATGTCTAGGTTTTCCCTCATCGGTGTGGAGTTTTTCATCAGTGTTTAATCATTGAGCTCCACTCATTTCTGGCTAAAGTAAATTGTACGTTTTCTAATGCTAAAAGAAACTGCATACATGTAAAATGTTTTTAGCCAGGAAGTATTTATAAAATTTAAAGCAGCAGATTCTTATTGTGTGTGCTTGAGGGATGTATGTGTTGGAGTGTGTACACAGATGGTAACAGTTCAATATGTTCCCTCTGCTGCAGCGGGTAATATCTGCAAAATGCGCCTGCAGCTTTTGACCACTGGGTGGCGCTTTAACCATAGACTTCCTCAGCTAAAATATCAACGCAATTTTCATTGTGGCCAACTTTGCCTTTTCACAGTACTAGATAGGAGGGTACATATTTATTTATGTTTGTACTTTCATTTTAGTTGTCTTGTATTAACCCCGGATTAATGAAGGGACTAAGAAAATGAATAAATGAATGAATAATAGTTTTATAGCTGGCTTGTCAAAATTGACCCAAATGACAACAGTTATACGCTAAATGTGTAGAGCCTTCATAAAAATATGAACAAAATAAAATGATTTGTTTAACGATGTTAGGGTCATTCAAAAATTTAAGTTGAAGCATTGTTTAGGTTTTTTTTCTGCTGCTGCCCTCCTAAGTCAACAGGAGGGTTAATGCTATGCTGTATCTTATATTATAGTGGGATTTGTGTTTTTAGGGTCAGATGAGTGGCTTGTGTGGGAACTTTGATATGGTAACAGTAAATGACATGACCACAGCTGGACACATGGAAGTCAGTAACGCACAGGCATTTGGAGACAGCTGGGCTGTTGGACAGGTATGGCGTCTACCTTTGGTATATATGCTGCTCAAACTCATACTGAGACTGGGGTTTGCTAAATGTAAATTAAGGGGTTGGAAAAATAACAAGTATATTGATTTTATGATAACACTTTACAATAAGGTTGTACTATTAGTTAATATTGGTTAATGCTTTTGCTAACATGAACAAATAATGAACAATACATATATTACAGTATTTGTTCATGTTAGTTACCGTTAGTTAATGACAATACAGTTGTTCATTGTTAGTTTATGTTAACTCCGAGTGCGATAACGAATGTTGAATTTGGGTTTTAATGAGTCATTAATAAATGCTGAACTATGATTAATAAAGGCTGTATAAGTATCTTATAGTATTAAGAAATACCAAAAACTAACAGAAAGAAAACTAGATCAAATAAATTAATACATTTTTATGTTGTGTGTGTGTGTGTGCAGTGTGAAAGTGATTTTGTAGTGCACAGACCATGTGAAGGAGATCTCAGCCGACAGCCGTATGCTAAACGCGAGTGTGGCCTTCTCTACAGTGACATATTCGCTCCATGTCACAATGTGGTGAGCAGCTCGTTCCTCTGAGGCTTAGCAACACACTTGGCCTATAGATAAAAAGGCCACGTCTTACCCACAGCCACACACAGGTCTAACACACATACACATATGAGATGCTTTGCAAAAACAGCTTTTCCTACTTGGAGATTTTTGTCTTGTTTCTAGTCCAATTATTTAAATATTCTTAAATCAAGAAGCATTTTCTAGACAAGTAAAAAAAAAAAATGTTTTTTTTTCAGAAATAATAAGTCATAAATTAATTGAGTTTTGCCTTAAAGCAAGCTAAAAACTAATCTTGTTTTCGGTTACACACACACACACACACTGCCTGTCTGTGATGAACTAACAACTGATAGTACCTGAGATTTGAGATGCTTTGCAGTTCATAATCTCTCCACTAGAGGGCTGTGTAGGATTAAAAATCTAGAACATTCCACCATTAAAGGGACAGTTCACCCAAAATGAAGATTACCTCATAATCCATCCTCCCTCACGAAATATTGAACTTTTTTGACTTTTCACAGTAAACTGGGATAATAAATCACGAAACAGCCTAAGCAAATCACAAACAAATTGCATGGAGAACAAAAGTTACACTGAGGAAGAGCGCACACAACACACTGGTCTGTCGGGACTTCAAATCTTTGCGGCTCGTGTGGAGATCGGTGGAACCGACACCGTCATAATGATGATGGACAGATGATGAACCTAAAAGAAACCTTAGGGCTGAGCAAGCGGAGAGGAGGGTGAAAAAAATAGACTGAAAGAAAACATCAAACATAACACTACTGTTGAACACAAAAGAAGATATTTTGAAGAATGTTGGCTGCTGGCACCCATCAATTTCCATAGTATGTAACAAAATTTCTATGGAAGTCAATGGGTGCCAGCTACAAGCACTCATCAATCAAAATATCTCCTTTGGTGTGTACATTTTTCCCTGTGTGTGAACTATCCCTTTACTTAAGCTCTTTCAGGTGAAAAGCAATTGGTCTGAGTTTGTTGCTTGATCGATTGTATGTTTGTCACAAGTTTATTAGGGTCTTACTATAGATAACCCTGTATTGTGTGTAACTACCCTTTGTGTTCCCACAGGTGGATGTAACCTGGTTTTATAAGAACTGTCTAACAGACACCTGCAACTGCAACCGTGGAGGAGACTGTGAATGTTTGTGTACAAGTATTGCAGCGTACGCACACAAATGCTGTCAGAATGGCGTCACAGTGAACTGGAGATCTCCTACTGTGTGTCGTGAGTACAAGGAAACACACACGAAGAAGTTTACACAGAGACAGTTACACATGATTGAACTGACATTTCTAATGCAAAACAAATCCAGCATGAACTTTTTCAAAACGTCCCTGTTTGCTGTCAGCATCTGTTTATGAGTCAAAGATAAGATTTCCTATTTTGGTGTCACATTACACTCACTGGCCACTTTATAAGGTACACCTGTCTAAATGCTTGTTAACGCAAATTTCTAATCTGCCAATCACATGGCAGCAACTCAATGCATTTAGGCATGTAGACACGATCAAGACGAACTGCTGCAGTTCAAACAGAGCATCAGAATGAGGGAGAAAGGTGATTTAAGTGACTTTGAACGTGTTATGGTTGTTGATGCCAGACAGGCTGGTCCGAGTTTTACAGAAACTGCTGATCTACTGGGATTTTCATGCACAACCATCACTAGGGTTTACAGAGAATGGTCCAAAAAATAGAAAATATCCAGTGAGCGGCAGTTCTGTGGGCGCAAATGCCTTGTTAATGCCAGAGGTCAGAAGAGAATGGCCAGACTCAGGACAGAGGTATGCAGAAGAGCATTTCTGAACGAGCAACATGTCCAACCTTGAGGCAGATGGGCTACAGCAGCAGAAGACCACACCGGGTGCCACTCCTGTCAGCTAAGAACAGGAAATTGAGGCTACAATTCGCAAAGGCTCATCAAAACTGAACAAAAGAAGATTGGAAAAACTTTGCCTGGTCTGATGAGCATAGTATGAGGGTCAGAACATTGCATCAACAACTTGAAAGCATGGATCTTTCCTGCCTTGCATCAACGGTTCAGGCTGGTGGTGGGGGTGTAATGGTATTAGGGATATATTCTTGGCACACTTTTGGCCCATTAGAACAAATTGAGCATCGTGTTAAAGCCACGGTCTACCTGAGTATTATTGCTGACCATGTCCATCCCTTTATGACCACAGTGGACCCATCTTTTAATGGCTACTTACAGCAGGATAACACGCCATGTCATAAAGCCAGAATCATCTTAGACTGATTTTTTGAACATGACAATGAGTTCACTATTCTCAAGTGGCCTCCACAGTCACCATATCTAAATCCAATAGAGCACCTTTGAGATGTGGTGGAACGGGAGAATCGCATCATGGATGTGCAGCCGACAAATCTGCAGCAACTACATGATGCTCTCATGTTGATATGGACCAAAATCTTTGAGGAATATTTCCAGTACCTTGTTGAATTTATGCCACGAAGGACTAAGGCAGTTCTGAAGGCAAAAGAGGGTACAAACCCTGAACTATTTAGGTGTACTTAATAAAGTGGCCAGTATTTAGTAAAATAATAGGTGATCAAATTACTTTGGTATATTTGAAATGATTGCAGATTTAAAAAAAAAAAACTTAATTACAATGTGATCAATAAATCTGTATCACTAATCCCACTATTTATTGAAACCACTTTGACCCCGTCCTGATTCTATGATCTGTTTCAGATGCAGATTTGCCAACACACAAACATACATGCAGTACATACACACAAACATGCACATATACTGTATGTATATGTGTGTGTGTGTGTGTGTGTGTGTATACATACATACACATGTTAGTGTTAAAAGACAAATTATTTTAAATAATAACAAAATGTATTAAAACATTTATTTGACCTAATAATTACAATATATAATTGTATAGTGCATTTGGATAATGCTTATTTTTATTTTGTTGATGCTGTGGTTGCTTCTATTGTCCTCATTTGTAAGTCGCTTCAAATAAAATCTGGCAATTGCTCAGATGTAAATTTAACATGAAATAACCGCTGCTTATATATATGAATATTTTCTCTTTTGACAGCATATGATTGTGAATATTACAACCAAGGTAAGAGATTTTTTTCTCCTGGTCATTAACACACTTGTAAGCAGCAGAAGATATATGCTTGTTTAATGTGTTAATGTTTGTATGTGTGTGAGTGTAGAGTTGGGCGAGGGTCCGTTAACTCTGTCCAGCGCAGAGCAGAATAACTCCATCTGTGTGTTTGGGGCAAACGTAAGCAGCGGTGAAGTGTTTCCCCTCCTGAAGACCAACGCTCAACCCAGCACCATTTTCCACTTCATGATGACAACTGGACTGTTCAAGGACAGGGCCTCACGTGAGCACTTTTCTGCCTTGCAAAAACACTTCTTTAAAAGTTATCCATGAATGTATAACTACCTAAGGTTTCTGACCTGGACAGACTTTTGTACATTTTGTTTATTATAGTTTTTAAACCATGAAGAAACGTGCATGTACAGTTAAAGTCAGAATTATTAGCCCCCCTTTTAATTGTTTTCTTCTTTTTAAAAATTTCCCAAATGATGCTTAATCAGTAAGGAAGTTTACACAGTATGTCTGATAATATTTTTTCTTCTGGAGAAAAAAAAAGTTGTTTTATTTCAGATTGAATAAAAGCCGTTTTTAATTTTTTAAACACTATTTTAGGGACGAAATTATTAGCCCCTTTAAGCTGTATTTTTTCTCGACTGTCTACAGAAAAAAAGACTGTTATACAATAACTTGCCTACGGTAATTACCCTAACCTTCCTAGTTAACCTAATTAACCTTGTTAAGCCTTTAAATGTCACTTTAAGCTGAATAAAAGTGAAATATTATGTTATTAGAAATTAGTTATTAAAACTATTTTTTGGAAATGTGTTGAAAATATCTTCTCTCCGTTAAACAGACATTGGGGAAAAAAATTAAAAAGCGGTGTAATAATTTAGGAGGGCTAATAATTCTGACTTCAACTGTATGTAAATCCTTAGCATTTAGCCCTGTAAAAGTCAGAAATTTGATTCATAATGTTCTTAAAAAGGTCTTAAAAAGTCTTAAAGTACAAATGCAATCAGAACTAACCATACACTACCTGACAAAAGTCCTGTCGTCGATCCCAGTTGTAACCATCAGTCAAGTTTGGTGAAGGAAAAATCATGGTTTGGGGTTACATTCAGTATGAGGGCGTGCTAGAGATCTGCAGAGTTAATGGCAACATCAACAGATGGAGATATCAAGACATTTATGCCATTTAAGCCCATTCAGACTCCACATCAAAGTTCCTTACAGCAAAGAAGTTCTAGGCTCTCCAGGATTGGCCAGCCCAGTCACCAGACATGAACATTAATGATCATGTCTACTGTAAAATGAAGGAGGAGGCATTAAAAATGAATCCAAAGAATCTTGATTCAACAAAATCGGCCATCCCCAATAGTTACAAATAGTTTACCAATACAATTTCTTTGCTTCTTGATGCATTCTGTTATATAATATATTACCTTTTCAGGCTGAATAGCTGTATCTACTGATATTTTGCTGTTCAGGACTTCCTGTTGTCTCACTGGAGTCTGCAGAAAGGCCAAACTACTTCCTGTGTGTAACTGTGAACCGCGGGCTGCGACTGGAGCACTGGCAGCCTGGAGAAGAGTTCAGACGGCGGGCCACTTTCCTCCACCACCAGGGCCTGTGGCTTCCAGGAAGATCCTCCTTTGAGCTGCACAGTCAGAAGGGGGTTTTCATCACCCTCACACACACACAGGCCCGAGCGCAGAATTATGATCACACACAAGCCTTCAAAACCAGCAGCAGCTTCATCATCGAAGGCAAGAATTTGCTGCATTTATTTAGTAGTTGTACATCTTAGTAAAATGTTAATAGTGGTGTTATTCGATAAAAGGTGAATAGCTCTAAAAGTATTTTATGTCTTATTTGAGTTGTTTTCCATAATGTTGCTGCACTTTTTCTGAGTCTGTTTTCGGTGCTTGTGTTCCTGTATTTTAGAGAGCAGTTTTGTGATCCCATACCGCTTGATGTGCGAGTGGAAATATCACGCATGCTCCAGTCCGTGTGTGAAAACCTGCAGCGACCTCGATGCCACACGTTGCCATTTTCTACCACCGTAAGATCTCGCATCAGCATGTACCGTGTAGTGTTTGGTGTAATTAGTTAGAAAGTAACCAGTAACTAAATTACTTTTGTGCTGAAAAAAGCAGAGTAAGCTGAAATAGTTGGTGGTTCATTCCGCTGTGGCGATCTCTGATAAATAATGGATGATAAATAAATTAATAATTAATAAATGAATGAATAAGATTTAGATCAATTCAACAGTTCTGTATAAATCAACTGAGCAGGGACATTATACTTCTGAAGGTTTTATTTATCAACAATCAATTGCCCATGCTTAAACAAAAATTGAGTGAGAAATCAGTTCATAACAAGTAGAGCAATTATATATATATATGATGACTGACACTGCTACTGTGATAATACATGGCAATTATACAGTACAAAGGCTGTACAAAATTGGAATATTTAACTTAAAAATCCAGAAGGACATTTTTTGATAATCAGGAGTATTAGGAGATTTATACTCGCACTCTTTCATTCTCTGATGTGGCTTAGGGTTGAAGGCTGTTTTCCACGATGTCCTAAGACCATGTTGCTGGATGAAGTGACCAGGCGGTGTGTGTACAAAGAAGATTGTACGTATGAAACCATAGTTTGCATCCAGTTCATTTAAATATTTGATAATTATTTAATTAAATTAAATTTTTAATTAAATTTTTAATCATTCTATTTTATTTTTACTCACTATCCTTTTTTATTTTATTTTATTTTACAGTACGATAGTATTCATTGTAATTGTAATATTTAATAAAGATGATTATTTTATTTTATTTACTTCTGTAAACCACCAATTTTTATTTTATTGTATTTTATTTTACAGTACAATAGTATTCATTGTAATTGTAATATTTAGTAAACGTAATGATTATTTTATTTTATTTTAAATAAATTTTATTTTATTTTATTTACTTCTGTGAACCACCAATTTTCATTTTCATTTTATTTTATTTTACAGTACGATAGTATTCATTGTAATTGTAATATTTACAATATAACAATAATGATGATTGTAATTGAATTTAATTTTTTATTTAATTTCATTTTATTTTATTTTACTATAGTATTTATTGTAATTATAATATTTAGTAGACATAATAATGGTTATTTAATTTAATTTTAATTAATTAAATTTTATGTATTAATTTAATTTAATTAAATTTATTTTATTTTATTTTATTTTATTTTATTTCCTCCTGTGAACCTTCTGTTTTACAGTCCGTTCGTATTCAATGTAATTGTTATAATATTAATTGTAATATTTTTATTTTTATTTTATTTTACAGTACAATAGTATTCACTGTTATATTATTTAGTAAACATAATAATGATTAATTTAATTTAATTTATTTTTAGATTATTTATTGTTATTGTAATATTTAGTAAACATAATATTTGGTTAATATTTAGAATTTCTATAATATTAATTAAAACATTCATTATAAAATGTATTATTATTGTCACAGGTGTGATGCTTTCTCCAACACCAACTCCTTACATGTTTGTAACCCGATCAAACCGCACCACGGCGGCTCCAACCACAGCACCTACAACCACTACTTCAACCACAACGACTCCTTCCACCACAACAGCAACACCAAGCACAGCTCCAACCACAACTTCCAGCACTACAATCATAACTACACCTTCAGAAGCAGCTGTTTTAATAGTCAGCCCGACTACAACCACATTACCCCCAACCACAGTGTCGTCAACAACAGAAACCACTTCAACAGAAACGCCCACAACGTCCTCTCCACCAACCACAGAGCCTCCTCTAATCACCACTGCCCCGCCCACCACATCAGCCACACCCACTACAGCTAAACCCACCACACCTATTATTACAACTTTACCATCATCTACATCCACCACAGAAATGACAACCTCATCTGAAGCCACAACCAAACCTGAAACAACCTCTCCGACGACCACAGTCCAGCCAATTACAACCACCACTGTCATCACAACAGAGAGCACAACTTTAGAAAGTACGACCACAGTGATCACCACAGAGTCCACATCTGTCTCGCCCACGACCGAGGAGCCTTCAACTACAACAGCAGCGGTGCCGACAACTTCTGAGATCATTATTCCTTCTCCATCTCCTTCTCCTGAGACAGCAGGAATAACTACAGTTCTTCCTCCATTTCTGCTGCCCACAGGACCCTGCACGGTAAGAGATTTTAAAACCAGGCACATTGGAGATACATCATAGCACCTCGTAACATTGATTTTACACACAGAATGCATCCTTAACATAGGTAGCCCAGGGTACAAATTTCTCAAATATGTAGCCTTGGGCACATATTCCCTATAAGCCTGTGTTGGAGAATTTCCCCTTGGTTTCACAGATCAGGTTTAAAATTTTTACGTGTGATTTTTTTAAATACTCATTTGTGAGTTTTTTTTTTTTTATTATGACTGGTATTTAGAAAGCATTGTGTTCTGAAGTTCTCATGGAGATATGTCAAGTTTATCACGTGACCCATTATTCATAATTTTCTTCTGAAATAATTGTAAGTAACTGTTTATCTGGGAGAGGAATAGAGAAGATATTCTAGTAACATAGAGTGTGTGACTTGGTTGAATAAAGCATATCATCTAGTTATATTTAAAAATAATTACTATTACCGTCGCCATAGACATCCATGTGTATTTTAAAAATCTAAAAGCTGTCAGATTTGAATTGAACCAGTTGATAACGTGCACTCCAAACATTCTAATCACACCTGTGTGATTGTGCGCTTTAGGGGCCAGCCATGGCTGATCACACTGGTATGATCATATGCGTGAAAGGATTATAGTCACAGTATGTAATTTTTGCCACTAGAGGGCGCATATTCACAATAAACAAAGGCGTACTTTGATAATACAGTGACTGAGTGTGGAATCATGGGAGTTGTGGTCTTGGTTGTATCTTATAGGACTTATTATACTGGTAGTATGAAGCGGAAAAGAAAAATATTGACATGAAAGATATGCTGAAGATTATTGAATTTTAATGAATTGAATTTGAATTGAATTTTAATGAATTGAATATAAAGGTGGAAAGTATACAGTGCATCTGGAAAGTATTCATAGCGCTTCACCCCATAATGACAATGTGATTTTTTAAATTATTTTTTTAAATTGTTGCAAATTTATTAAAAATAAAAAACCTGAAAAATCACATGTACATCAGTAATCACAGCCTTTGCTCAATACTTTGTTAATGCACCTTTGGCAGCAATTACAGCCTAAAGTCTTTTTGAATATGATGCCACAAGCTTGGCACATCTGTCTTTGGGAACTTTTGCCCATTCCACTTTGCAGTACCTCAAGCTCTATCAGGCTGGATAGGAAGCAATGGTGTACAGCAACTTTCTGTCTTCTTCTTTTGTGTTAAAAGCGGGTGTCGGAAGCTTAAAGTTGTATAGCACCATCTAAAGTCAAGGAGTGATTTTGCATACTCTTCTGCTCGACCCCATTGAAAATCAACTGCGTTTAAATCTGGAAAAACATCTAAAAAAAAACGCTGACACTAACTGCAAGTGAAAAGCATCCCAGTGTGAAGATGCATCCCAGTTTTTTTTTTCAACTCACACTGTTGCTGTTTATTTTTACTTTTTAAAGTTAAAAATTCTGTGCACACCCCTTCTAGCCACCTTCACTAAACCTGTAAAGTAAAGCATCTAAATGTAATATCAATCCTCAAATCTATTTTGAGGCGGCACATTGGCTCAGCTGTTAGCATTGTCGCCTCACAGCAACAAGGTCGCTGGTTCGAGTCTCGGCTGGACCAGCTGGCATTACTCTGTGGAGTTTGCATGTTCTTCTCGTGTTGGCGTGGGTTTCCTCTGGGTGCTTCGGTTAAACCCACAGTCCAAACACATGTGCTATAGGTGAATTGGGTAAGCAAATTGTCTGTAGTGCATGAGTGTGTGTGTATGGTTGTTTCCCAGTACTGGGTTGCGGCTGGAAGGGCATCTGCTGTGTAAAACATATGCTGGAATAGTTGGTAGTTCATTCTGCTGTGACAACCCCTGATGACTTATCTGAAAAAAATGAATGAATAATGCTAAACTCACACTGATGCATGTGATGTGGCCACTTGTGAGCGAGTGATTCTGTTCTTATTGATCAATTGGTTAAAAAGCCTCAAATCAATGAGTTTGAATGTATACTAATCAGAACTCACTAAATGAAAAAGTTGTTGGATTTTATCAGGTCAAACTCAAAAGATAAAACAAAATAAACACTTTGCTTCTAAAAACCCGGAGACTTAAGTCTGTTTATTAGTCTGTGCTTTTTAAGGCAACGGGTTGTGCTTAAAGATAACGAATCAGACAATTGATAAAATCTCATTCCTGGTGTATCTACATGCTCTCCAAGAAAAATATGTTTTGCCTCAGCTATCGTTGATTCATTTTCTGTTGATATCAGTATTAAGTGAGAGTCGACATCTTCCACTTCCCTCCCTGACTTGAATATCAATCTGACACATTTATACACACAGCCATAAATATATACATCTTCTGGATTAATCAGTGCTCCACATACAGTGAACACGTCTACCAGTTGTTTTTTTAGTCATTCCTGTCCCATTGCCAGAATGTTGATCCTTGGAGGGAAGCATCCCGAGTTAGGAGATTTGTAGGTTAGAATTTGTTGTACTGCAATAGCCCACATATTAATCTGGTATATGGCAATATATGCAAATTACCTACATGACATACAAGTTCGTATTTGGATTTCTATATAAAATATTCCTGGTGTACACCTTACTAGTACCGGGTTGGACCCCCTTTTCCTTTTAGAACTTCCTTAATACTTTATGGCATGGATTTAAGAAGGTACTGGTGATGCTGGTGGAGGAAATTTTTACTGACTTGCTACCTCCAAAACACCCCAAAGTGGCTTAATAATACTTAGATCTGGTAATTTTGCAGGCCATGAGAGAACTTCACTTTTATGCTAATAAAACCACTGTCACCAGTCTTTCTGTGGCATCACCTTTAAGATACAGGGCTCTATTTTGATGGTCCATGCGCAGAGCGCAAAACTCAGGGCGCAAACGCTTTCAGGGCGTGTCAGAACGCATTTTTGCTAATTAAAGGACGGGAAAATCCGCTTTGCGCCATGGTCTAAAAAGGTTGAGTTTATTTTCTTAATGAGTTATAGGTGTGTTTTGAGAATAAACCAATTAGAGCCTTATCTCCCATTCCTTTTAAGAGCCAGCTGCGTAGCGCAATAAGCGCATTTTGACGTAAAGTAAGTTCACTTTCGCTTTTGCTCTCATGGATAGGGAAACCTTAACGCACAGACATCCATTAGCCTATAAATAATTAATTTTGTTTGTTAAGAACAAAGATTTGTTTCAAAACTATTTCTAAATTCAGTTCTAATTTCTAGCAAACGAATAAATGAACAATAATAACCAAGTGTGGTCAAAATACTGAGTTATTTCCAAATACACCTGCCATGCCCCATAGAGTCTAAAATTTGATAGGTGGACAAATCTAAGCTTGTTTTTAGTAAAACAAATATAAATATGGATATAATAAATAATACTGCTAATAATAATGACATTATACAAAAGCAAATTGAATGAACTGAAAAAGCCTCCTGAGATGAAGAAAGTAAGGCAGTGGTTTTTAAATCTACAAGTAGGCTAGAAATTAATAAGTTTTGTAATATTTTAGTCATTTATATTTCTATCCTTTATATATCCATACTATAAATATATATATATATATATATATATATATATATATATATATATATATATATATATATATATATATATATATATATATATATATATATATATTTAAATATATATCCTTAAGATATTGTATATTTTTCATATGTAAAGATATTTGCGTATTGCTCTGCATCTTGTTTGTAGCGTGTAAGCCACTTTGCGCCAGACAATAGACCGACTTTGTTCTGGTCTAAAGATCAAGACTATTTACAGTTTCTCAAAATAGCAACGCGCCAAAACACGCCTGCTTTTTTAGACTAATGCATTTGCTATTTTAACAGCGTGGCGCAACACCTCAAAATGACCCTTGCGCCGAGCTAAAAGTACCAAAAGAGTATTGCGCCGCGCCTTGCGCCACATTGCGCCGGGTGTATGATAGGGCCCACAGTGTTTGAACCATTGGGGGACATGGTCCTCCAGAATGGTTAGGTAGTTCTTGGCAAAATTGGGGGAGTATTGGGCCTAGGGAATGCCATGATGTTGCAGCCCAAACCAATCACTGGTCCACCCCCATGCTTCACTCTAGGCATGCTCAGTCTGGGTGGTATGCTTCTTTGGGGCTTCAGCCCAAATTTTTTTGCTGCTGGCACATTTGATACCATTAACCATTTTTGCAATATATTAAAACACATGCTGCTTATTTGCATATTTTCCATGTATTTGATTTATATATAGGAACAGATCGCAGCCAATAACAAAACAGAGATGCATCATGATTGAAATTCTGATTCTGTGTGGCAAACAGGGTTTATATTGTCCTTTTCATCTGTTTTCTGAATATTTTTTTGTTTTATGTCCTTACAGCCTCCGTATTCGTTGCGTGTGGATGAGTGCAGCGAGTACATCTGCTTTAATGCACAGCTGATGCTTCATAATTCCTCCCAGCACTGCAGATACAACATCAGCCAGCCACAGTGCAACCTGCTGGGCACACCCATCCAGACCAACACAGACCCCTGCTGCCCGCTCTGGCAGTGCCCATGTAGGACATACACACCGCATACTCCACATGTCTTAATTCGATTTCGATTTAGGCTCAATCCCAATTCTATTTTTGTACTCCTAACCCTTCCCCTTCCCCTTGGCCCTTACAACCAAGGGTTAAGGGAAAGGGCTTCAAAATTTACCCCTTAGAATTGGGACAGCACTACAGTACCTGCACATCTCATCATATGTCCTCACAATTTCTTGCTTCACATAAGATCAGACGATCGCGACTGCTGGAGTGATTCCAGTTGTGTTATTTTTTGGCATTTATCTTTAGGAAATCACTGAAGCCATATATCAAGTTATCATAATGATCTAATGTGCAGAACGTAACTTTCATTAAACACAGTGGCCATATTCATCAATGTAAACACACAAAAACAGCATTAACCTTATAGCACTGTGTGTATAGACACTGTAAAAAGCTCATTGACAGCCACTAGACTTTTCTGACAGGGTATTCCAGTGTCATCGAGTGTCAAAGTTGTAGGACTGCTGTAAATTGCGAGTAGGTCGCGAAATTTAGCGGTTCTTATTTTAGCGTTTTTTTTAGAGCATGACGGTAAAACGTGAACGCGGTTATGGATATATTAAAAATGTGTTTGTTTGTTGTAAAAATTCGTAATAATGACAAAAAACAATAATTTGTGGATCTCCTTACTTCCGGGTGCAGCTGTTGCTGGGGTATTCTGGGAATTTTTTCTTACCCCTTGGTTTAAGTGTGGTCCTGAAAAGTCTTCGTTTGAAGGGTTGTATAAGGAGTAGAGTTGGGATTGGCCCTTAGTTTGATTGTGATCTCAATCGGATTAATCAAAAATCGCTGTTTACATTGTTGACTCTTAATCAGAGTATTGTCTTAATTGTATTAAAATTTAATTATTGGTGTCCATGTAAACATACTCGGTGTGCAATGCATTAATTGCAGTGCTTATTATGATAAATATCTTGATGTTTGAATAAAATTGCAACTCTTCACTGTTAGTTCCTTTTTATTTTGCTCAGGTCCAATAATATTAAGAAATACCACTTTTTGAATTTTACAAATGAATTTAGAAGTATTTAAATTTTTTTGATTTGTTAACTTGAATAGTTACCTAGTGCAATAACAAATGCAACCTTATTCAAGAGTTCCCACTTAGATATGCTTAGCATTTATAGCAGGTTTGGCATGCTGTCCCGGGAGAGAACCCTGAGCTTGGAGATAATTAAGCCCAGGGCTCCCGCCTAGTCAATAAGCATATCAGAGGATCCGAGATCAAGTCTCGATAGTTTCCCCCTTTAGAAAAGGGAAGGAAAGGAGGAGATGGGGTGGAAGAGGGGATTCTTCCAAAATGAAGATAGGGCAAAAAGGAGAAAATTATCCATTTAAAGTAAGCTAGGATCACTAGGATTGGATTATTACTGATTACGGATGAGTGGCCAACAGTGCTCAATCATATCACATGCTCCTCTAGAAATTAGTTTATGAAACCTAACTTGTAAAGCGTTACCATTGTTATACAGTGATTTTTAAATATAGCTTGAATTTATTTTTATTTTAGAACGTCAACATATTTATTTCAGCCAAAGGAAAATTTAAATTTGTACGTTTTTAAACATGTTTTTCCACATGATATTTAGGTTTAATTTGACTTAAATTGCTTGTCAATAACATCATAGCTTGTGTTGAAGTGTCCATCTCCTTGCCATGACCTTTAAAGTCTGTGTGTGTGTGTGTGCTGGCAGGCCGCTGCTCTATAATCTCTGACCTACGTGTGATAACGTTTGATGGGAATAATGTGGCTCTGTATGATATCGGCTCTTATATTCTGGTCCACCTGCCAAGAGAGAAGATAGTCGGCCACATTGAGAAATGCCCAACCAGTGAGGTAAACCCATGCTAACACATCACACTCAAAAAAAAAAAAAAAGACTTTTGTTTCTAGTTCAAACCACTTATTTAAAATGAGAACAACACAATTTGTTTTTTGAGGAATAACTTAATTGTTTTATGTTCAATCCACTTAAATTTGTAAAAAAAACAATTATGTTAACTTGATTGATTTGTGTTGAGAAAACATGAATGAGTTATGTGGAGTCCTTCATGTTTTACAGTGCATGGAGAAAATATACAGCATTTTCTATAGATGAATTATATTAAACGCTTTACTTTGCTTTCAGAGCGTGAACTACATCAGAAGACCTGTAAGTGTGTCATTAGAATATTTCTGTTGAAATAATTATTATAATCATCCTAATCAGAGTCACGAGCTCATTTCCTCTGCTGTTTCCTGATAGACTCCCTCTGGAGGAACATCTGGCCTGTGCTTTAAGAAGCTGAACATCACAACTCATTCATACAGAATCATGATCAACCGCTTGGACCGAAAGGTAACAATGTGCATAGTGGTGTAATGGTATGCAAATTTCTTATTTCATAAAATTTGTGATTATAGTGACCAGAATGATCAGGGTTATCAATATTAACATGGTTTTGCTTAAACTACCTGAAAATGTTCAAAGATATTACACACACTTATTAAAAATGAACAACAAAAAATAAACAACATTTGCAGCTTTAGGCAGTTTTTGGGACAAACAAAGTAAAAAAAAAGATCCCTGCATTTTGGATTTCTTTACTTACTCTTTCATATAGACTCTCAGAAAGAATGGTTCAATGTTGCACCAATGAAGGTACAAATCCTTGTCGCTGGGGCAGTCTCTTTTTATGGAACAGAATTGTACCATTTCTGTTTGTACGTTTAAGGACATGATTTGTGCCATGGGAAACCAAAATGTTCCTTTGGTTTTAAAAGTTTATCCCTAAAACTGTGCTTGTACTTTATTCACATCAAATTCAGTTTGTGTATAGCATTTTCAATTTAATTTTCCTACTTAAAAAGCTTTAAAATGTGGATACAATTTACATATTAAAACAGTGTTTGAAATGAGAAATGCAAACAATGTAATTTAATTACATTTTCATTCTGCACCAAACATTGCTCATATGTCTTGGAAAATACAAATTCAAATACAGATATACATTGCCATTTAACATATTGCATTGCCATTTTGCATATTACATTTTGAATTGAATTATGGTACTCATATGCTTCCATACATGTGTTGAGTACGTTTAGCACTACTTAGTTGAGTAAGTTATCTGAAAGGCACATGATCGCTCACGTGATTTTCCGCCGCAGAGTGATTGGTGTAACGTCTTGTATACAAAGCATCACAGCATTAAAACATTTAGTTATGCAGAAATTATTAAAATATAGTTGAAATATTGATACTTTAAAAATATATCGATACCAAATTAGAAGCTTCTAAGTATCGATATATCGATACTCAAGCATCGATGTGCACATCCCTACCTTGAAGGTACCATTACAGTAACAAGAAACTTTGTACCTTAACAATGTCAAATGTGTTTTTTCAAGAACTATTTAAAGGCAGTTTGCTACTGTATATCCAAAATGGGTGAATTTATTTTCAGTAAATATAAAACATCAAGACATTTTAAACAATGTTTGACAGAAATTTAAAACATGGAGCAATCGCTCGCTTTTTTAAATGTCTAATGATCTTGTTTAATCCCGCCCCTTTCACAGCGCTGTACGACAGAATTTCACACACACAAACTCTAGTGTGACCGCAGCGTTATGCAAAAGTATTGTAACGAGATATGCACAATGTTTGATTAGTTTTACAATACTAAAATATCTGCGTGAACACTTTGCATGACTTTTGCGTGCGTAGTGAAAAAAGCAAACGCCAAAAGATGCGGATATCAATAATGAAACTATTTTTCAGAAAATGCTTATCAATTGATTATTTGCCTTAAATAATGCCTTAAATGTTTAGGTTAGAATACCTACTGTATAGTTTTGTTTTACTAGTTGTTTTGTGTTGTAGAACTTAATAATTATTGTTTATTAGTTTCTGTGAAACATGCTTTTAAATGATTCATGTTTTAATATGGAAATTATTCATAAAATCACTTCACCTCTGCAGTAATATTTATTTTCATAGATATTGTAATAAAGGAGTTTGCCTACACTTATGTATCTTTTTTTATGAGAACAATTGTTCACCTTCATTTAAATTGTACCATAAAAGGTACAGAACGAGGTCTCTTCTGTACGACACAAGGTACAACCTTTACTAAAGTACAAAACTGTTCCTTAAGGAACATTATTTGTACCACCGTGCACCTTTTTTAAGAGAGTGTAATGTTAACAGTCAAAACATGCCTTTCGATTCCAGCCTGAAAAACAAACTAAATGTGCACCATCTGGATTTTCATTCTGTTCTGATACACATTCAGTAAGGGAATATTTTTACAAATATTGCACAGCATTATTCAACAGTTATGATCTAAGAGATCTATAGTGGAAAAAAGTCTCTTACATAGCACTGAACAGAGAGGGCTATAATGATGCTATTCTGACAAACCTTTTAGTACAGACCTGTTGTGATTCTGAAATTTGTAATGTTTCACATGATTTGTTGAACACATTGTTTGTTTAAATATGTTTAAAAAGGTTAAAAAGTGGAATTAGTACAGGGAAACTGTAGAACCTGAAGGAAATGTTCCAAAAATAGTTAAATGTTTGAGGCGTTGCCAACAGAATAGAAGGTTGTTATCTAAGAATGTATGACTTAAATGGTGCTACAGTTAAATATTGCTATTTTTACAAGGTTTCAATGTGGACGTTTTTTGTTCTCAAGGTCCTGAGAGGGACTATTTTTTGTAATTATAGGAAGAGATTTATGAAAGGAACGGATGCTAAAATATTACACTTTCAACAAAAATACGCACAGTGAGATTTCATTGAAAGTGTTGTTTCATTATTATTATTTACATTGGGGGTTTGGAGTAATTAACATTGAACATGCTCTTGCAAAAAGCTTTTTATGCTGTTTCACAAAAATCTGAAGCATCAAGTGTTTTCAGTGTTGAATATATGTTAAACATTATTACTGTTTTGATTTTATTTTTCACAAAGTAAATGCATTTGTGAGTGTATATAAGGCTTTTTTTCATAAATATAATCATATTATAAACTTTGGACTTCACTATTGTGCTATGTAGTAATATTTTATATTAATACAGTAAGATAGTTTGCTTTTAAATTTTAAGTCAGGGTTTTAGTAATTTTGTTATGTGTGTTTTGCCATTTTTATTCATTCAAAATGCATTATAATAGTCAATATTAGTCTTTTTTTACTAAGGGTATAGTACATTTATAAAAGGAACTGAGGTAAAATATTCAGATTCACTAAAGTCAAAGCAAACAGTAACAAAAACGTTTAATAAAGACATAAAACCATCCACACACAAGCACAATAGATAAACAAGTCTCATTTACTTAAAGTTAAAAGCTGCTAAATCTAGCCAAAATCATATTTAATGCACCATCTTAATCTCACAGAAGCCTAAATCTACTGTGTAAGGTTGTTTCATAAAGGTTTGGTGTGTGTCGCAGGTGTCCGTGAATCAGATCACAGCTCGGCTTCCTCTCAGCAGGCAGAACCTCCATATTGACGACACCGGGACCATGTACATCATAGACACACCCGGTGGCATCAACATAAAGTGGTACCACAGCACTGGCATCATGGTGTTGCAGTACACGGCTCCCGACAACACCTCCACCAGGGGGCTCTGCGGTCAGTGTGTGTGTGCGCATCTAGCAGTGTTTACACTTTGTAGACAACCATGAAGTCTAATATGATCCTGCTTACTTAATACATTAATTAGTGGAGTTTTATTTATTTTACTTTTTTCTAAATTACACTGTAAAAAGCTATTACTTGACTTATAATAATTAAGGCAACAGGGTCTTTACTTACTTTATGAACATAAACTGTGCCAACCAATACGGGAACCTATTATACAAAAATAACTTATATAAGTTTTTCAAACCCAGTTGTGTGACAACAGTCTGTGAAAAAAAAACTAATGATTAAACATTATTTTATTTTTTATAATCACACTTGATAAAAACAGTCTGCAGAAACACTTTGATTGACACTTTTCAGAGGATGAAAGCCCCGCCCATTAGTGATCATCTCGCCCTCATTAGCATATGATGGTAGCCTTGTTTTTGAATCTGCCACTATGCTGAAGTATAGGCATTTGTAGCTCCGCCCACTTTTGAATTTAAAGCAACAGTCACCAAAATAGCCCAATTACACTGAAAAAAATGATTCAAAGATGATTCCTTGGATTTACTAAAAAAAAATTTACGTTAAGTGGTTGTAAACAATTTATTTGGGCTGAATTTAAACAAACAAATTAAGTTGAACTTTATTAAATTTAATTTGTTTGTTTAAATTCAACAGTAATGAATTGTTTGCAACAGTTCTGCATGCAAAACTTTTTTCAGTATAGGATCAAAGTCTAAAAGGGGCAGTTTCAATGAGTTATAAAACATTTTTTGTGGAGTATTTTGAGCTGAAACCTCACATACACACTCTAGGGATTTATTTTACATCTTGTAAAAAGGGACAAAATAGGTCCCCTTTTAAAGCGACAAGTTGACTTTACTTAAAGTCATATAGTAAACATAGTATGGGGCACATTGTAACAGCTTAAAAGTCTACTCTGCAAAAAAGTTTCTAGTCTGAATAATTAACTATTCTTAAATCAAGAAGCATTTTCTAGACTTGATGTATTGACTTAAGAAATATTATGCCAAAATTAAGTGAGTTTTCCCTTAAAACAAGCAAAAGAATCCGCCAATGGGGTCAGCAAAATCGAAAACGAGATTATTTTACTTTCCCCATGGGCAGATTATTTTGCTTGCTTGCTTTTAACACATTATTTCATAAAATAAGACTTTTCTCTTTTTACTTGTCTAGAAAATGCTTCTTGATTTAAGAATTTGTAGATATTTGAGTTCAGAACAATGAAGAAACACATTCAGACATTCACAAAAAATGTCATTGTCAATGTCACAGCATAGCATGGTTCTAATAATAATAGCGGGGCTCATTGTAATGCACTGTCATAATATTTCCCATCTGCACGATTGGAATTTAAATATGGTTAGTGTCCTTTGAATACATTAAAGAACTGTTCAAACTGTTAAATTACAAGCTGGAGGTTGAAATAACAGCAGATTTGTCTTTTTTAAATATACAATAGATTTGAGATGAATTGTGTATCTTGAGTAGAAGTTTAATTTTCCAGTGTTTGAATAAATGCAACACTGAATCACAAAACTCTGTTACAATAGCCACAAAATACATTGCATGTGTTAAAAGTATAGATTTTTCTTTTCTGCCTAAAATCATTAGAAAATGACTTTGTATTATGTTGTATTAAGACATTTAGTAAATATACTATAAATATATCAAAACTAAATTGTTTGATTAGTTATATGCAGTGTTAGTAACTTATGTGTCTAACTTTAAAGGTGTTTTTTTTTTCAATATTTAGATTTTGTTGTTTTTTTTATTTATTTTTTAATTTTAGCACAATTTTTATATTGCGTATTTAAACTCACTGGCCACTTTATTAGGTACACCTGTCCAACTGCTCGTAAAGCAAATTTCTAATCAGCCAATCACATGGCAGCAACTCAATGCATTTGGGCATGTAGACATGGTCAAGATGATCTGCCACAGCTCAAACCGAGCATCAGAATGAGGAAGAAAGGTGATTTAAGTGACTTTGAACGTGACATGGTTGTTGGTGCCAGACTGGCTGATCTGAATATTTCAGAAACTGCTGATCTACTGTGATGTTCTCGGAAAAGAGAAAATATCCAGTGAGCAGCAGTTCTGTGGGCACAAATGTCTTGTTGATGCCGGAGGTCAGAGAATGGCCAGACTGGTTCAAGCTGATAAAAAGGCAACAGTAACTCAAATAAACACTTGATAAAACCGAGGTCTGCATAAGAGCATCTCTGAATGCACAACACATCCAACCTTGAGGCAGATGGGCTACAGCAGTAGAAGACCACACCGGATGCCACTCCTGTCAGCAAAGAACAGGAAACTGAGGCTACAATTTACACAGCCTCACTAAAATTGGACAATAGAAGATTGGAAAAACGTTGCCTGGTCTGATGAGTCTCGATTTCGGCTGTGACATTTGGATGGTAGGATCAGAATTTGGCATCAACACCATAAAAGCATGGATCCATCCTACCTTGTGTCAATAGTTTCTGGCTGGTGGTGGTGTTGGTATAATGGTATGCGGTATATATTTTTTGGGCCCATTAATACCAATTGAGCATTGTGTCAACGCCACAGCCTAGCTGAGTATTGTTGCTGACCATGTCCATCCCTTTATGACCACAGTGTACCCATCTCTGGCTACGTACAGCAGGATAACACGCCATGTCATAAAGCACAAATCATCTCAGACTGGTTTCTTGAACATGACAATGAGTTCACTGTACTCAAATGGCCTCCACAGTCACCATATCTCAATTAAATAGAGCACCCTTGGGATAGAACAGGAGATTCTCATCATGGATGTGCAGCCAAAAAATCTTCAGCAACTGCATGATGCTATCATGTCAATATGGACCAAAATCTCTGAGGAATATTTCCAGCACCTTGTTAAATCTATGCCATGAAAGATTAAGGCTGTTCTGAAGGTAAAAGGGAGTCCAATCCGGTACTAGTCAGGTGTACCTAATAAAGTGGCTGGTGAGTGTATGATTACTAAATAAATACCATAAGTGTGGAAATATTTAAATCATTTGTTTGTACTAATTTGTGCCCTGCTCACTTCTGTCTGTTACTTTTAATGTGCACAAATATTTAGTACAAGTGAATCCAATAGAAGGAAAAGGCTTAATGCTTTTGTGCTGATGTACAGTAGACAGGTTTGTATTACTGGTATGAAAATAATTGAAACCAATAATATAATATGGTACTTTACCCAATACATCCAAATACAGATCCACACATGAGTATTTATTTGCCATGAGAATAATTTAAACCAGAAATATCTAATGCTACTCTTCACAAAGCATCCAAATCCAGTTTCACTTTGATAGGTGTCAGATTTTGGAAACTTTCTTTTTTTAATTAGCCAAAGCTTTTACTTGTGGCCACGTAAATGTGTTACCCTCCTTTCCTCAGGATGTTGTGATGGTAATCCAGCCGATGACCTGCGGCTGCCCAATGGTACAGTGGTCCGGGATGTTGAGGACATCCCAGTGTTTCTGCACGGGTGGATGGTGGACACGGCAGAGGATACAGATTACTTCCGCAGAGTGGGAGACAACTGCACCACCGGAAACTGCTCCAAATGTTTCACCATGCTCAACCAGAGGCCTTTCTCCAGATGCCACCACAAGGTACTGCACACAAGCCTGAATACTGAAGATACTGAGATGTGCGTATTTACTGTACATCATTTACTTGATAAAGGCTATCTGCAATTATTTGATTGACATTAGCTAATTTAGCTTGTTCACATTAAAATAAGTTAGCATAGCATTTTAAATAAACACAATTCAGCCCAATTTTTATATTTTAACTAGGATGCAGTGATATGGAATTTTTGACCGATATTAATAATATTTGGAGGCAGAAAGCAAATATATAGCCAATAAATAAATAAATTAATGAATATATATATATATATATATATATATATATATATATATATATATATATATATATATATATATATATATAATTTTTTTTTTCAAATTTATCTGCATGATTGCAAAAACAAAAGGCAAACACATACAGTATAGTGAATGATTGCTTTTATTTTAAAATCTTAAGTTCTAATCTTTGAACTTTATTAATCAACATTTTGTTATCAAAGGCCAATTTGTTTATATTAATATAATTAACCTAAAAAAATGCATAAATAAAGAAACCAAGTCAGTGAATAAACAAAATAGAAGCAGGCAGAAAGCATGTGAAGTGGTTCAGCCAGCAGAAATAAGACATAATTTATTGGGTTAAAGATATCGCCCTAATTTTGTTTTCCGACCGATGATGATAACATGAAAAAAATAGCATTTATCGGCCGATATCAATATGGCCACCAATATATCATGCATTACTAATTTTTTATATTATAAAGGAGTTGTTTTACCTTTTGGCATTGTAGTATTGTCGCCTCACAGCCAGAAGGTCACTGGTTCGAGTCTCGGCTGGGCCAGTCGGCATTGCTGTGTGAAGAGTTTGGTCCGGTTTCCCCCACAGTCCGAAGACATGCGCTATAAGTCAACTGGATGAACTAAATTGTCTGTAGTGTGTGTGTGTGTGTTTGTGTGCGTGTGTGTGAATGTGAGAGTGTATGGGTGTTTCACAATACTGGGTAGTGGCTGGAAGGGCATCCGCTGCGTAAAATATACACCGAAATAATTAGATGTTTCGACCCCTGGTAAATATAGGGCTAAGCAGAAGCAAAATGAATGATTTTTTTTTGCCTTATTTGAACTTATTTTTTTCTAGTTTTGTTATTGTTAACATGAAAACTCGACAGTTCTTCCTTGCATTTTTTAACGTTTTAAAGGAGAGATTAATATAGAGATGACAACAGTATCGTTTTCAAAAACTTTTACTTAGACATTTACAAAAGTTTTGAGGCCCCTCAAAATGGCTTTGTCATTTAACCGAAAGTCAAAAATTTATAAAAAGCATATAAAAAGCAATAAAACGTATAAAAATAAATGATTAATGCACATGACAAAATTACTCAAAATGTAAACTACTACTACTAAAAAAAAAAAAAAAAATACATATATATATATATATATATATATATATATATATATATATTTTTTTTTTTTTAAAGGACGTTTTACACACACACAAAAAAAATGGTTCTGCCTGTGTTTCATAAATGAGGCCCACAGAGATTACGGTAACGAATTGCTTTTTTTGACATTATGCTGAACCTTGTTTAAGCATTGTTCTTGCATTTCACACAATAAGAATGCATGCCCTGATGCAGACATTTGAAAAAAAAAATTTTTTATAAATAAAAACAATTAATCAAATTAAAATTAAAACATTCTTTAGATTCAAAATCTTAATAAATACATTAACAATGTAAAATATCACCAATTATTACAGTTTACAAATTTGCTTATAATATTGGGCCACTTGGAGAAATGTCACCCAACAGACAAAGTTGTGCACCCATATATAAAATCTCTCACCATTTGATATCCCGGCAATCTTATATTGAATTTCCAAATGTCATTTCCGTTGGCAGGTTTCTCCAGAAAACTTCTGCGATAAGATATGGGCGGGTGACCTGCATTATAAAGAGCACGAGTGTGACTTCCTGGCTGCTTATGTTGCCATTTGCTACACTCATCAGATCTGCTTCAGCTGGAGGAAAAGCAACTTCTGCCGTGAGTGATTTTACAGACTCCTTGACATTTTTAAACGCTAGTATGTTTCTTCACTTTTTCCTCATATTTGTTCATGCAGCACTCAAATGTCCTCCTGGTAAAGAATACAAACCCTGTGTGAACACATGCAAGACGCGAACATGCCAGAACCGCGATTACTATGAAGAAAGCACCTGCTCTTCTATCAGAGAGGAGTGTGTTTGTAAAAGCGGCACCATCCTTCACCGAGCAGATTCTGCTTTCTGTGTCACCGAGGACCAGTGCGGTGAGATTACAGCATATTTAATAATACAATACATTGTGATAATGAACATGCATGGTACTGTCATCATATAGGCACTTCAAAAACCTGCGAATAACTGTTGATTATTTAATGTTTTAGACTGCCTTATATTTAATTGCTTGCAGAGTTAATAGTCTTTTTATATTTTACTCAAAAACATTTTGCATGGTAATTTCCGCATGCAAAACCACATGCGCCACACGCCAAACCATAAGTATTATTTATTGAAAATTTAAATTTATACGCAGTGCAAAACATATGCACCTTCTTATCTGCACTCACTTCTGCAGATTTATGTGCCCTCCAGAAACATGCGTTCTGGGAATGAACGTCGCCTCGTGGTTCCATCCCAAAGAGGGAAAAAATCACTTTCGCGAACGCTCACGCTCAATCTGCCCAGTTGGTGGAATGAACTCCCTAACTGCATCAGAACAGCAGAGTCACTCGCTATTTTCAAGAAACGACTAAAAACTCAACTATTTAGTCTCCACTTCACTTCCTAATCTGCAATTGCCTCTTTGAATATCACACTAACTGTACAAAAAAAAAAAAAAAAAAAAAAAAACTACTAATACTTCCCTTCTTAGACTTTACAGACCTGAAACTTGCCTTTAGTACTTGCTCTTAGTTGTGTAAATTGCTTCCTTGTCCTCATTTGTAAGTCGCTTTGGATAAAAGCGTCTGCTAAATGACTAAATGTAAAAATGTAAATGTAAACATATGCTGGAATAGTTGGCAGTTCATTCCACTGTGACTAAGTAAGGGACTAAGCTGAAGTAAAATGAATGAATATTTCGTACATTTTTATTACAGTTTTCTACATTTTTTCAACACATTTATCTATATAGAAACCTTCTTTATGTATTATTTATTTAAAAGTTTACACTTATATTTACTTTTTGCATGCCTATTTGGTTAAATAAGTATTGCATATTTTTAATTTTACGGTATAATTTTTTTAACATACTTTAATTTTACAATAAACTTTACTTGCACTCAGTGTGGACAACAAAGTATGTCATTGTTCAGAGAACCTGTTTCCTATTCTGACAATAAACACTTTGAATCTTGAGTCTCAAATGCACCATGTTTTGAAGCAGTAACATCTAAACATCTGAATTTTGTAAACCATAGTCATGATACTTCAATTCCGGCAACCACAGCTGCAGTTTTTTATTTACTGTTAAATTAGCAGATTTTTTGTTGCGTTGTATGATGATGTCCTGTTATTTCAGTGTGTACGGATAACGACGGAGCACCACGGGCTCCAGGTGAGGTGTGGAACGGCTCTCTGCGCGGCTGCTGTCTCTTCCGGTGTCTGGAAAATGGTAGTGTGGTTCCTGTAGAGCCCGAGTGCAGTTATGAACCGGCTCCGCTGTGTGAGAGAGAGGGAGAATACGCCGTGGACGTCCTGGAGGAAGGAGTCTGCTGTCCCAAGAAGATCTGTGGTACAAACATACAAACACACAAATCCATCAGAAACAGGTCATCACCCAGGAACATTCGATGTACTATTTTTAATATACTATGAACTGGAAAGTACTAATCTCTAATGCTAATTCCACTTAAGCTGCGTCCCAGTTCAGAGCGTGTGTCCTTCGAAGGTCAATTGCGTAAACCTGGGACAACAAATTAAAGAGTTCATGTGGAGCTTTCATTTTTTTTTAATGTATTTTAATACTCTGAGAACTGGTCAGAATAAGCATGTTGTTTATTTAATAAATTGCCTAATTGCTGTCTTCTTCTAACTGCTACTATTGCTGCAGTTCTTATAATAGCCACAAGGGGAGATATGCAGTTGAAGTCAGAATTATTGGCCACCATGAATTTTTAGCCCCCCTTGTTTATTTATTTATTGACAGCACAGAATAATTGATTAGATATTTTTCAAGACACTTCTATACAGCTTAAAGTGACATTTAAAGGCTTAATTAGGTTAACTAGGCAGGTTAGGGTAATAAGGCAAGTTATTGTATAACGATGGTTTGTTCTGTAGACCAGTGGTTCCCAACCTTTTTTTTTGCCTGAGTCACCCTTTTTTTCCCCTGAAAATATTGTAAGGCCACCTCCACATTTAATGATATTTTCGCTCGTATAAGTTTGCAGTAAGTATGTCAAAATAAGATGGTTTGTTTGTTACTATATGTAGATATGCCCAAATAATGGCCTAATTTAAAATATATAAACAAAACATCAGTAGGCCATTTGTATTAGGTACACTTTGCGGGATTGAGGATGAGTCGTCTGCAAATGTCTTATTAATTTGGACAGTCTCATGCATTCGTTAGCAAGAACTTTGGTGCAAGTAATACACTGTGGCTGGGTCAGGGACTCTTTGCTTCAAGAAAATGAAATAAAACCATACTTCAGGTAACTATCTTGATGTTTCCAGTTTTGCTAGCGCTGTGACCCAAAATGTTTGGAGCTTCCTCATCTGGGTCTAGTATGCTTGGGTCATTACTATTAGCTGCTAAAGGCAAATCAGAGACTTTGTCTTTTTTTGTGGAGTATAAATTACAAAATTGGCCATTTTTTTGGCCAGCCAGGTGATTAAATGAACTGAGGAAACATAATCGTTCTCCTAACTTTACATTGCTAAATAAACATAAAAAATATAATGTGACCCCCAATCCCACACCCCCCCCCCACCAGAGCTTGCTGAGGCCCCTTTGTGGTGCTGTAGACTATCAAAATAATATATATAGCTTAAAGGGGCTAATAATTTTTACATTAAAATGGTGCTTTAAAAAATTAAAAACTGCTTTTATTCTAGCCAAAATAAATCAATTAAGACTTGCTCCAGAAGAAAAAATATTATCAGACATACTGTGAAAATTTACTTGCTCTGTTAAACATCATTTGGAAAATATTTGAAAAAGACAAAATATATAATAATTTTTACTATGTATTGTTTATGTTAAAGGCATGCAAATAAAAGCTTTTATTTTTTTCATACAATTTTTTTACTGCATGTGTGTGTATTTGTGTTCAGAATGTAACCTGACCATCTGTCAGAGTGAAGTTCCCAGCTGTGAGAATGGAGACAAGCTGGTGATCGGCTATAGCGCTCTGTCCTGCTGTCCTGAATACAGATGTGGTAAGAGCTGGTGTAATCCTTATTCTGCTGCTGTTTGCATGGTCAGTGCATGAGGCTCGCTTTTCTGATTGGTTTCTGCCAGAATGTGATCCACTGGCCTGTCAGAGCGTCCCGCCGCCGATCTGTCGAGAGGATCAGTTCCTGGTGGAGGTCAGAGGAGCACACGCCTGCTGCTACAGCTACATGTGTGGTAATTACCAAGTGGAAATACAGTACTTCAACACTACAATCTCAATGCTGATGATGCAGAAACGGACACTGAAAGAAATGATATCACAAGAAGTCTACAAATATTTTTTTATGTTACTTTTAACTTTTTATAATCAGTTATTCAGGTTTCAACACATTTCTTAACACTTTTTGTTGCGATGTAACAACAGTGTGACAGTATACTATATTACAATCATATTTACATTTACAAACAAGAACAAAACGTTTCAACACATTTTTTAAGTTATGCAAAGTTTAGTGAAGTAAGTTGAAGTGACTAGACAAATGATTTGATTGAACGATAGATAGATAGATAGATAGATAGATAGATAGATAGATAGATAGATAGATAGATAGATAGATAGATAGATAGATAGATAGATAGATAGATAGATAGATAGATAGATAGATAGATAGATAGATAGATGGAACGATAAATGGAACGGTGGATGGATGGATGGATGGATGGATGGATGGATGGATGGATGGATGGATGGATGGATGGATGGATGGATGGATAAATGGAACAATGGATGGATGGATGGATGGATAGATAAATGGAACAATGGATGGATGGATAAATGGAACCAATGGATGGATGGATGGATGGATAGATAAATGGAACAATGGATGGATGGATGGATGGATGGATAAATGGAACAATGGATGGATGGATGGATGGATGGATGGATAGATAAATGGAACAATGGATGGATGGATGGATGGATGGATGGATAGATAAATGGAACAATGGATGGATGGATGGATGGATGGATGGATGGATGGATGGATGGATGGATGGATGGATGGATGGATGGATGGATGGATGGATGGATGGATGGATGGATGGATAGATGGATGGATGGATAGATAGATAGATAGATAGATAGATAGATAGATAGATAGATAGATAGATAGATAGATAGATAGATAGATAGATAGATAGATAGATAGATAGATAGATAGATATTGTCATAGTTGTCATGGAACATATCTTAAACAATTATATTTATTAAACCTATTTATCCAAGTCCAAAATATAGATTATGTGTGTGGTGTTTTTACAATCCTGTGTTTCAGTGTGTGAGTCCTGCATTGAGCCCATACCAGTGTGTCAGACTGGAGAGATACTGGCTGTGGATATGAACACCACCAATCACTGCTGTCCACAGTATCATTGCGGTAGTTATAAGCACTCACTGGACAGGACTACACATCACATCATTTACTGTTAGATGATGAAAGGAGAATCAGTGTGTGTGTGTGTGTGTGTGTGTGTGTGTGTGTGTGTGTGTGTTACTGTTTCAGTGTGTGATATGAGTCTGTGTCCTGAGCCCAGTGTGAGTTGTGCTCCTGGAGCTGTGCTGATAAAGAGACCCGTGCCAGACAGCTGCTGTCCAGAAACACACTGCGGTACTGACACCTTTTAGGATCTCTTTCTTTCTTTCTTTCTTTCTTTCTTTCTTTCTTTCTTTCTTTCTTTCTTTCTTTCTTTCTTTCTTTCTTTCTTTCTTTCTTTCTTTCTTTCTTTCTTTCTTTCTTTCTTTCTTTCTTTTTCTTTCTTTCTTTATTTCTTTCTTTCTTTCTTTATTTCTTTCTTTCTTTTTCTTCTTTCTTTCTTTCTTTCTTTCTTTCTTTTTTTTTCTTTTTCTTTCTTTCTTTCTTTCTTTCTTTCTTTCTTTCTTTCTTTCTTTCTTTCTTTCTTTCTTTCTTTTTCTTTCTTTCTTTCTTTCTTTCTTTCTTTCTTTTTCTTTCTTTCTTTATTTCTTTCTTTCTTTCTTTCTTTCTTTCTTTTTTTCTTTCCTTATTTCCTTCATTTCTTTCATTCCTTCCTGCCTTATTTTCTTCTTACCTTCCTTCATTTTTTCCTTCCTTCCTTCCTTCTTTCCTTCCTTCCTTTCTTTCTCTTTCTTTTTTTTTCTTTCTCTCTTTCTTTTTCTTTCTTTCTTTCTTTCTTTCCTTCCCTCCTTTCCTTCCTTCCTTATTTCCTTCCTTTCCTTTCCTTCCTTTCTTTCTTCCTTCCTTTCTTTCATGTTTGTTTCATGTTTTGTCAACATGAAAATGTTACTAAACTATAAAAAAGCATAACTACACAGATAAAAAAACAATACACTAAAAATATTATGTTATTGGACATGACTAATAATCCAAACTGCTTAAATGAATGAGCTTCTCTGTGATACACTACAATAAAACCATTTGGCACATGTAGTATAATAATAACTGATTTTACATATATATACTCCTAATTAAGATAATATTTTTTAAGTATGCATCAAATTGATGCAATGTTACAAAATATTTATATTTCATATAGAAAGTCAAAGACTACAGTAAAATATATTTTTATTCCCAAAAATTAAGCAAATTTACTGTCAATGAAATATTTCTTGCGCAGCAAATGAGATGCATTTTTCAACATCTGGCGATTCATCTTTACCACAGTTTTGTTTTGAATGTATTAAATTACAAAATGTTTAATTGTAATAATATTTGACAATAATACAGTATTTGGTAAAACTTTATTTTGATGGTCCATTTGAGTATTAGTAGACTGTCTGCTTAATATCTGTTAATACTGTTGCTAAACAGACATTTAACTGACTATAAGAAACTTTGCAAGTACATGTCAACTTAAACTAACCCTAACCCTAACCTAACAGTCTACTTATAATCTAATGAGAATTAGTTGCAATGTAACTTAAACACAACAAACGAACCAGCAAAATAAAGTGTTTTTTGTAAAGTGCCCCCTGAATGAGTTTTTTAAACCGGTTTAGTTCATTTTACATTTTACTGTTTGGCCTATGTTTATATACTGTAGTAAATTAAGCTTATATTTTCTACAAAAAACATAAAATAAATATAATATACATAAATAAATGTACATGTCATTTTTAAAGAAGTATTTGTTTTAGTTAATCAAATACAATGGGTGTGGAAAGCATTGAGACCCCTCTACACTTCACTTTGTTATTGTAACGGGGAGCCTGAAACGGAGGGATCCATTTGCAGTATATTTATTAAACACAGTTCAAACACAAAACGCACTCACGTGCAAACTCACATCAGTAGTTTTCAGTAAGGGTCTAAGGGCTGGCGGCTGGCTGTCAAGGAGTGATATAGTAGGCATGGATCAGTGGCAGGCGCCAGCAGCGTGGTTCAGAGTAGAGATTTCAGGCGTGGTGGATCAGAGTCAGAATACAAGCAAGGTTTGGGGCAGGCAGAAGGCAACACAAGGTCGGTAACAGTCCAGGCAATACACAGGGGATTAGGCCAGGAGATAACGCTCAGTAATGTCAGACAGGGCAGAACAAGACTTCGCAAAGGACTGAGTGTGTGTGCTGTTTATATGTGTAAGCGTGGGTCGTTAGCGGGATGAGCTGCAGGTGTGTGTGCTTATCAGTTTAAGTCAGGGGTGTCAAACTCAATTCCTGGAGGGCCGAAACCCTGCACAGTTTAGTTCCAATCCTGCTCCAACACACTTACCTATAGGTTTCAAACAAGCCTGAAGGACTCAATTAGTTTGATCAGGTGTGTTTAATTAGGGTTGGAACTAAACTGTGCAGAGCTGCGGCCCTTTTGAAATCGAGTTTGACACCTGTGGTTTAAGTGGATGACGTACTGCTTAGAAGTCCGGTGATGGTGGCCTCTGCTGGCCAGCGAGGGGAATGACTGGGACCGAGTCGGTGACAGTTATATTGCAGCCATTTGCTAAAATCATTTAAGTTCAATTATTTCCTCATTAACGTGCACACAGCATTAATGTGCACCATTGAAAGAAAAACACTGTCATTTATTAAAAAAAGGCTAACTAAAAATATCACCTGGTCCTAAGTATTCTAACAATTCTGTGTTTTTCTGTCAATATATGCTGCTGTGTGTACATTAACTAGTAAAACTTAAATTATTTTAGCAAATGTCTACAATATAACAAAGAGTGAAGTTTAAGGGGGTCAAAATACTTTCCATACCCGCTGTATGTAGGATGTAAGTGATCACCTGGCCTGAAAAACATTGGAAAATTTGACTTGCGTGATGCTTTGTGTTGCTTTTACTTTATTGTGTTTTATTTTCACGCATACACAGTTACATTTATACATTTGTTTGGATTCTTTATAGAATGTCAGTGTCACAATCTTACGCTTCCGGCCTGCACCATGGTGAGTGTTTTAAACTGTATTCTGTATTCATTAACACCGTGTGTATAATAGATTTTGTTGTTGCCCTAGCAAACTGTCCTGTAACCAAAATATTATACGGTGACCTTTTTGCTAAAGGGTGAAGTGAGAGTGGAGGAACCAGACCCCGGCGGCCCCTGTGGATGCCCACTGTATCACTGCAGTAAGACTCGTAACGCACACTCACAGACTCAAAATACCACCCTGTTCAAAGAAACTGAAAACACAAGTGTGTGTTTGGGCGTGTGTGTGTGTGTGTGTGTTTGTGTGTGTGTGTAGTGAAGGCAGAAGTGTGTCTGTTTCAGGGTGTGACGATATTGAACCCTGGCCAGTCTATGGTGCAGTATTTTGAGGGGGAACTGTGTTACACCGTTCAGTGCCTCACACATAAAGACCCCAGCACTGGTTTCTACGCCATGGAGGTCACCACTGCCAACTGCTCTGAGAAATGTGAAACTGTGAGTCGTGTCACTGATACTACTTCAATAAGCAGCTCTGGAAACATTAAAAGGAACATTAATAATAATTATCAAGGAACCATGATCTGTCCATGCTGTACACTGAGATTACACTGTTACCAAGCTAGGTACTATTTTTCGGCAGTGTAGTAATATAAATGCCCCTTCTGCAGCCATGGTACAGCAGCAAACTTCCTTGATTGTTACGCAGGAATGAGAGTATAGTTCCTGGCCTTATTGGATTAGGCATGGGGTCGCCAACCTGACATCTATGTTAATCCTGGAACAGCATTCCAATCAGCCAATCAGAATTAAGGGATATGTTTACAGCTTATGTTAAGTTTAGGCTTGTGGTTTGGTTTATGCACTTTTACATGATTGTTATGCTACTATTATTACCCTCTGATTTTGGGAATCATTTACAGTTATGATTGGGTTTAGGGGTAGGGAATAGGTATAGATTACATTTTCCAACAAAAAAGATGTTCCAGGATCAACATAGATGTTAATCCAGGATTGCATTGTACTTGTCAATATAAATATTTTAAATATTTGTTATTTATTTAATATATAGGCATAGTATATTTTATACTAATAAAATCACTTACTATATGGCTAAACCTAATCCTAAGCCTCTCAATAAACCTGTGGTTCATTTAGAATGTCAAAAAGCCCCATTAAATATGATTTGGAATTGTAAACACAAGTGGCATGTCCTCTTAAACCCCCTTAATAGAGACACATGGACACTAGATTTGCTTACTAGGTCATACCCATGTCTTCATACAATTTTATGTCCTCATAAACTACATAAACAAGTAAACATTCACCGATACAAGTACCTTTATAGGGACTTCCTATAAATTGTACATTCTATCCCCCAACACTACTTCTAAACCCAACCCTCACAGGAAACAGTCTGCATTTTTATATTTTCTCAAAATACTTAATTCTGTGTGATTATTGAGCTGTTTTCTTCATGAGGACCAAAACATGTCAAAATGTACTGGTTTATATGTGGAGACATTTGGTCTCCACAATGGAAGCAATACAAGTTGCAAACACCATCAAAACCACAACATTGTTTTTAAGGAAAAGTTTGAGTCTGCATGAACCAAAAGTTAGGTCTTATTTTTTTGTATTGTGTAGCAGTTCTTATAAAGTAAATCACTGCACTTTCAGGTCTGTAGTATGTTTGCTGTTTTTTCAAATGTTTGCTGAATCGTGGACTGACTAGTAGTTTCTGATGTGGCTGCTCCTTTGCTGCTAGATATACTGTTTTCATAAATAAATAAAATAGTCTTTGACAATTTGGGGTATCCAAAGATATGCTGTAAACTTGAAACCAGTTATCATCCCATGCCTAATTGACCAATAAAATAGCAGCTTTTTATTTTCCATCAGTATTGTAACTACAGAAGAGTCAAGCTTTAAATAGGATAATAATTGAAAGTGTTTTTAAATAACTTTAAGCGAGATGCTAATGGTCTAATCCAGGCATGTCCAAACTCGGTCCTGGATGGCCGGTGTCCTGCAAAGTATAGTTCCAACCCCAATCAGACACACCTGGGCTTGCTAATCAAGCTCTTAGGCATTCTGGTAATATCCATGCAGGTGTGTTGAGGCAAGTTGGAGCTAAAATCTGCAGGACACTGGCCCTCCAGGACCGAGTTTGGACACCCCTGGTCTAATCTGATTCAGTGATCTATGCTAAGCTAAACTAAAAGTGCTCTGGCCAGACCCCAAGTTCGACTGAATGGGTTAAAAAATGGAAAGACTCAACTGTTTAACTCTAGGTGAGTTGTAAAGCCTTGGCCTCTTACCAAAAAAGTGGAGTATTCCTTTAAGAGATCACTTGAGTTTCTCGAGTTTTATAGTCAAGTAAAACATGTTTTTGTTATTGTATTCTTTGAATTGCAAATGTCCGCTTATTTCACCAAATTAAACAGTAGAATGTTGCCATTTAGAGATTTGTTTTGCATAAAATTACCAAAAAGGTGCCATTTTTAAGACATTTATATTCATTTTAATCATTTATATTCAGTTTCTATACTACCAACACTGAACCAAGAGTTGGAATAAGGTGGAATAATCCATGATTTTCAATAACAATAAATGAAAACATTTATTAGACCCTTTAGCTGTCATTAAAAATTTCTACTGTGTATGGCAATATGTTTATTGTACATTAAGAAGAAATGTTATTATATTACAGAATAAAATAAATATTATAATTTTACTGAAACCCATACATAATAAATTCACTAAATCCAGAAACTGACCATTATCAATTGGTTTGAATTTTCCATATTACATGTATATTTGAGTTTATTTATATTTAAATGTTTTTTTTGTTTGTTTTTTATACATTTTTCATTATTACTGTAGCATCAGGTTTATGTCCCATCATCTGATCCCCACGTGTGCTGCGGCTCCTGCAAAAACATCTCCTGCTCATATCCCAGTGAAAACGGCACTACAGAAGTATTTATGGTAATCTGCACTCACCTTCTGCAAAAATATATTAAAGTTCCCCTTGAAAGAAAAAAACAAACTTAATTCTCTGTATTGGTGAACATCTTCCTTTGAAAATGTTCACAAATGGATGTTTTGTCAGATTTTCTGGGGGCGTTTCTTTTTCCAGCCAGTTTATCCACAAAAGTATTGCTGCTGTAGATCAGAAATACACACACACACACAGTCGAAACCACAATGTTTTTTATGAAATAGTTTGGCCACTTTTAGGAGGCTGCTTTTGTTTACAAAATGTTTAAAATATGCATGAAACGATCTTACATTTTTATTCAGAGTAACAGGTATGTTTATGCAAAAATAAAACAATACACATTAAAAATGGGTCAAAACTTGTGGTTTGAATGATGATGAATTATAAACATTTGAAATGACAACAAATTAATATTTTGAGGCTGCACTGCGATGTTTACATTTTTAAAATCTTTTTAATGTCATCTGTGATCAAAGGATTCTTGATTTAAATGAGATTAGTGTGTCTGACAAGATTATTTTGATAAATGAACCTTTTTAACACAATTACATTTTAGAACAGCATTTATTTAATGCACAAATATTTTATATCATTATACATTTCTGTGCTATCACTTTTGATTATCTTGATAAACGATAAATGCATTAATATATTTCAGACAAAAACTTACTGACCTCAAATTATGCAAAAAAACATCTCGTGCTCATATCCAAGTGGAAACAGCAGCACTACAGAAAAACTTATTGTAATCTACTCTCACTTCTGGTATTTTCTAGGCATAAATGTACGCTTGAATGAAACAAACAAACAAACTGTATTTGCTGTTTGTGAACAACTTCTCTTTGAAAATACAGTGAATATTGTATGTTTGTTTCTTTCAAGTGTACATTTACCCTGCTTACAAAAAAAATGTCATAAATGGATGTCAAATTTTCTCAGGACGTTTGTTCCCAATCAAATTTATCCACAAATGCATTGCTACTGTCTGTCAGATACATACACATACACTTATATATATGGTTTATGAGCATAATATATTTTGTACTGGAAAAATCACTTAATATATGGCCCTATCCTAACCCTCACTGTAAACGTGACAAATTTTGAATGTCAAAATGTCCCATTAAATATGATTTTTAAGCGTTTGGAATTACGAGGACAAAAGCATGTCCTCATAATCCCTATTAAATAGAGAGACTTGGGTACTACTGTAAGTCTCCATCCGATGTCTTTATACAATTGTGTGTCCTCATAAACCACATAAACAAGTACACACACTTGCACACACAGGTGCAGTCTTTATATGGACTTCCCTTAAATTGTATATTCTATCCCCCAACCCTACCCCAAAACCCAACTCTCACAGGAAACAGTCTGGATTTTTACAATTTATCAAAATAATTAATTAATGTAATTTATGAGCAGTTTTCTTAAATGGGGACCAAAACGTACTGGTTTTGTTATACATGTGGGGACATTTGGTCCCCACAATGGAAGCAATACAAGTTACAAACACACCATAAAAACCACAACACTGTTTTCAAGAAAAGGTTTGAGTCCGCATGAACTGAAAGCTTGGACCCCAGAAAAACTGAATATTAAATGAGAAAGCAGTGGACGTGGTTTGTTTTTTGTACTGCGAGCTGATTGGACATATTAAAGTAGGCATTTCATTCAGAAAGATCAGGGTTTAGAAGAGTTATTACAACCTATAACAGACAACGCCTCATCATTTCTGTTTGTATAGTCAAAACTGACAGTGGAAGGGGCGTGGTTAAGTAGGTTGAGCCACGCTCTATACCTCAGACAGACATAATCTGAGAATTTACCTGAAAACAAACAGGAAGTGCTTTTCCAGATGTCAATTGTAGATAACAAGGGCAAACTATTTTTTTTCCTAATAACATGCATAGATGACTTGTTCACCACAAAACTAGCGACTTGAGCTAACAGAATCAATATGGTTAGTTTTGATTTCTTTGTACCTTAACAATAAAAACCTGGAATGCATGAGGCTGATGGTGTTTGTGGTGGTGTTTGCAGGCGGGCAGCTCATGGGTGGCAAACTGCACACGGTTCGACTGTATGGAGACTGCGGTTGGTGCTGTAGTTCTGGCGTCTGGAGTCGTCTGTCCTCCTTTCAACGACACCGAGTGTATTCAGGTCTGTTTCCAATCAATATGTACTAGGGTTGGGCCGATAGCCGATGCCATTGTCCATCGCTGATGGCCGACAAACAACACAATGCTGAGCCGGCATCGCCAATCCTCCGCCCCGCCCCCATTGTAAACCCGCTCGTGAAAATTCACACTCAGGCCCGTTTACACTAATACGTCTTAGTTTTAAAATAGCATTTTAGAACAAAAATGATTCAGATCCACACTGTGTTTTACCGAGCATTTCTGAACAGTGCTCCGTCTGCTGAAAACACACATCACGTGACCACACAGACACAGCCACACACAATGTCATGCACGCTCCAGAGAGCAGTGCACATCGGACAGTTTATATAGGAAGTAGCGCAGGATTGCGTCTCACTATAGTTGTTAAACGTGATATTTAATTAAAATTGTCTCTATCTAACAACTCTTCTGTCTTTTGAATCAGGTAACGTTTCACAGTGTCAGTACACTGCTTCGATCTTTCACTTTCACGCTTGTTCTTAGTAATTTTAGCGAAAACCTCGGACGTTGTGGGTTGGTTGTGCACCTTTTTTACTGACCAAGTTTGTCGATGCCGTTATATTGACACAGATCACTCTGCCTATTCATGTCCTGCGGAAAAAGTGATTGTCTGGTGGTAATTTTTGTGCAACTTATCTTTATTTTTATTTGTTTATGGTTAAAACAAAAACCATGCGGGTCAGGTAGTTGAAACGGTAGACTACAAATAATTAATTCCTTCAGAATTAATTATTTATTCATAAATAATTAATTCACCTCTGCCTATGACGACGATGCCATCGTCCAATCGAGATGTTTCACATTAGACATTGTACGATGCCTAATTGGTCGACATCGTCCAACCCTATTATATACAGTGCTTATCGAAAATCATCACACCTCTTTGAAATAATGACTTAATTTGTCATTCAGTCATTCATTTTCCTTTGGCTTAGTTCCTTATTTATCAGGGTTCACCACAGAGGAATGAAGCGACAACTATTGCGGCATATGTTTTACACAGCGGATGCTCTTCCAGTCACAACCCAGTACTGGGAAAAACCCATACACTCTCACATTCTCACACACACACAAACACTATGAACAGTTTTACCTAATTCACCTATAGCACATGTCTTTGGACTGTGGGGGAAACCGGAGCACCCACCACAGCTGTATCACCCTGCAACCCAAGACCAGTTATCACTGAAGCTAAGCAGGGCTGAGCCTGGTCAGTACCTGGCTGTGAGATAACGTGGGAAAACTAGGTTGCTGTTGGAAGTGGTATTAGTGAGGTCTGCAGGGGGCGCTCAACCTGTGGTCTGTGTGAGTCCTATAATGCCTCAGTAAAGTAAAGCGGACGCTATACTGTCAGTGGCGCCATGTTTCCGATGAGACGTTAAACCAAGGTCCTGACTCTCTGTGGTCATTAAAAATCCCATGGCATTTCTCGTAAAGAGTAGAGGTGTAACCCTGGTGTCCTGACAAAATTCCCTCCATTGGCCCTCACCCATCATGGCCTCCTAATCTTCCACTGAATTGGCTTTATCACTGTCTCTCCACTCCACAAATGACTAGTGTGTGGTAAAGGCACTGGCGCCGTTGTCCTGTGGCAGCTGTCGCATCATCCAGATGGATGCTGCACACTGGTGGTGGTGTGGAGAGACCCCCTCATGATTGTAAAGCACTTTGGCTGCTTTTGTAAGCAGGGTGTGATGTGAAACAAAAGCTAGGTTTTCACTAGGTATGATGATTTTCTATAGCCACTGTACTACTGTATGCATTCAGACCATCGTTTTTCTGACCTCTGTGTGTTTCCTCTTTCAGAATGGAGGTGTAGTTCAGACGTATGTGGACGGTTGCTGTAAGACGTGTAAGTATATTGTGTTTGTGGCTGGCTGTGCTTTCTGGGTTTGCTGGGGCTGTTTGAAGCCGCATGATGGAGACGCAGTGCTGGGCTTTACTAGCTGCGGGATGCGTTGTGTTTAGATGCTCTCTGTTGTTCCTGCTGGGAAAAAAAATGAGAGCTGCTGTACAAATCAGCTTCATTGTGCTTGTTCTTGAATCTTGCTAATGTGCCATGACTCTACATGCCGTAATCAAGGGAGAAATGATGTTAGAAAGAGTTTTTGTTGTGTTTTCGTGGTGAACGCTTACAGTTCTCCTCTTTATGCATTCTTCATTTGACTTTTGTCTTTGTTTTTGGGTTGAGGCTGGTTTTGTGATGTGGGGTTAGCGTTTGTGGTTTTCTAAAAGGTAGTTTACTCACATAAAAATCGAGTTTTGCTGTTAATTTACCTTCAGGCCATCCAGTAGATTACTTTATTTTTCAGTATGATGTTGAATATTATTTTTAGCTGAAACTCTGCTCCTTGGTTATTCATAAAATGCAATTCAACAGCTATCTGCAATGTAGGAGTCAAATAGGTAAAAAATTGCAGTAAAATGTACAGTATATCTGGCAATTTTGGTTGCACAAGTGCCCAGCAGGCACACAACATGATAAGATGTTAATATTAGGTTTGATTAGGGTCATGATGTCAAGTGATAAAAATTCTAGCTCTATCAAAATGCCAGTGTCTAAGAGCAATGTTATTTTGACATCCAACAATGACGTCAAATGACGTTGATATTTGGTTGATATTAGGTTGTTTTGGAAAGTGACCAAAATCCAACATCGAGCCATCATCTTAAACCAATATCACGTTGATATCAAATACTGACATTTATTCGTCAAATTTGGCAACCGAAATCCAACATCTGATAGACATCATTGTGGTAACATCCACTCAACATCAAGCTGTAACATCATTAGATGGTGATATTTGGTTGATTTTAGGTTGGACATTGACATCGGCCTGCTATTGGATTCTGATGTCAACCCGATTTTCATTTCCAAATAAAATGCAACGTCCCCACGACGTTGGGGTACAACGTCAATCTGACATCACGTTGACATCCTGTGCCTGCTGGGTGCACTGTAAATGAACAATTACAAGGGGGCTGTAGTTTCACATCACAACTGTAGTTATTAATGTACAGTGTGCTTGTACACTTTACAGTGTTAGTGGCAGTTTTTACAGTATTGCTGGCAAAATTTATAAGCACACTATAAATGTACAGTTACAATAGTTTTACTGCACAATTGTAATTGTTCATTTACATTGCACTTGTAAATTTTACAGCATTACTGACAACCAGCGATTTTTGACAGTGCACATACAGACAAGACAAAGTTAATGCTTTTTATATACAGCTGAAGTCAGAATTATTAGCCCCCCTTTTTTCTTTTTTTAAATATTTTCCAAGTGATGTTTAACAGAGCAAGGACATTTTCACAGTATGTCTGATAATATTTTTTCTTCTGGAGAAAGTCTTATTTGTTTTATTTTGGCTGGAATAAAAGCAGTTTTTAATTTTTATTTATTTATTTTTTTTTTACATTTTAAGGTCAATATTATTAGCCTTGTTAAGCAATGTTTTTCGATAGTCCTCAGAACAAACCATCGTTATACAATAACTTGCCTAATTACCCTAACCAGCCTAGTTAACCTAATTAACCTAGTTAAGCCTTTAAATGTCACTTTAAGCTGTATAGAAGTGTCTTGAAAAGATCTAGTCAAATATTATGTACTGTCATCATGGCAAAAATAAAATAAATACATTATTAGAAATGAGTTATTAAAACTATCATGTTTAGAAATTTGCTGAAAAAAATCTTCTCTCTGTTAAACAGAAATTGTGGAAAATATACAGATGGGCTAATAATTCTAACTTTAACTGTATCTGTGTAAAAATTAAACAACATATTATTAAAAATGGGGTCAAAACTAGTGTTTAAAGGATAGTGGTAAAATATAAATGTACAGTTTAAATTTACACTATAAATTTAAAGCTACTGTATTTTGTGTTCTTTCTTTTTTTATGTCATCAAATTATTATTGTTTTAAATATGACTGACAAGATTTTTTACTATTTAACCTTTTTCAGTAAAAATTCTATATAAACTGAATGACATTTTAGACATTTCTTCTATAAACTACAGTGTTGTGCTTGAAAGCCCTTTGACCAATACATAGCATATATATACACTATGTATTGGTCAAAGGGCTTTCAAGCACAACACTGTAGTTTATATATATAGTTTATATATTATATATATATATATATATATATATATATATATATATATATGGTTGAAGTCAAAACGATTAGCCCTCCTGTGAAATATGTATTCTTTCTATAATTTCAATAATTATCATTATTTCCCAAATGGAAGGAATTTATTATAGTATTTTCTATAATATTTTTATAGAATATATATTTTTAGTCTTATTTTTTTATTTCAGCATTTTTTTAAACATTTTTAAACCATTTTGTGGTCAATATTATTAGCCCCTTAAGCAATATTTTTTCTTTGATTGTCCACAGAACAAACCATCGTTATACAATGACTCGCCTAATGACCCTACCTTGCCTAATTAACATAATTAACATCTCTTAATGTCACTTTAAGGTAAATGCCAGTATCTAGTAGGAAAAATATCTAGTGAAATTTTATGTACTGTCATCATTGTAAAGATAAAAGAAATGAATTATTAAAAATGAGTTGGTAAAACTATTATGTTTAGAAATATTACTATGTTACTTACAGAAATTGGTGAAAAACAACAACAAGGGAGGGCTAATAATTCAGGAGGGTTAATAATTCTGACTTCAACTGTATATTATAATGTTTTTAGTATTCTGTAGTAAATAGAAAGTTCAAACGAACCACATTTATGGGACAAGTAAATCTTTTTATTATTTTCAATGTCTGTACTGTCGCTTTTAATCAATTTGATAAATCGCTGATGAATGATTAAAAAGAAATCTCACCGACCCCAGACTTTTTGAACGGTAGTCTAAACATTTTTGGAATAACTCACAAACCAAGCAAAGCATATTTATGAATCTGTTTCTAATAAAGCCTCAGATAAGACCCAGGATTCTTGATTACATTGGCATGGCATGATCCAGGATTATAGGTGATTTTGAGGAAAAACTCGACTGGTGTCTGGCTTTTTGCTGGCTGTGTGCTGTTCATCTGCTGGCACTGTGTTTTTGGGGTGCAGGTTTGTGTGTGTTTGCATTGGTTTGGGGGCTCTTGCGTTTGCGCTGCGTGCTGGAAGCTTCTTCGAGCGACTTGATCCAAATGAGAGCCAATGTTAGTGACTGAGTTTGTGAACGTGCCCTGTGTGTTTCTCAGGTGCTGGACTCGGTTTGTTGCCTTTTTCCGTTAGTCCAGTTACCCCCACTGCTAGTACTAACTGTGACTCAGGTACTCACTCATCTACTGAATTATCTTTATCTGTGTCTCATAACATGGTGCGAGTGTGTGTTTGAAGAAAATGCTTGACATTAATCTTTCTTTCAGGCTAGATGTTGTTTTCTTTTCGTTCACGTGAATCGATTGATTTGGTGTTTGAGACATTTTGCTTATAATAGTCATTCTGTCATCAATTACACACCCTCCCTCATGTTGTTTTAGATCTTTATACTATATTTATATAGAGTCAAGGCCGAAATTATTTATACCCCTGGCAAATTCTGACTTGAAGTTACCTTTATTCAACCAGCAAGTTTTATTTATTTATTTAATTATATATATATATATATATATATATATATATATATATATATATATATTTATTTATTTTTAATTTTTTTACTAGAAAATGACACAGGCTTCTCCCAAAAGATATTAAAGTCCCGATCAAATCATACAAATTTGTCACATTTTTTTCCTGACATAGGGTCTATGGGGATTCGTAAACAACAAATTCAAGGGCCACAAGATTCAATCTTTTCTTCTTGTGTAATGTGGGTGTGAAACTACACTGGTCTCACGGTTTGGTTCGGTTCGGTTACGTTACGATTATCATGCCATCGATTCGGTTTAATTCGATATCTCAGTGCATTGATGATGCTTTCCACAATCAATTTGATATTTTACTAAGCAACACAATAATTCTTGTATTAAAAGTTCTCATTTATAAATATATTTGAATTTAAATGCTATACAATTTTATAAGCTATACATTTTTGTCCTTTAATACAAGCAGTCAGATATGTACTGTACCTTTAATATGACCTGCTCAAAGAAACCAATATTTTTGAATGTATCACACAAAACTCAAGGACATGCACAGAACAACATGAGCATTTAAAGCAAGTAAACGAATATAAATATTATCTCGCTTGCCAGAGATGGGAAGTAACGAAGTACAAATACTTTGTTTCTGTACTTAAGTAGATTTTTATTGTATCAGTACTTTACTCCACTTATTATTTTTTGACAACTTTTTACTTTTACTTCTTACAATTTTACACAAATATCTGTACTTTCTACTCCATACATTTTTAAAACCACGCTCGTTACCTTCGTTTTCATGTGTTTAGTGGTGCGATCTATATTAATTCTATCAGTGACACAAAGGCTAGATAGAGCATTAGCATTCTTATTTGAAGGGTTATATAACAAAGCCGTTACACCAAAAATAGCAATCAAAGGGCATGGTTCAAGAGAAAAGTTGAAAATTATAGAAAAAAGCATCAAGGAAAGAACTCCAAAAATGTTCCAACAAGACAAGAAAAAAAACATGAGGCTATGATCAGCAGGAGCCAGAGAGCACCTATTACAACAAACATCCACGTCTGGAAATAGCTTCTTTAATTTGACATTCGTTAGATGAAGTCTATGGAGAACCTTAACTGAATCAGACTCCTGGCATAGGAAGAAGAGGAATTAACCCTTTCAGCAGCAATTTCCCACCATTCCTGATTCAAACCATTTTAAAGATCTTTAAAGAGCATCTGATTTTGCCATGCTGCTTATGTGCTTTCATTTTCTCCGTCTCACTTGCGGGAAGTCCAGGGGAGGGAGTGTTTAATAAGCAACCCCTGGCAGGAAAATATACATTTAGATTTCAAATATCTTAATATTAGAAAGGAATCATACGTTTGGTCCTATCTATGTCGTAAGGAATGCCCTTAAGTAATGTAGTTATTAGTTGTCTGCAAGCAGCAGTGTTTATTGAGGTTGACGTAAAATAAAATAAAGACGTAAAAATTAAGATGGATTAAGAAATATTGTTATAGCAACACTTCTGACTACTTTGCGAAATAACGCTCATCGTAGACATCACGGGATGACTGATCGTGAAGGAATGTGTTGGCTGGCACATATGTTACCCACGACAAGTCAAGATTTTATCAAGAAAAAAATCGCATAATCTGACATAGTGACTTTCGTAACCGCCAAAAAAAAAAATCATCTGACCAGGGCCTAAGACGATCGATAAGAGGCATTATATTTCTCAGCTTTTATTTACAGTTAAACAAACATTTTAAGTCAAAATTTGCCAGGGGTATGAATACTTTTAGGCTTGACTGTGTATATAGTATACATACAGTTAAAGTCAGAATTATTAGCCCTCCTGTAAATATCTTTTTTTAAATATTTTCCAAATGATGTTTAACAGAACAGGGAATTTTTCACAGTTTTTCAGATAATATTTTTTCTTCTGGAGAAAGCCTTATTTGTTTTATTTCGGCAGAAATAAAAGGAGTTTTTAATTTTTTTAAAACCCATTTTAAGGTCAATATTATTAGCCCTCTTAAGCAATAAATTTTTTTTTTGATAGTCTACCGAACAAACCACTGTTATACAATGACTTGTCTAATTACCCTAACCTGCATAATTAACCTAAAAGCCTTTAAATGGCACTTTAAGCTGAATACTAGTATCTTGAAAAATATCCCGTCAAATATTCTGTACTGTCATCATGGCAAAGATAAAATAAATCAGTTATTAGAAATGAGTTACTAAAACTATTCTGTTTAGAAATGTGTTGAAAAAATCTCTCCGTTAAACAGAAATTGGGGAAAAATATACAGGGCGGCTAATAATTCAGGAGGGTGAATAATTCTGGCTTCAACTGTATTTAGAGTTATATTCATTCCAGACCTGCAAAAATGAATAATTATTTTCAATGTACTGTATGTACTGTATGACATAAAGGTGAGTAAATAACTTCAGAACTGCTAGCTATATATTTAATACCCTCACTCTCGAACATCCATGCAACATTCAGACACAAACACAGACATGACTGCGTTTCAAACACACTCATCAGCTGTTCCTCCCTAACACACAGCTGTGAAGTGTTGATTCATCTCCTGTTGAAACCCCATGATAAATCTTCAAAACCTGTCCTCTGATTCAACCTCAGGAATAGCAGTCAAAATGAACACACACACACACACACACACACACATACACACACACACACACACACACACACACACACACACACACACACACACACACACACACACACACACACACACACACACACACACACACACACACACACATTCACACATACACACACACACACTGACCTCAAAAGACTGAAACACCTTTCATTTGAACATTGTTTTATGAACTAAAATTGCTTATGGGTGAAAAGTTCACTTCTCAGTGGTGCCACTTGATCATTGTCAGACAAATGTTGCCATGGTAACTAAACATGTCAATCAAGTGGAGCCCCCAGTGTGCAGAAATAATAGTCTGTGAGCCTGCTGTTTAGTGTGTGTATGTTTGGTGTTGCTGTCAAGTTTGTTAAACAGCTTTTTTTATTTTAATTTTAATGTCATTATTTTACAAAAATATTTTCATTTTATGTAAATTACATACATTTTTTATTTATTTTTTTATTATTGTTTTTTTTTCAACGGTATAGTGCATTAAAAAGTTAACTTGTCAATATTGTCATGTTGAATTTAAAGCATAGTTCACCCAAAAAGTTCTTTTACTGTATGCCCTTTATTTTTTCATACCACTAAAATTAATTAATTCAATTCACCTTTATTTCTATAGCACTTTTACAATGTAGATTGTCAAAGCAGCTTTACATAGAAGATCATAGTAAATTAAAACAGTGTAGTTCAGCTTTCACTGTTTAAGTTCAGTTCAGTTTAGCTTAGTTCAGTGTAGTTTAATATTCACTACAGAAGAGCAAATCCATCAATACGCAGCTCTAGAGATCCCGAACCATGCAAGCCAGTAGCGACAGGCGAGGAAAAAACTTCACCAATTAGCGAAAAAAAATTATTCAATTAATTAATTACATTCTTTTATAAAAAAAATGTATTAAAATTAATTTAAATTTTATTCAAGTGTCCTATACTTAAATCTATTGGCGGATTTAACTAATAATCGTCCACTTGGGGCCCCAGGACATATGGGAACCCCAATAAGTATAAATTATAGCTATAGACTATATATAACATCATATTTTGTGTAATGAAAGTCAAACAAATACAATTTTTATGTAATTTAATGTTATTTAATACAATACAATACAACAATACAATACTATACAATATAATATTGTAAGGTTACTGTAAAGGGGCAGTTGCTGTAAATTGTTGAAAACAGTGCTGTAAAAATACAATAAAATGTCCTACACAGTAGGAATCATTAATAAGTGTGTGTTTTAAGTTAAGCGCATTTGAGCACATATTGTTTGCACATTTATTGAATAAAGATGTTTCCGATTCAGGTATGCAAATTCGTCTTCAGATGGCGCCTTTATAGCAATGTTTTAGTATGAATTCAATGCGAGACTTCGTACATGAGGCCCCTGGAATATACCGATTGTCACAAGCAGTCTTTTAAAAATGTTTTTTCTTTATTTTAGCTACTATTTATTACTTTTATATGGATGGACATACAATGAGCAGAACAATTTAGTACTCATTTTCAGGCATACAGCATTAGAAAAACATGTGACACTTGCGGGTGAATTATGCACATATTTATATGCAAGTCATATTTTTTCACGTTTTGTGTGTGTGTGTGTGTGTGTGTGTGTGTGTGTGTGTGTGTGTGTGTGTGTGTGTGTGTGTGTGTGTGTGTGTGTGTGTGTGTGTGTGTGTGTGTGTGTGTGTGTGTGTGTGTGTGTGTGTGTGTAGGCAAAGAAGATGGTAAAACCTGCAAAAGAGTCGCCATCAGAACCACCATCAGAAAAGATGACTGCAGAAGCAATGCACCTGTGAGTGTGAAAGATTTACACTACAATTCACCACATTTACACTACCATTCACTGCTGTATAGCGATTAATTTGCTTTCTTGCGTACAGTTGAAGTCAAAACTATTCGCCCTCCTGTAAGAATGTTCTTATTTTTTAAATAATTCCCAAGTGCTTTTAACACTTTTTTTAACACAATGTTTTTTATAAGCTAATCCCTAGTAACTCATTTATTTAGTCTTTGCCATGATGACAGTAGATAATATTTTACTAGTTACTGTAGATTACAAGATACTAGTTTTTCATTTTAAAGTGCCCTTAAAAGGATTAACTAGGCAAGTTAGGTTAATTAGGCAAGTTATTGGAGAACAGTGGGTTGTTCTGTAGACGTTCGAGAGAAAAAATCCTAAGGAGGCTAATAATTTTGACCTTAAAAGGATTATAAAAACTGTTTTTATTTCAGGCAAACTAAAATAAATACGACTTACTCCAGAAGATTAAACATTATAGCAAATTCTGTGAAAATTGCTAATTAATTTTATATATATTTCCAACTTTTTTGGCTTTTTTTACTGTATATGTTGTCTCATTTAAAGATCTGCACGGTACAAATTTTTTAGTCCCGCTCCCGCAAGATTTTATTCTACACCCGACTGCTCCCTTTATTCTGCCTTTGTTAACCTGCTGCCTGACCCACCTCCTTTTCTACCCGACCTGACAGTTCCCACTAAATGTAGATCTGGTTTCCAAAATCTCGCGTTTAAATTGGGTACTACTGAAAGAGAGAGATCACAGATAAAACTCTAGGTTTTGCAAGGATTGTCGGCTAAATGTCAGTTTTGTTTGCCACTTTGTGATGAGACATGAGTGCTGCCTTAAACCTGAGGTTCCAGTCTTGTGACCACTAAAGGATAAAACTTTGAGGTATTATCACATTACTCACAAAAGGTAATTTAGACAGGGTAAAAGACATCAGACTTCCCTGAAGGGAGTTTCCTAACAGTAAACTGACCGTTTTCTAATGCAAGCTGAAGAACAGCGCATTTTCACTTTGTTCTGCCCTGTTCGTAAAATTCGCTCTGAGGAGGACCGTTATGCAGATGATGCATGCACAGACTGTGTGGATAAAAAGCATGTGCAGATAGCACTGGCCATGCATTTAGCATGTGTAACAGTGTGTACCAGTGCTCAATAAGAATGAGGAAATCACAGACATGCTGTTCCGAAATAACATCGGGACTCAGGAACTATCAGGATCTATATTATTAGCTTGCCCGCTCCCATTCAAATTACACCAGAGTTACCGACCGCAGGAAATGTATTCCTGCGCCACAAGAAATCTGGTCGGGTCCCGCGGTACAGCCGCAGAATTGCAGACCTCTAGCCTCATTCTCTTTTATTAGCCAATTTCCAATAACTAATCACATAATATTTTACCAGTTATATTGCAGTAAACTAGTACTGTATTTCGTTTAAAATGAAATTTAAAGGCTTAACTAGATTAATTAGGCAATGGTTTGTTCTGTAGACAATCGAGGGCTAATAATATTGACCTTAAAAAATATAATATAATATAAAATAATATAAATTTAAAAACTGCTTTTATTCCAGCCAAATTAAAAGAAATCAGACTTTCTTAAGAAGAAACAATATTATAGTCAATACTGTGAAATTTTCCTTTCTCTGTTAAACAGCACTTGGGAAATATTTAAAAAAAGAATACTAAAATTCACAGGAGGGCTAATAATGTCTCTTTCCCCTCAGGTGACCGTGTACTCATGCGATGGCAAATGTCCATCCGCCACCATCTTTAACTTCAACATTAACAGTCACGCACGTTTCTGCAAGTGCTGCCGAGAAAACGGCCTTCAGAACCGCATCATACAGCTGTACTGCACTCGAAACGCCACAACGGTGGACTATTACTACCAGGAGCCCATGGACTGCTCATGCCAGTGGAACTGATCTACACACAGGCCTGACTGTGACACATTATTCAATACAGTATCTGTATAACTGCAAAACTACTAACACCATCACTGTATTTGTTTTCTTTTATATCTGTAACTTATGTGTAAGTATGCTAATCACACGTTTATTAGAATAAGAACAAGAAAGAGGGCTGTTAAATTGACATTGTTTTCATTTTAAACTATTAACATTTGATAAGATAGTACTTTAAGATAGTATTATAAGACTCCAAATACATTTTAAGCATGTTACCTGTTAACCAAACGCTTTATTTAAATTAATCCTTGTGCTTTTTCTAACAAAAATATTTTTGCATTTTGATTCAAATTGTTTTTTTTTAAACAAAACAGCACTAAGTAGGTATTTAATATATGTTTTTAAAGAGAAATCCTACATTTGTTTTAGCCTCAACACACACACACACACACACACACACACACACACACACACACACACACACACACACACACACACACACACACACACACACACACACACAAAGAGAAAAATATAATACAATGAACTTGAATTTCCATATTATAGCCATAATGCCAAAAATATGATTTCTGAACAAAACTGTATGAGCCTAAAACAAAGCATTTAGTCAAATATCTGAAGACCTGCATGTTATTGTCAATGCTTTTTTTTTCTAAATAATCAAAATAAAAACACAAAAAATATATTTTTCTATGCACTGTGCGGATCAATCGCTTCATTTTTCTTTATGCAATAAGCCACATAATTATCCACAGAATATTATACAGCACATACACTCAAAATAAATCATTGCTTGTTTAAAGTGCTTATTTAAAATGAGCTGAAAAATCACAATTTTTGCATTTATTTTGGGGGAGACAACTTAACAGGAGTTAATTTTATGTGAAAATGTTTATTTTTAATGTAAAGTTTTTACATCATTTTACATTAATATAAAATTTAGGTAACACTTTACAATAAGGTTCATTAGTTAATGCATTTACTAACATGAACTAATCATAAACAACACATGTACAGCATTTATTAATCATAATTGAACATTCACTAATGCATTATTAACATCCGAGTCCATGCCTGTTAACATTAGTTAATGCACCATGAGTTAACATGAACTAACAATGAACTACTGTATTTTCATTAACTAACATTAACTAGCATGAACAAATACAGTAGTAAATGTATTGTTCATTGTAAGTTCATGTTAGTAAATGCATTAATTAACATTAACTAATGAACCTTATTGTAAAGTGTGACCAAAATTTACTGTAACTTACTGCCAATTTTGGTTGCCACTAAAACTAATTTACAAGCGCACTGTAAATAATTATTACAATTGAAATGTAAAAAATTACAGCACAATCGTAATTATTCACCACAATTTACAGTCTAATGCTGCAATCACACCAGACGCGGATGAAGCGTCAAGCGCAAGAGATTTACACTCAATGCAAAGAAGCAAATAGCACATCCTGCACCATGTTTCGCACGAATGAGGCTGTGCAAATAACGTGATTCACGCCTATCGCACGTTTCTTCAGAAGACATTTTGCAACACGTTAACCAATCAGGAGCTTGCTCTTGTAGGGTAGTGATTATGACGTAGCGCCTGTTGTTGGTGCCCAGAGGGAAAATCCTCTTGCCGACACCTGACAACAGTTTATCTAACTGGGCTCAGCTCAGTTGTAAGCACCACTGAAAGCCTCCATCATCCAGGTATAGTTTCTGGAGGAGTTGATGAAATTAGAGAGCTGGTGCACCTCTAAAAGGATTTGGTGGACTTAGATGTTGCGCCGAAGGAATCTGCAATGTTTTTCAGGCTTTCTAAAGTATAAAGCACAGCTAATCTCTCAATAAAATCCATGTTAACCACTTTGTAAAGGAGTTAGAGTCAGTAATTCTTCTACAGTGTTCATTTTTTTACAAGGAGCTACAAATGACTTTTACATAAAATGCAAATATATATTTTTATATGCACTTTGCAAATCCATCATTTAATTATTTTTGCTATTCCCTGGAATTATACAGAACAAACACAAGAAAAGTGCTGCTTGTTCAACTCCATTATTTAAAATTAGCTTAAAAATGACTATTATTGCAATTTTACTCAATTACATGTTATTGTTATGTTCAGTCAACTTAAATTAGTAAAAACAATTAGGTTAACTCAGTCGATTTATGTCCGGACAACATGAATGTTTTTGTATGTAAGCCTGCATTTTTTACAGTGTAGGGTACAAATCATTTTTCATTCATTCATTGATTTTCCTTCAGCTTAGTCTCTTTTTATATCAGGGGTTGCCACAGCGGAATGAACTACCAACTATTCTGATATATGTTTAATGCAGCAGATGTCTTTCCAGCCACAAACCAGTACTAGGAAACACCTATACACACACTCATTCACATTAACACTTGTACACTACGGCCAATTTAGTTTATTTAATTCACCCATTTGTTTGGACTCTGGGGCAAACCAGAGCCCCTGGAGGAAACCCACGTCAACATGGGGAGAACATGCAGACTTCACTTAAAAATGCCAACTAGCCCAGCCGGGAGTCAAAGAAGCGGTCTTCTTGATGCGAGGCGACAGCCACTTAGCTACCGTGCGGCCCTAAATCTTTTTTACATGGTTTAAATTTTGAGTCTGTAAAATCACCAAACGCATTTTAATCAATAAAACTACAGAAAAAAAAAACAATTGGCATCCGTTGCCGGAAGTGTAGCTTCTCATTTCAGTGATGATTTATTAACTACATCGGCCCACGCATGACTTGAGCTATAACCCGCTGAGCTGTGTTTTGCTTTCAAGTCGGGTAATTAAAATGTTGAAGTTCATCTCCTCCCTCGTCTGCATCTGCTGAATCACCAATTCAAGGGAATGTTGCAAATCTGTGAGCTCTCAATTTACAAAGAGAATAGCCTTGATTTATTACTGATTTATTTGTAGAAACAGAAGTTCATTGACATAAACCTCAGTGTACTGGTTTAAAAGTTAAAATACACCATAGTCAAGTAAAGTCAAGTAGTTTTTTTTTTTTTTTTTGTAATTCGTGGAGTACAGTGAGATTTGGACTTTCTTTTTGCTTCTTTTGTGAAGGGAACAAAGGTAACTTAAGAACTATAGAAGTTTGTTTTCATCAATCTTCTTCTTCAAAAAAAAATATTGTGAACTATTAATGCAATTTGACAAAAAAAAAAAAAAAAGACCTGTACAGGGTTTGCTAATGTAGCATTTCCCCCCCTGGCTTTAATACTTAAAGCAACAGTATATATATATATATAAATAAATAAAAGGATCAGCGTCACACTGCCCCGTAGCGTTCGCTTGAAAAAAATAAATGCAGCCATACATACCTCCCGGGACGTATTCCGCTGTCTCCAGAAACGTCCGCGGGACTACGTTTTCAGAATGAGCTTGGGTTGATTTAATATCTGGCCCAAGTCTTGTGTGCCGCCTTAAAGACAGTGCCACCTCTGCCAAACCCGGGCCATGTTTGGCCCACATGCTATGCCAGTGCCAGACGAACGCCTGCTGTGCCAGCTTTATGCCAAATCTGGGCCAGAATTCTTTGCTACCTGGGAAGTACCACTGTAAGGAGTAAAGATAAAGTATTAAAGTGCTTAAACAAAAGCACATTACATAATGTTTGTAAATGACTTATTCCTGACAGCCAGTGTAAATCGCTGTGTTTCATTCTCAGTAGCTGATGTAATGCACATACTGTTGGAGTCTGGTGTACGTACAGGATTTGTTGTGTGTGTGTGTGTGTGTGTGTGTGTGTGTGTGTGTGTGTGTGTGTGTGTGTGTGTGTGTGTGTGTGTGTGTGTGTGTGTGTGTGTGCGTGCCTGTTTTAAGCGTTACTCTTTGACTGACCCTGCAAAACTCCCACGTGTGTGTCTCTTCTGTATGTGTTTGCAATTGCATTTGGTAAAAATGAAAGAAAAACAAAAGTGTTTAAAAGGCTATCAGCTGCTTTCAGGAGGAGGTGTGGGATTTTGTAATGTTGTAAAGATGCTGGCATGGGCATTTGGAGTGGCAGAGGAGGCGTGTCTGAGGAATGTTGGGTATTTTTTATGTAAACTGAACTGAGCCCAATTTTTCTTTTTTTGTTGTTGTTGCTGTAAGATGCCACGGAGTGCTCTTATGACCACAGAGACTGTGTTTGGGATGCTGCTGAAGTTTGACTGAGTGTGCTGTTGTTGTGTAGGTTGTGATTATAGTACGGGCTGCAAGGCTAAAAAGACTTTAGTGATTTACTTTAAGGATACGGTGTCGCCTGTGGGTACTGGAATTATGGGATGGAGCTCCATCGACAAAGTTTTGGCCTTGTTTTTGCAACTTCAGGTAACAATTCATTCTTACACTTAATACTACAATGAAAACTGTCAAACTGCTTCATTCTAAGTACATTTTTAAAGTGGGTGAAAGTTTATGGTTTCTGTCTTATTTTATTTGCCTTAAAGCATCAAAGCCCCTAGGGTAACTTAAAATCATTAGTTCTTCTCAAAGTACTGTTTTTACTTTAAAACAACATTTTTATGTCATGCGAACACTGTTTATGTGCTTTCAGTTTTTATCTTATGTGAGTTTTGTTGTTATCATCTTGCCTTGCATGTATAGCCATACTGAAACACCAGCAGATATTTTACCTCATTATTGAAAATAAAACAATTAGCAATAGAGTAGACTAACATTGTATGTATTTATTATAGTTTAGTCCAAAGTAGTACCTGGATTTTGATTTTAAGTTGAACGAAAGTCAATGTCTATAAAAACAATATCTTACCTTTGAGTCAATGTAATGTATTTTCCCTGGGCAGAATACATATTTTAATTATTATTGTTGTTTGATTATTTTCAACCAAGTCTAAACTATCATTTCTGAGGTTAATATATGAATGTTGCTGTAACAAGTTAATTACTGTAATTTGTTACACTCAAAAAAATATTGTTTTTTGCTCATTCAAACTACTTATTTAGAATAAGCTGAAACAACACAATTCTTGAGATTTCACTGGGACAACATATTTGTTCAACATATATGTTCAATCCACATAAATATGTTAAAAGTTAACTTGTGTTGGGACAACATGGATGAATTGTGTGGAGCCCTGCATTTTTTACAGTGTAGGTTGGTCCAAAGCAAGGTTATTCTTTGGTCTAAGGCAGGGGTGTTAAACTCAATTCCTGGAGGGCTGCAGGTCTGCAGAGTTTAGTTCCAGCTGTGCTTCAACACACTTGTCTGTAGGTTTCAAACAAGCTTGATGGACTCCAGTAGTTTAATCGGGTGTGTTTAATTAGGGTTAATTGGAGCTACAGCCCTCCAGTAACTGACTTTGACCCTGTGGTCTAAGGCTAATAAAAATAAAAGGTAAAATATATATACACAGTCGAAGTCAGAATTATTGACCAAGTCCCCCCCCCCACCCCCCCACCCTCCTGATAATTTTCCCCTCATTTCTGTGTAACAGAGAGAAGTATTTTTTAACACATTTCTGAACATAATAGTTTTAATAACTCATTATAGCAACAATAATTATAGCAAAAGAAACACAACAATATTTTAAATTAATAGTGATTTATACATGATCTGAAAGCTGAATAAATGAGATAATTTTATTGTTATTAATAAAATATCAATAATAAATAATAATAAAAATAATAATAATAATAATAATAATAATAATAATAATAATAATAACTGT